GGAGGGGGGGAGGGAGGGAGGGTAGAGGTCTATTGATTTAGTGAGGTGGTTAGTTGTGGGTTCAATTGGATTGTGGATAGGGTGGTGAGAGGGGAGGGAGGGAGGGAGGGATACTCAGGTCTGCGAGGTAGCCGGCGCGGGGGGCGGTGTTGGGGGGTACGGGTTGGAGTTTAAGGAGGGCGTCGGAGACCTACATAGTAGGGATTCATCGATTAGCTGTCTGGAATCAAGTTTCGGATTGGAATAGGTGGGTGTTGAGAGATGAATGAGTATGTGTATATGTGTAAGGGAGGGGAAAGGGGCTGTACATCACAGGCGGAGTAATTGTGCAACAAGGCGATCTTTTCTTCGAGGGTAGTCATGGTTGCGATATGTGTAGGATAGAAGAAAGGAAGATGTAGAGAATGCGGGGGGCGGAGTATAGATATCAGAATGGAGGAGATAGGATCAGATCAGATAAGGTAGAATCCCGTTGAATTACCGAGGACAACCGGTGTTACCGTGTTACATCATGTGTCGGACAGGCATGAAACATTCGATCCATTCGACCGACTCCTAAGTACTCCGTACTCTGGTATCAATGGTATGTTGGTCTCTCGGACTCCGTTGCACATCCCGATGGAGTCCGTCCCCTGTCCGGTACCTGAGCGTCCTGACGGACATCGCCCCACGAGACCCATTAATTAGTCTGATTAGTAGTAGTTCCTGGACGCCATCTGGCCACGTCCCGACTTCCACAGCCTATATCACATTCAATATATGTACTACAGATGGCCACCTACACCCCCCAACAACTCGAACTCTACCTCGAGCGGATCCGTTACCCCGGGTCCGATACCACCTCTCGACTACAATGTCTGCAGCAGGCCATTGCAGAGAATCCGCTAGCCACTTTGGCCGAGCTGCAACGACGACAGCTCTCGTCCATTCCGTGGGGTAACTCCGCACTGCACTATTCCACTCACCGGACCATTTCCATCCGTCCGGCGTGTGTCTTTGAGAAATTAGTCGTGCGTCGTTTGGATGGCTACTGCATGGAGAATAATACCCTGCTCTATGCGGTCTTGCGCTCCCTGGGGTATCAGGTGTATCCTTCCGGGGGGCGGGTGTGTTTGGCTGCGTCCGGGGCGACGTATGAGGGGGTGGAGAAGTTGTATACGGGGCTGTAAGTGGGGTGGTTGGTGCCGGGGATAAGGTTGGGGGCTGATGCGTTCCATGCTACAGGTCACATATGGTGCTGATTGTGCTCATCGAGGGGGACAAATACATGGTCGGTAGTTGGGTTGCCCCTCGGTCGTGACTACAACTAATGCAATGCAGGTTGACGTCGGGTTCGGCACGAATGGCCCTACCAGTCCCTTGCTGCTGAAACCGGATTTCGTTTCGGTCTGCATGGCCCCGACGGAGATGCGGCTGGTTTATGATGCCCTCCCGGAGTACGTGGATCAGACGCAGAAGGTCTGGATCTATCAGATCAGGTATACGCCCGACAGCAACTGGATTCCCATGTACTCGTTCCTGGGCACCGAGTTCCTTCCCCAGGACTTTGAGGTCATGAATTTCGCGACTAGCCAGCGCCAAACGAGCTGGTTCACCCAGACCGTGGTCTGCACCCGGATGTTCCTGGATGAGGCCGAGACGGCCGTCCAAGGGCTGTATATCCTGGCCGGGACGGAGGTGAAGAAGAGGCAGCTCGGGCAGTCGGAAGTCGTAGAGACGCTGCAACGGGACGCAGACCGGGTTACTGCCCTCGCCAAATGGTTTGATATGCATCTCCGCGACCACGAAGTCGAGGGCATCCGCGGTTTAGTGTCGGAGATCAAATAGATTGGAAGCTAGAGTCTACCTGGCAGCGCCCAGCAGGCCAGATATTTATGATACAAACAATCTTTTCATTGCGTGGATATTTCTCTCGAAAGTAATGCTGTTGAATAAAAGAGAACAGGCGAAAATAAAGACATGACGCGAGACCCAGGAGCGGTCTAGAAAATCCGTTTCTCGAGCTGCGACGGTTAGGGACCCGCGGATTAGGGCCAGTGAGGGGTCTGGTCCGTACCTTCCAGGGGTTGCTGAGCTCGAATCCCTTGGGAGCCTCGTGGTTGCTCGATTGACCTCGTTTTGTGCCGGTGATTCTGTAATCTCTCTCCATCACTGGCGCGGGTCGATTGTTAGCTATCGGGTATGATTCATGTTGGGGTCGACACGTCCAATCGGGCGTCGTCACGAGTCGACTGGAGGTTAATTACATACTTTGCTGTGCAAGAGTTAGTTCAACTGCGGTCGCATCCCCCCGGTCTAGGATCACTTACTCTGTCCCACAGATCTCTGTTCCAGCGCGCCTTCTTGCCCTCGTTGGCATAGTTCTTGACCACCCACAGACCGGCACTGCCGACAGTGAACGACTGTCACATCAAGTCAGTCGACCGAATAGAAAAGACATGGGGGAGAGGATTGACGTACTCCGATGATGATTCCGAAGGGAAGGAGAGCCTCGAAAGGAACACCCATGATGGCTGGTAGAGATCAAACGGACGGGAAAGCAGCGACAGCTCAATGAGCAAAAGCAATGGCAGATAGCACCGGGAGGGGGAAGACGTGAAGCTGGTGTGGCCGCGGGAATCCGCCGTTCGTCGACGAGGTCTGGAGGTTGGCCCAAAGTGGTTTAGGCGGGGCCGCAGGGCTGAGTCAGCACCGGCCGGCCATCCAACCTCACGGGCTGGAGAAGGGGCAAGACGCCGCCGTCGATTGCGTGGATTGCGCCAGTGCCTCTTTGACGGTCTTTCTTCCGCTGTCACACGCGTCGACTTCTGCTCGTTCCGCCCTGTCGGACCTGTTCGTTGCCAAGGTATGTCGTCCGCCCGCTCCCTACACGTGTTGTTTGCCATTGTCCGCTTCCGCTGCTCCTACTCCTCACTGACCGTGGTTTGCTATGCGCTTGCTTCAGGATCGGGCCTTTGTTTTCCTGCGGATTTCTTTCCTACCTGCGTGATCGTTAGATCTGCGGCGCCCCAGGCAATTCGTTTTAGTCTTCCCGATGCCCGTTTCACACGGCACCCGATGATTGTCTACTCTCGCGGGGAGCTTCAATAGCCTCGACTGCCGGTACTACGAACATTCCCCCTTTTATCTTCCGAGGCGATTACACGCCGGACGCCCTGGCGACCGTCGTGACATACACCATGCCGCCTATCCTACCGCCGGCCAACGACGACCCCGAGCCGAAGACCCCGGCGGACATGGTGGACAGTGACCAGGACGCAGAAGGCGAAGAAGAGACAGACTTGTATCAGATGGACCAGCAGCTTCAGGATGCCGTGCACCGCGCCTTCACGGGAGAGGTTGCGGAAGAGGCTGCGACGGGCGACCCCGGGGATGACCAGGATGCAGAAGGGGAGCCCGATACTGAGATGAATTTGGACGGCGATCAGAATGATGCCGAGCCGGTGGGTGCGGTCAAGTTGCCTCAGAAGGGTCCGGCTGTCGACGATGAGGAAGCAGCTTCCGGGACCGTGGATGCGGATGCGGATGCAGACCCGGCCTTCGACAACCAGAGTGACAGCGATCAGGAGGCCTCCCGTTCTTCGTCAAGCAGCCAGGAATCGGATGACGAGGAATGGGAGGGCGAAAGCAATGACCACGAGGATGCGGAGGCGGAGACCTTGATCCGCGGGAACTGCATGTGAGTAGGAACTTTGCTTTTGGCCCCTGAACTCCTTGGAGAACATTCCCTCGGAAGGTCTACTGACGGGTCGGTGCAGTTTCTGTGGCCAAGACGAGGACAATGACCCGAGTGAAGAGTATGAGGAATATTTGGCGTGTGCCGTCTGTGGCGATCACTGTATGTTGATTTGCGGCCCCATCCAAACTATAATTTCCCCGGATATTGGGCGATCCCGACTGACTCGGCAACCCCAGCTCATCGGCAATGTGCCCGCGAGCAGAATGCCCTAGAAGATGTAGAAGGTACGTCAGCTTGATATCTTCTGGTAGTCACTGTTCTGACTGGTTAGATGGCAATCCGTGGAGATGTCCCACCTGCGTCCGGGAGAAACTGAAGCCCAGTGCGGAAGAAGGCGCCCCGACGCAACGGAAAAATCGAGAGAAGAACATGCGCAAGGAGCTTTTGCCGGCCCACACGGGAGAAGATGGGTCTGACTTCCATTCCATCTTCAATACAGTCACTGTCAACGACGAATTATTGAATAGCTCGCGGTCGCTGCGAAAGAGGAAGACCCTGTCTCTCTCCGCCGAGATAGAGGAGCATACACCGGCACTTCGCAAGCGACAACGTCACACTCCCCTGCGCTTCGATCGCGCGGACTCTCGCGACCAAATGGCGGAAAACCCCGATACTCTGTCTCCAGTGCGGACTCGTTCGCGACGCACGCGCAGGACCGAGCAAGAAAACTGCCGCGTGGTGTTGAGACAATTCGAACGGCTCGTGGTGGCTTTCCGTCTGAACGAGTCCAAGCTGTCGAAAATCCTCAACGCTCACAGCAGGTCCCAAATTAGGAGCCGAAGGACCCCCAAGCCACCCCCGATTACCCACGAGCCGCAGGCTCATTTTGCACCGATCACCCCTGCACCTCATTACACCCCATTTTATTCTTTTAGCGACCGTGAGACAGACGAACTGAAGGGCAAACCGTACGGAGGGATCTTGTCCGAAGCTGATGCAGATACCTCCAAGACATTACCGACGCATCTCGACCGCGAACGGTTCGAGAAAGCCCGTCAAAAAGCCGAAGAAGAATGGCAACGACGCGCCCTGGCAGCCGAGAGTACTGGGGAAACCGTACAGCATGCATCCCAGAAGGTGTCTGGGCCCCCGTCGAGAATCAAGTACATCAATTTTGGTGGCTATGAAATCGAGACCTGGTACGCCGCGCCATATCCCGAGGAGTACAGCCGCAACCGGATCCTCTACATTTGCGAATTTTGTCTAAAATACATGAACTCGGACTATGTCGCGTGGCGCCACAAGCTCAAATGCCCGGCGAAGCACCCTCCAGGAGACGAGATTTACCGAGAAGGGTCCATCTCGATCTTCGAAGTGGACGGCCGGAAGAACCCAGTGTATTGCCAGAACCTCTGCTTACTCGCCAAGTTGTTCCTGGGCTCGAAGACACTCTACTACGATGTCGAGCCGTTTCTGTTCTACGTCATGACGGAGTTTGACGATCTGGGCTGCCATTTTGTGGGCTATTTCAGCAAAGAAAAGCGGCCGAGTTCCGCTAACAACGTTTCCTGCATCCTCACCCTCCCTATCCACCAACGCAAAGGCTACGGAAACCTGCTCATTGACTTTTCGTATCTGCTTACGCGCATCGAAGGCAAAACGGGCTCGCCCGAGAAGCCTCTCTCCGACATGGGCCTGGTTTCTTATCGAAACTACTGGCGGCTCATTCTATCCTATCAACTCCGTGACCAGAAGGCGCCGCTGAGTATCACCGATCTTTCGGAGCGGACGGGCATGACCGCCGACGACATCGTATCCGGCCTGGAGGCATTACGTGCGCTGGTGCGAGACCCAGTCACTAAGACCTACGCCTTACGCCTGGACTATCGATATTTTGAAGAGTGCATCGCTAGCTGGGAAAGCAAAGGATACGTCCAGCTCAACCCGGACGCGCTGGTCTGGACGCCTTATATCATGGGGCGCAGTAACCAGTCCCAATTCGATCGGGCCCCATTACATGCGGTGGCACCCCGAGAGGGCCTGGATGACGAAGAGAGTGAGGACGTGAAGGAGTCGGGCAACGAGGAAGAACGGCAGACCTCCGCGGATGTTGATGGGTCTAAGGAGGATGGCCCTGTCTCGATCGCGAATGGGACTGGCGAGCCCGACTCGGAGCCGCTTCCGAGGGAGCCTGCAGGGCCTCCTGCTACCGATTCCCTCGCCAATGTCAACGGCTTCCGCCACTTGACGACAACGTCCGCAGGCTCTAGCACGCCGGCCGGGTCGAATCCTGCTGGGGACATCCCGGCCTGGCGATTCGAAATCTATCCTCCCGTCCAAGCGCCGGCCAGCAAACGGCGTCCCGGCCGGCCGTTTGGCAGCAAGACGGCCAAGATGCCTGGCACTCCGATCCCTGTGCGGACCAGTGGTCGCAACACCCCTAGACGAACGTCCGTGTTGGCGTCGGTGACCCCCTCTGCTAATCCGCCCAGTGTTCGACGCGGTCGCAGCGCGAAACTCATCGATTCCCCAGCGGTGGAATCGACCAGTGTAGAGCCGGATGGCATCGAGAATGAACCGTATGAGGACATGGAGAACACGCCCGCCGATGGAGAAGATCCCACCTCCCGGATCCATGTCTCGACCGAGACCGCAACGACCAACCACGCGGTCGGTAAGGACGAGCTGCTCCCCACGTCCAACGGCACGACGGATCCGGAAATTAACCAGGAGAACCAACCCACCGAGCATCCGGCAGTCGAGCCCGTAACCCCTTCCAAAGGCAAGGCAGTCGAGGGGAAGGCCAGGCTCTCCAAGTCGGTCAGCCGCAAGTCCTACGTGGAGAAGCTGGAACTCATGGTCGCGGCCGAGGACACCGCTCTGTCGACCCATGAGAACGGCGTTAGCGACACGGCTCCGGTCAACGGCACGGATGCAGACGGCGACACGGTGATGGGGACCTGATGAGGGTCAGACATGCCGGAGGTCACCAGGCTTCGAATGCATGCTCCAAAGATTTTCACGAGGCATTTCCCGAGGGCGTTCTTGCTTGCTACTATTGTTGGGAGCGGGGTGTTTTGTTTCTGGCTTTGACTTACGGGATACACTTCATCATGACTTGACCTACTTGGCTTATTTGCTCGTTTTTTGCACATTGTATCAAGCAAGGAGTGGGGCGGGTCATCGGAGTTTTGGTTCGTCTCTTCTTCCTGGGGCTGTTGAGCCGTGTTTACCTTCCTCCCCCTTTCTACCTCGAGGGCCTCGTCCGCGTCCCCGCTATGGGACTGGTTCTTCTGCTTGGTCGGGAGCACCGTCGACGGGGACGGGTGCCTGCCTCTGCTTTTCAACCCATTCGATTCTGTACTGTAGCTGGCTCCCACGGGATTCTCGCATAATGTCGTTCTACTCAGGCCATCTCCTTCCCGAATGTTACCTTTACCTGGCCTTCATCTCGTCCATCACTCGTCAAGACTGTACAAACTCGTCCTGCGTCGTAGGCCCGAATCTGGTTCCAATGTAAGGAATGCGGAATCTCGATCCTTCAGAAGTCTATCTCCGCCGGACCGACTATCGAGATTGGGGCGCAAAAATGTGGCTGAAACCGGTCTCACTCTCATTGGATGAATGCGTCGACGTGACTACTTGCATCCAGCCATCCCATACGGAGTACGGCGTACTCATATCAGAATACCATGCCATTCCTCTCCCTCTTCCCCTACTCCCTACCTACTCCCTATGGAGTAGTTCTTTGATCCCTACCCTTGATAAGTACTATCGATCGAGCGAAAGAAAAGAAAAGGAAAGACTGAAGCAGAACAGGAAAGAAAGGGACCGTTCCAGCGAAGTTCTATAATACCTTACTCTATATTCAATATACACACTAGACGTATAAAATAAAAGTATTAACATACCTACATACTAATTCCATTTTTCTTTTTCTTTTCTCCCTTCCCTAGCCCTTCTCCCTTATTTATTATAGATAGATAGATAGATAGACCCGTATCCGGATTCAGCAAGACCAGATACCACATCACCATGAACATGAACATGAACATGGACATGAACAGAAGATACCTGGAACAGGTCCTATCTGCAACTACTATTTCCTCCGTACTAGGTAGGTAGGAAGCCTACCTTTCGGAGTTGTATCGGAAGATCCAAAAACGGAATAATACCTTTTTCTCTTTCTTGTATAGTTGCTGTTTTTTTTTTTTTTTTTTTTTTTTTTTTTTTTTTCACCTTGTGTACTTATGGAGTACTCCGTTTTTGTCACGGAAAAAGAAATATGCTTATGTCTTATTTACTTATTGATTTTGTTTTCCCTGAGAATGTCATTCCGGGTACGGAGTGAGAAGGGGACAACAGACGAGAATGAGGAGAGAGTGTGTGAGAGAGAACAGAGGCAGGAAGGTATGTGTACGATCAAGGCAACTAGGTTAGAGTTTGAGCCAGCGTGGTTGTGGTGGTGGGTTTAGAGTGCAGGATGGGGCGGGAGGGAAATTCCTGGAATTCACTTTCATCTTGCGTTGTTCATTATCTATCTACCTATCTCTCTGCGATTTTAGGTTTGGGGGATTTTTACCTTTTCTGGGTTTTTGTTTTTATTTTTGACTTTTGACTTTTGGGGATTGGGGGATCGGGGGATCGGGGGAGGGAACCCTTACCTAGAGGGCTGGTATACCCGGTATGGCGTAGATGGTTTCGGATACGGAAGTCCTTGGGAGATGTGATGGATACATACGACCTGCTGGCGGCTTCACGGTGGGTAAGCAAGGTACGTACTAGATAATCTAGACCGACTAGATCGTTGTAGCCTGCTGCTGCCTGCCTGAGACGGTGGCGACCACAATAAGGTCTTTCTTAATTGGGGAATTTGGGAATTATTTTCCGCGTGTCCCGTTTGGGGGAACAATCTCGATTGACCCCAGCAGAGGAGGCCTCCTGTCCAGTAATAGTTCGATGAGTACGGTGGAGGAAATCCTGGTTAGCATCCTGTAGAGCCGAGTCCGTCCGTTCATGCAAGTCTCTCCCTATGGACGGCGGTTAGACGGCGATACACGGTTACAGGTCATCGCCGTGCTGAGTGGGACCACGAAGCAGTTGATGAATAGGACGATCTATATCGGTCCTGAGACGGGCGGGAGAGGTGTGGCTCATGTGCCGAGCAGTTCCGTACTATACTAGTACTTTAGTTTTGCTGATGTGGCGATGCGGCTGGTATGTACGTCTGGGCTGCATAGGCTGTCGCGATAGTGTCTATTAGTCACAGCCCCGTGTGGTGGAGGGGCTGTTTTGCACCCTGCGATCTCAACTACCGGCCAATGGGGAATTTGAAATTGGCTGCCCCATGACAATGGCCATTGTGTGGGTTTGTCGGCGGTGCGTGATGACACCGGGTTTGGCTGAGTTGGCGGTGAATGGCGACGCGCTGCTTATCCCTGCCAGGAGTATACCTCTGGGGAAAGAAAGAGTAGTAGCAAAGGGCTGGAAAAATAACCATCGACGGCGCCGGACGGAGGACAAGGTTGAAGTCTCCGTGTCCCGGACTGGACGGAGTAACGAGAAGTCAATCGATAATGGCGTGCACGGTTAGCGGATGAGAGGCGTCTTAGCCGGTCTGATCTCTCGGATTCTGTATATGATCTGTCAGTTAGTCAAAAAAAATTCCCCTTCGGGCCCCTCTTTCCTCCGTCCTTCGTGCTATCGTCTAGCCTTTACAAATCACCCGGCCTATTACTGAAGCTTTCTGATCGATTCGACAAAGCCTTTCTGGGGCCTTCGATAGGTCCGGACCCCTGTTCGGGCACCCCCCTAGTCGAAGTGTCGCGGCGCTGATAATTATTACTCGCGATTAGCGAAGGTTAAAAAAAATCGCGTTGTCGAAGGACGAAGGAGCGATGAGAACACCAGTTAAAACAGCGGTCGAATCCAGGCCCAGCCATCAATCAAAAACAGGAGCTAGGCGGAACTGGGCGCCCCATCCAGACCTGGAAGTCTGGAAGGACTCCATGGGTCGGATCAGTTGAACTTCGGGAACCGCCCCCAGACCAGAATAAGCATAACTGTAGCGTAGACTAAGCGCTGGTGAAAGTCTGGTTCAGACTGGGGATGCTCGGCGGACCGCTGTCATCAATAACCAGGAAAGGTTTCGGGCCCCGTGCTCGTTGGAGCAAAAAGGCAACCGCTTGGGAGCGCCGACCACTTCATCGTGCATCCAGTCGGCCCCCCACCGAATATGTAAATGGTCCAAAGGGGAGGGGTCGATGGTTGAGAGACAAGCAGGAGAGGGGTGAATGGGCGAAATTTTAGTGCTGAGATTTTTCTGGCGCTCCTTTTTCCCTCTCTCCTGTCGATTCGTTTGGATTTTACCCACCCGGTTTTGATTTGATTTTTTTTTGTTATTTTTTGATTTTTGATTTTCCCCTGCCTTCATCCTGAGGCCATTCCCATCGCCCTGATAGAATTGGAGCGAGGGTCATGGCGGTAGGGATTTCTTCCTTCCAACTGAAAACCCACCCACCGCGGGCTTCCAGTGACAGTTCGGTGTGTGTGTGCGTCCAAAGTGTGGCCATTCACAGGGCTGGTATGGTTCTGCCATTCAGCGCCCATCCACCAACATTGTCCCCTCCCCCCAATTGTGGTGTCATTCCTTTTTCCTCTGACTCGGTAACCTCGTACGCTCTCCCATCAAAACGTGGCATTATCGGTACACTTGTGCTGTAGGAAATTTTCTTGACTAGCAGCCGCCATGGTAGCATCGCAGCCGGAGACTTGCTGACAGGTCTCTCCCTATGGCGTCGATCAGGCCCAGTGTGTGTGGTGAATCAACCAGAGCTTGTCCTCTCCTTGGTCCACTCCCGTTCAGCTGCCCCATTAATCTTGCTTTCTTCTCTTCCCTTGCCATGTTTTGTGCCAACCATCCGCTGTTGGCAGGATGGTGGTTGAGTCACGCTGCGGGCCAAATAAACCGCGTCAATCGTCAGGAATCTTTGTTATCTCCATCCATCCTCTTCTGGCCTCCTTTCCTGCCGGGGATGGATTTTGTTCCTGACTTGCAGGTACTATGTCCGAAAGCTCCGCTATCCTGGACGTCTGCCCCATCCATGTCCTTACAAATCTAGGCATTGGTCTATGCCACCCTTGCATGGGAATTGCCAATCCTCGGACGCATGCTTCCTGCTGATCCTTTTTACGCGATAATTCTTTCGACGAGGTTCCGAACTTGTGACCGATATGTTGCGTCAACCTATTAGCAAGATAACAGGCCTCGTCGCCCTGCTGAACGGAAGAAATACAGGCTCCGCAGCCAAGGTCGATGTGCCCGTTGTACTCGATGCTGTGCAGATTGCGGAAAACGCGATTGCGGGCTTCTGGGACCAGTAGCTTTGCAGTTGATGCGGCTAGATGCAGATGCCACTACCTCCTAATAAGATCCAGGATCCGTACGCATCCCGGGCTGCAGCGCATCTGGGGGAATCATGAATGGTACCCGAGGGCTTCCAAAAGAATAAAAAAGGTAAAAAAAAATTGGAGGCAAGAATAAGGGGGGAAGGGCGCTGTATGGGGAAAAGAAAGAAGCGTAATTCTCAGCCGCGCTTTTACACAGCGTGAACCAGGGACCCTCAGATTATGCATGGAGAGGCTGCGTAGTCCAACCAGAAGGTCAACACTATTAAAGTAAGGTTAGCTCTTCATTGCTGAATCTCGCTTAGGCAAGTGAGAGAAAGAATCGCTCTCGACGATCCCTCTTCCAGAGACGAATCATGCATGCTTACCTTCACAACGCCGCAGCAGACCAGCGATCCGATCTCTGGCGGCCCGGCTCTGCTGAGGCGTGAGCGTCCCGTTCCCCGAGATCGAATCAACCTTCCAGCGCAACGGTATGGATGTCGGGGTGGGACGCGAGCCCTGCGACCTGCGTGTCAAATTCCAGGCAACGTGATGCATCCATCGGGCTAGCTCTCAAGAATGCAGCAGCTAAAAGGTTTGTTCTCGAGCCCGACCTTTCCCCACGGCTGCACGTTGAAAAAGAGGCCCACTCCCACCTCTGGTTCTCCTTCCCGACTGCGATCGATTGCATATTTATTCCTGGGTCTGTCCCTTCAATTTTTATTTTTCTCTTTGACTAGGGTGGCTGTTGTCCACGATCGTCCTTTTGTTCCTTTCGAGGGTCGTCGCCGAGGGTCATCGTGAGAGGATCACATCATCTCCGGGAACATCGCGGGGAACGAGAGATATCAAGATAGTCAAGATAAGGGGAGGTTGATCCCGCTGTCGTACAAAGGTCGGTACGGGGAGGACTGCGGAAGGACGAAAGGAAAATCCCCGAGGGAAAGATTTGGAATTGGCTGCAGGCTACTGTCGAGGGAAAGAGGAACAGACAGGGGATGGTCCCTCGTGACACAGACTGGGGTTGGCAGCAGCAGCACGTCGTCGCCATTCTCCTCGACCAAACCTCCTCGTCCTGAACCCCCTCTAACCACCATCGTCCCCCTCCAACAACTCAGGGGTTCCGAACGAGAAGGCAAAGCTCTCGGACAAACCTAAGCAAGACCACGCGACTGAAGGGGAAAAAAGGTAGGCATTTGTTGCCCAAGTCGAAGCATTGAATTGCTTGAGAAAAGTCAAATTAATTGACGAATTTCTCAAGTTCTAACAAAGGGCTCAAAGGATATTGAGTGGGCCTTGGGGGCCCTGGACCCCTCCTGCCGTCGCCTCGACCTTGGATCCTCCCTTTGTCAGGAAACACGGAACCAAAGGTGGATGACATAGGAGGTCAGTCAACGGTTCGTCGTGTCCTTGTGATGTCGTTGTTGATAATGATGGTGTGCTTGTGGTGTGTGTTGGGGTGGTGCTGGGGGGTGGTGCTGATGATGTTGTTGCTCGTGATGCTGACTTGCCGGCCTAAACACAGTGAAAGAGCCTGTGATAGGCGGATAGTAGAAGCCAGCAGTGAAGGAGGAGACAACCGAAGGCCTATCTACGGATGAGCGCCACTCTTTCCGAATCAACGCAAGAGACGATCCGATTCTAAGTACAGTGCGGAGACAACGATACAATCCAGTCGAAGACATTGACTGCTATACACTTAGGCGCGCGCACCGACCAGCATAGATCACTTCACTGGCGCCAAACCAAGAGCTGGAGACCCTGCGTGGCGTCTAGATACGGGTCTGATCACTTGCATAGCCGGCTCCATCTCCACGCGCACGAGACCACGCCGTTGCCTGGGTGGGTTGGGGTTTCCTCGGGGAAGTAAGTAGTGGTTTGCCGCAAACGCGGTGGATTCTCGTGCCTAGCTCGAATCAGTCGTTTGATTGTCTGCCGTCAGTCGATCCGGCCTAGACGAGGAGTAGACTTTGAGTCTTGCGCAGGTGGCCGGCGTGGATCTGACTTTGGTCGCTTCTTCCCCTCCCTCGTTTTCCTCGGAACTTGCCAATGTGCGCATCATCTTCATGTCGCTGCGGTTCCTGTCGGATCGTCAAGGCTGATACACACCTTAGCCCGCGTACCCAACCGTGGTTGACCTGACTGGGAACGACACCATTCGACGGGCAAACAGTGGCCAGCGCTGCGCTCTTATTCTGGTACAGCTCCACTAGGTCATTTGTCTGGTTTACCCTTCAGCTGGCTCTCCTCTGATTTCCAGTAAATTTTTACCCTAGACTTCCTAATTCTGACACACCAGCGGCACCACTCATTTATTTTCGTGGATTTTTTGTGCGTCAGAGACCTGTCAGAGGCGACTTTTTGTTGACCCATCGTTCAGCTACCGTCTGATCGCTGGGCGGTGTTCGATCCCGCCACACCTGCCTAGTCCTTCGCTCGCTTCAGAACTACGACGGCGGCTTCTATTATTACTATTTTGACTTTGGCAAAATTTCGGAGGAGGGGGGCGTGAATTAATTGTCCCATCTGGGTTTGGTCGCTGATTTCCCATATTTTTCTTACTCCGGCCGCGCGACCTGTGACGTCTAGACCGGTGGTCGATTGAATGAACCAGACACCACGGTCGCAGAGCCCGATCTGATTCCCGGAATTTTCTTCAGGTGAAGAAACAAGAGCAGTGACCGTTTCATTCTCGCGTGAGGAAGTTTCCTTTCCCCTTCCAGACCAGTTCGGAAGAAATCAAAACAAAAAAAAAAAAAAATTCGAGAGGGAGGGAAAAAAAGAAGAATAAAGAAAAACAGCCGACGGGAAAGTCTGGACAAGAGTTTAAACAAATAAAAAAGAAAAAAAAAAAACGAGAAAACGAACTACACCCATCAGTTTGGAAACAGCAAGCACAGCAAAAACACACCAGGCTACTGCTATAAGAGCCAAAAGAGCAGCAAAAAGAGTGGACAGGAAAGCACAGCACGATAGCAATCCACTTGGGTCGATTTTGCTGGTTAAGGTTTGTCTGGAACCGTGCCCGGCTGGCTCTTGCCGCTTGCATTCTGACGACACCATCCATCTTTTTCCTCTTCCTCGGAAGCCGTTTTCGTACCCGTTCGCCTCAGTCAAGCTCGAAAACTACTTGACGCTGCGACTGCAATTTACGGCCAACCCTCCAGCAGCTGTCCCCGACGCAAGTGGTAGCCCAGCGGTGATTCCCTCCGGCTTCTCCACTCCGGTAGTTGGGTCGAAGGTCCAGCTCCAGCTGCTACGGACTGACTAACTAGTCAATCATACCGTCGCGTCCATCTTTAACCAACCCCAACTCCCCTCTTTCACCCCACCGTGTATCCTTCTCTCTTCTAGTGCTTCGTCGAACCACAAGTCGTCTGGTGCCAGGTTCCAGAGACCCAACTCTTCTACCCTGCTGTTAATCCGCCGGTTCGTTCTTTGTTTCTTCATCATATCTCACTTTTCCCCTGGCCACCTGCTGCTGTTCAGACGTGGTTCACAGCTGTCGTCCTCGCGGATATCCGACTTGGATCCTTTGGCTCCCATATTCTTAGTTTGTACCCTTGAGAGCTCGCCTTGATGAGTGCGTCGACGTTTCCGGACGCTTCCCTTGCCCGCGATTCTCAGAGGTTTGTTCCCACCATTCCTTCTTCCTTCGTCGTATAGCTTCAACTCTTACTCAGCTGCTCAGGGCTTCCAACTGACAATGATTACCTCCAGCTCTGACTTTGACCTGATCGTTCGCCAGCAGCCCAACCGGGCGCGCGTGGCTGGTGGGAAGGAGAAAGGTACGTGGAACCATCTGCTTCCCAGTCTTCGAAGCGTCCCACGGACGAGCAGGGGCTGACTTGGGGATCATGTCCGATCTACAGAACGCAAGCCAGTAGATCCACCCCCGATTGTGCAAATCCGAGTAAGAGAGGAGGGGACGTACCTCGCGCAGTACGTGACCAGACGTGAACTTGTACTCGTCCGAGCTTGCCCACTAACGGATGCGATAGGCACTACTTGCAGAGTCCGTATTATTTTATGTGCTGCAGCTTGTATGATGCCTCAGAGGACAACCCAGTTCCCGTGGCCCCGTCCACCGCTTTAACTGGTACCTTGGTTTCGTCCCTTCACCGGTTGAAAGACGTGGATAACAGTGGTAAGTCGGATTTCCCAGGAACCCGTTGAGATCCGCTTTTTGACTGGTCTGGCTCAGATGGAGGTTTCTTCGTGTGGGGGGACTTGTCGGTGAAAATCGAGGGAGATTTTCGACTCAAGTTTACTCTCTTCGAAATGCGGAAGTAGGTTTGGTTTCCCTTTGGCTCTGGGATAGCTTCCCAGTGAGCCGATTCACCGGTTGGCAAAATCAGGTGCTGATTAGCGGCGTCTCAAGGGACATTGTTACCCATTTAAAGTCCATCATCACAGAGAGATTCACCGGTAAGTGTATTTGCTGGTAAAACTCGCACCGAGTCTGCAATACCTGACCATTTGCAGTGTACCCACCGAAGAGTTTTCCCGGAATGGCCGAGTCGACGTTTTTGTCCAGATCGTTCGCGGACCAAGGCGTGAAGTTGAGAATCCGAAAGGAGCCCCGGACATTAATGTGAGTGAAAGAGCCAGTGGCTGGAAAGCCTGCGAGAAGTGGGCATTGTGTGATTGACAAATTCGACAGTAAACGACCTGTTCCCCGGCCGGAGGATTATCCACAGCCGATTCCGCGCTCCCCCGATCGTTCTTCGATCCAAATGCCAAGCAATGCGTTTAGCGGTTATCCGCCAACGAGCAGAGACTACGGGTACTACGGGCAAGCGCATACAAGCAAGCGGCCGCGGATGTCTTCAATAGACCTTGGTACTCGAGGCATGTATGACAACGAGGGGCGTATGCGTCAAATTGATGCATACCCCCAGACGGCCCTTTACAACACGCCAGGAGGCTATCCGACTCCCATAATGCAGGGGTATCCCACAGGGCACACGGCAGTTCCAGACTATGCGGTTCGTGCACCTCTGCCATCCCCTCCAATCGCCGGCATCTTGGAGACGGCGACGTCTCTACCGGTGTCATCTCCCGAGGTTGGGCGGAATGCTGACCCTTCAGCAGATGCCTTACGGAATCCCGTCCTCCACGCAGGTACCCCAGATGCAAGACCCTGGGGCACACGGCCGATCCAGCCAACAGGCCACGATGCAGTCCTTGGGAATGGTCAACGCGCCTGGTACTCCTGTATGGACTCCGCCTACCACCCGTCGTTGAGGACGAGAAGCTAAGAACCGTATATTTCTCTGGATAGACAGCGGACTCGACGGGGCCAATGATGCCACAAGGCTACGCTCGTTCGCAATACCAGACTGGGACTGGGTCCACAATCCTTCCTCCTTTGCAGCGGAATCGAAACTGTACACAAGGAACCAACGGCGCGGCGGCACGAGGCTACTTTGACCAGTCCCCTCAAGCGGCTACTCCAATTCTTCCATCACAGCCCATTGCCACCAATGACACGGATAGATACGCTTCTACTCCTGGTCAGGCGGTGTTTGAGCATCCGATTTCAGCGAATGGAACCCCTCGATAAGTGGTTTCGAGTGCCTAGCTGCGTTGCTTGGGGTTTGTGGTCTTGGTCGATGGCTAAATTCGCGGGTTCTTCTTCTCTCTTTGCTTTTGCCTCCTTGGATAGACAGTTGGACGGGGTTTTCTTTTGTTGGGACAAGAATCAGGTCTCTGGGGATAAATGGCGCCTGGGGGATCAAAATGGGATAACCATACTACAGGTGTTTGATTGCTCTTTTTATTCTCCTTTGTTATTTCTATGGCTTTGGATTTGGGTTTGACGACGGATGATGGCTGGACGGATGACTTCACTGTACATATTAACTTGACAGAATTTGACTACACGGGTAGTTTAATCGCTACGCTGCCCTGCTCATTAACGATCTAATTCTTGGCCAACTAGATGTTGGGTCTACCAAAGTTCATGGGTGAAGAAGCATGGCTGTTGCAACCACGAGCGGCGGGTGGCTGCCTCAGGACGGGGTGTTGCCTTCCGTTCTGGTGCGGGACAGCCCAGCCGCCTTACCAGCTCAGCTTGACTTCACTTGCACTCCCCTCACTTCTGCTGGCATTCACTCTTTCAGTCGGGCTTCCTCTCTTTCTTTCCGATCATTGAGCCAGTCGACGTGTTTTTGTCTTGTTCTCGTCTTGTTCTCTATCCAATTTAACGGATATCCTTACCAACTCACTGATTCAGATATCCATGATGGCCTCCTCCCAAGGTGAAAGTCGTTCAAATTCTCTGCCCAAAGCCCCTGAATTCTCGAATCTAGAGGTTCGAAGCACTTGGGGTGGTAGCCTGGATGAGCCAGTGGATCTCAGAATCTCTTTGGTGGTAAGCTGTTTTAACCCCATTCTGGAGGCTGCTGCTCATCGAGATCTCCTCGTTCTTCCAACACTAGGCTCATTGCGTACCAAGCACGAGAATCCCCCTATTAAATGTCAGATCTGCGAGAATATCCGTCCTCAAAACACGTTTGATCCGGCTTCAGTCTGATGAATCAAGCGATGATAATCTGTCAAGCACAAGTTCCCCTCAGAGCCCTCTATTTGGCTTCTCATCTGTACCGGATGATCAGGACAATAACTATGAAGCACATGGCCTGGGTATTGAGGGGTCCAATGTGGTAGAGACGGTGAATTCCGCTGTGATGATTGACGAAGCAGGGTCCTCGACTAGCGGAACTACAGAGAACCGCTTCGGTCGTCATGCTGTATCAACTTCGTTAGATCCTCCGTATCATTCACCATCCGTACCAGGCTTACGTTCGAACTTCGCTAAGTGCGAAGATTGGTCGATGCTCCAACGCCTGGGAAAAAGAAGTGCAGCCGCAGCGTGTCTGACGGATTCCGAGTCAGGTTCTGTCAAGGCCGAGGGCTCCGACCGAAAAGAAACGCGGAACGGCATGGCTAGTAGTATTACAAATGCGGAACCCAGCCAGAACGCAGCGCATGACTCAAAAGGACTGAATGGACACCTGGCTACCAACTCTCCGCTTTCCGGAATACAACCCGATGGTGTTTCCCTGAAGTCTATATCCCAGTCGGGACGTCTAGGAAAGGGAGTAACTGCTGATTCTATAACTGGCGACCCTGTCGTCGCTCCTAGCAACACCCAAATTAATGGGCTAGTTGATGTTTCCGAAGATAAGGGAGTAGTAGCCGATACAGAGGTCGGAACTCGGGAGGTCGGTATTACCACCACATTGGATACTGATAACCATCTAATCCACATTTCTAAGAGCCCGGTGACTACTGGATCCGGGTTTGGCCGGTCTGCTGTGGACATGTTCTCAATTGATGAGGGTATGTTGTCTGCAGAGCATGCAAACAAAGGCACCTCAGGAGCATCGAATGGCATGTTTGAGCAGTCCCTTGGGGCGACTCGAAAGCCAGATTTTGCAGAGTTTAGCTCCGCTACAACTGCACATACACTCCTTAGTTCCAGCCCTGATCATGCCGTCACACCAGATAAAAACGAACAGAGCATGAATTCATGGGCCTCTCTTCTTCCAAAGCTCACCATACCACGAACATCCTATCAGGAATTTGGAAAGGACAGCCTTAGGCACGATGGTGATCACGATGCACACTCACCAAGGCAATGTGAGCCGGAGTTCGACGTTAACTCCGGCATCTTGTTCATTAGGAATCCTTGCAATCTTCAGCCGGCATCATACAAGCTTGTAATCACCCTATCGGTCTTCCTGCGAGAAGGGAAGCAGAGGGGATGGAATGAACTAGTAATACAAGGACTTCCCAAGCTGAACAGTGGCGAGTGCGGGTTCCTTCTCTTCCGCATCCCGAAAAAGTACGGCCTTGAGCTCCGTACGACAAGCTTACAGAGGTATAAGATTGTGGAGAACTGTTTCATGGCTGAATTTTGTTCCACAGGCGACCTTGTGATTCCGCTTCGCAGGTGTCACCGGAAGTTCTACGGAATTGTCAAGGATTTTATTGTTCACCAGGAAATCAGGGCTGAATATGTCGTCAACTCTGACAAACGAGATTCTCAGTCAGACGTGCAGGTGAAATACCACGCAATCTGCTCTGTCAGACTTCACAATCGTTGCTTCTGGGCCGAGAAATGCTGCCTCCGGCTTTCCATCGACGGCGGTCCAGAGAGCTCCTTCCATAGCAAGCTTGATTCCCATAGAGGCGGACTGGAGATGATCCACATCACCCCTCAAGAGGGCACTCCTATTGGTATCTCGTGCCTGGAAATTATCTGCTCCCCCGGAGATCTAGAATTGTTTTGTGTGGACTGGACAGTCCGGCTTCCTCAAGAACGAGCAATCAGTTGGCTCCCGCGAATTTATCCGGCATCATATATGACCTGTGACCGTGTTAGACATCAACTTCGGTACACGTTTGAAAATATGGAGGCTGCCTCACTCTCACAGACTGAGCGCTTCTGCGACCACGAAAACGAGCAATTCCCAGGAGGAGACTTTGAGCCCACGAACGAAGGCAGCGTTACTGGTATTGCAGACCCCGAAGACCCTGTCCAATTGTCACCGATCAAACTTGTACAGGAGTATCACGAGGCCAAGGGGCTTTGGGGGACATTGAACGTCGTAAAAATCGTTCTTCTCGGCTGCATATGCATACCCTATGTGTTGGTCTTCGTGTTCGCGTTCCCATGGCTCAATCGGGCTGTCATGGACGTTGTGACATGGCCCGAGGAGAATTCCACTATTACTGTCCCGATCAATGGTCCGAATATGAGCCAGGGAGGGATGGTGTACTGGCATATCGAGCCCTGGGAGGCCAAAGTGGATGACAGTCCGATTCCCACGCAAGATGCCGAGCCAATTGAAGAGAGATTGGTTGTAAACAAGCCCACGGATGTTGATTTGGGATTCGACGGATCCGCACCAGAGCCAGCCCTCGAGTCGAATGCGGAACGTACCTTGACTTTCCGGGACAAGGTTGATTACTGGCTTGGTTGGCGGGGACCTGTCGAGCATTCTGTTGACGGTGAGATTGACGCGTAACTGCAAGCTGGCTAAGGATAGGAGAAACTCAGGAAAGACAGGAGGAGAGTAGGCGCTGCTTATCTAGTTAGATACTACTCATGAACTTGTCGTACTCTCATTGGCCCTCTGTTTCTTCAATATGCTTCAGGACTTCCTCGACTGCCCACTTCAAAATGTCCACCATGGATGCGTTCCCCTGACCTGGAGCAACCGTCACGCCCGCGTCCATCCTCAGGTTGACGCCCTGGCCGACCAGCCGCACCAGCTCCGGCGCATCCGCCTTGGGAAGTCTTGTCTGCGACCCTTCCTCAGGCAACAACAACCACGCATGATCCTGCACATAGTTGGGCCACACAATATCATCCACATACCCCGGCGGATCCGTCCAGAAATTCTGCGCCGGCCCATCATCCTCCTTCTCCAAGTCCACCTCTTCCTGTTCCTCTCCCGCCGACCCCCCCTGCGGCACCTCCGTCCCATCCTCCCCCTCCTCATTCGGCACCGTCGGCGCCGGCCCAATCGTCACATACCCACTCCTACTCTCCCTCCTCTCCTTAACATTCTCATACCGCGCGGGCAAAAACAACCGCACATCCATCAGATCATTGACCGCTCGCAGCCCATGCCCGGGATCTTCCTCCCTCGGCGGCGCAAACAGCAGAAACCCATCCAGAAACACAATCGTCCTTCTTATCCCTCCCTCCCCCTCCCCCTCCCCTTCACCATCCACCCGTGATGTAAAGTATTCAGGAACTCTTCCCCTCACCACCCCACGTAACTCCTCCACCACCGCCTCGGGTACATTCGACGCCGTCACATCATTAAGATCTTCCTTTGAGCGCAGCCGAGGCGGAAGTCGACCGTGGGCTTTTATGTATTGGAGGGAAGAGACCAGGAAGGGCGTGTTTAGGGCCGTTATGGTGTCCCAGTTTTGGATCTTTTGGGTGGGGTTGCGTGGGTGCGGGGTTAGGGGGATTCTGGTTTAGTTTTTTTTTTGTTAGTTTTGTTGGTTAGGGGTTGGGTCTGGGGGGAAGGGAGGGGAAGGGGGGGCATACTTGTCGTCGGAATGGTAAAAGTCGTCTTCGTGGACGATGAATGTATTGAGACTGGGGTCGTGGAGATCTGGTGATAGTTTGGAGAAGATGCGTTGGAGGAGACGCGCGAGGGTGGTTTTGCCGCTGCTGGAGGGGCCGGAGAGGCCGATGATGGTTGTGTTGCTAGGTGGTTGCTGTGGAGGTGCCATTGTTTGGGGGATTGGGGAGGAGATGTGGAGAGAGAGAGGAGAGTAGAGGAGGGGAAGGGGAGAGATAAATCCGGTGGGATGGATGTCGTGATGATGGATTATATGGGTGGGGCGGTGGGGCAGCCTTATCTGATAAAGATCCTGCTTATCGGCTTAGTTTCGTTCTAGTGGTTGTGGTAGTGGTTTCGTGCATATGTTTGGATTGTATGTGTTGCTATGCTACGCTTTTGTGCTATGTAGATATGGTATATGTCTCAATACAGAAGTATGTCCAACTATGGCCCGAAAATAGATACCCTCTTGCTTGGCTTACCCGCTGGCTTACCCGCTGCTTGTCGTGCATCTGCGGGCTGGGCGCTGTGAGCAAGCTCGAGCGATGACGAGTCCACCCGAACTGGCGAGACCCGTGGAGACCGGCTCCAGACGCGCGGAGGCGTCATGAGGATGCCATGCGGTGAGACAAAGCCCAGCCCTGACGACGCAGACTTAAGGCGTTTCGGCGTGACGAGGTCTGGTTCGGCGGTGCTCTTGGGGTCAAGAAGGACGGCGCGTTTACGCTTTCGTGGGGTTGCACGTGCTGGTAATTCTGGCTTTATATCTCCGTCCTCGTCATCAGCAATGGACAGCTTGTGGCGGCCGAATAGCCCAGACGGGTGCCTCAGGTACGAGATTTGAGCAAGGTCTTCACTTTCAGGCATCGGAATGAAGCGTTCGTTCTGAATGATGGAGTTCATTGTGCTATCGTCGAGGAGGTCTCCTGCGTGCTGCATCTCGCTGTCGGTCATGGCCTTTCGACGCTTCAGCATCCGGTCTTCCAGTGTGTCCTTGAGAACAAGCGTCTCGACGAACACGGGCCGCGTCTGTCCGATTCGATGCGCTCGTTTGATGGCCTGGCTTTCGACGTTCGGTTGCCAGATTGGATTCACGATGAAAACGCGGGAGGCGTTCGCAATGTGCAGGCCGTGGGATGCCTGGCGCAAGTCCATCAGGAGGACCCGCACCTCTTCCGACTCACGGAAGAGAGTAAGGTATTCTACTCTCATGGCGGGTTTGAGGGTGCTGGCGTAGATGCGAAAGTCGACCCCGAGAAGTTCGAGGCCTTCGGCAATCCAGAAGGCAGTATTATTGTTGTCATAGAAGATAATGAGTTTCTCGGCCTTGTGCAGCTCCGACACTTGGTCCAAGAGGTAGGTCAGCTTGGCGGAAGCGGTGGCGACCACTTTGGTCTGCGCCAGCGGTGACTCGGCCGGCAAGGTCTTGAAGAGCCCTTTGGTGTATGTCTTCTTCGGAGAGCTGCTCTTGACGGGCTTATCTGGTGTGGTCTTTTTGGGACTGGAGTTATCCCCCTCCCGCTCAGACAGCTCTCGACGTAACTTGATCCCCGCGCCGGCAAGCCCTTCCGTTGGGTCGTGGGTGTTTAAATGCTTCGTGACAAACTTTTGTGCATGATGCGCCTGGGTAATCCCCATCAGAAGAGGTTCCTGGTGTGCCACTGACTGATCAATAGCCCACATATTCCGAGCATGAGCAGGAAAGTCTTGGATGAAAACACCCAGTTCATGCATCTGCTTGAAGGCGCACCAGCCTCCACATCGGAGCGCTATTGTTCCTATCCGGATGCCTTCGCGTAATGTCACCGTGTCTTCCTCGCTCATCGCCGGGTGCTTACCCAAATACTTCAGGGCATTGTCGATGGTTTGGGAAATGTCGTCCGAGCCAGCCCACCAGAACCCTGCTTGGCGGAGGTTGTTGATCACGAGGCTTAGATGCTTGCGGTTGCGTGGATGGAACATGTAATCGTGGTCTTTGCGCTCGGAGGTGATCGCGTTAACCGCCAAGCCAAAAATGAACATGTTCAGGTTCAACTTGTCGTAAAACGTTGGCTCAAGATGCACCACCTTGTTGTACAACCGGGGAAGGGGAATCTCACTGTGGATGACCTCGAGACGATGTCGCACGACAAGGCTCTGCAGAGTAGCTCGCAGAGACGGCGCTTTCCGCCGCCTACCATCTTCGCCAAGGGGCTTGATGTACTTGGTCCAGTTGGCAGGGTCGTTGGCTCGAGAGTTGGACCACGGCTTGAGATCAAGAAACTCCATCACGATATACCGCAGCCGGTCCAGGTCCTTGAGCTCACTGTCCAAGGCATTGCCGGTCTTCTTTCTACCTTGGAGAACGGCCGTCGTGGCTTCCGACAGATCAGTGTCACTAGTGTGAGTCTCCTGTGAAGCCAGGCTGACTTCAACCCCATACAGCCCGTTGGATGGGGTTCCCGACACAATCCACCGACGTTCTATGGGGAGCTGTTTCATAAAGTGTATCATGTTGGTTCGATGACCGCTACCAGCCGCATTGTGGCCTTCGTCGACGATGATCCGGAGCCAGTGGAGCCTAGTCAGAGGGGACTCGGCCGCTATCGAGCTACGTTTGTTGATCACTTCGCCCGCCTCTTTCTCGAAGCGAACCTTCGAGAACAGAACTATGTCGTATTGCATGAGATCATCTGGTGACGGGGTCTGGTCAGAACTGTTCCGTAGTACAAGGACCTTGAGACCATCGGTGTGTGTGGTGATTTCGTTTTGCCAGTGGTTAACCAGGTTAGGGGGTACGATGATCAACGTCCCCGAACAAAGACGGACTCGCTGAGGCGACGGTCTAGGAAACGCCACGTTAGTTCGGCCTTTGTGTCTGGCCGGCGGTGGAGTTACAGTATAGGCGCCACGGTCCCTCTCGCAGGCTCGGACACATCGGTCATAGAACGCACCGCGATGGCCCAGAGCATCGAAGTGGGTCTTCCAGGGCAGGGAGAACCGGCCTGCTGTCGCCGCCGCCATTTCAACAAGGCTGCCTGTCGTTTGCCGAACGGGGTTCGTCGTCTCCTGATATTGCAGCGGAATTTCGGGGAAATGGCCGCGCGTCGCCAGGATTACAGCCAGGCAAATAAGCGTCTTGCCGCAGCCCATGGTTTCCGCAAGGATACCTGTCTCGAATTAGAAAAGCCATTGCAGGCTGTTGCAGGCAGCATACCTCCGCAAGCCTCCGAATACATTTTCTTCTCCTGGAAAATGCTCCCTTCTTCTTTGTCATAGTAATACTCCTGGCCCCTTGGACTCTTCAGTGCCTGTAGCCGCGGGTCCAACATTTGCGCAGGCTGCGCTTCCCGCTGGACCATGGTAGCAGCCGAGCGACGCTGGTACGGGTATAGCGGCGTCTTGAGGCCCAGTACCCCGGTATAATCCTGGCCTGACTCGTCTTCCCCATGTACAGTCACAGTGAGTAGCTCCTGCATGGCCCTCCCTGCATAGGGGTTCCTCATACGTTCCACCTGGGGTTCCGGATTCCGTAACGTGTTGAAGATATACCACAGAGACTCATCCTCGGGACCATTTGCTAGGTTACTGACACCCTTCTGATCGAGGCAATTTTTTCCTTCCCATGCCTCAACTGAAATGTCAATATTCGCCATAATAATCTTAAGTGCGCGCCTCAATGCCGTACTCGACCGCGGGATGATTTTGCGTCCGATATCATCGGGTAGCACATATATGCGAACGCCAGAGAATGACAGGTCATCACCGTAAGTAATCGTTTCGGTCCGGATCCAGCCGTGGCTTTCTAGGATAGCAATTTCCGCAGCTGGGTAGCTATTGAGTTTGACTGGGTTCTCAGGATCGGTGCCGTAACTTGGGTCCCGCTTCACGAGAACACCGACAGCAATATAATTGTCGAGATACTGTATTAACTCATCTTCTCCCATTTTGGGTCTGTCTAACGAGTGTTTTGGAGTGGTATGATCCGACTCGGGCGTTGCTGGCGTGGGCGTAGACACCGCCGTCATCGTGGTACTTGCGGAAGGATCGACACCCGTACAAGGCTCGCTGGAGGAAGAGATGGGAACATCGTCGTCCGTCTTAATTGCATCGTAATTTATTTCAGGAGTCTGCATCTGGCAGAAGTAAGAGAAGATCGCAGAGGAGCTACGGACAGCTATGTGCGCCTCCGTGCGAACATCCAACGCCAATTCAACCCTCATCAACACATGAAACGTAACATACCTTATGTGTTCTACTCTCATCAGTGAAATTCAGAATAGAAGTCACATGCATTTCAGTGTCATTGGAAGCCAACATTATATTCGGACAAGATTGTCCTCGCGGCTCTTTGCCGTCAGGCGAATTGCATAAGGAGCCGATGACCTTAGCAGGCAGCAATCGATTCAAGCTCGCAAGTGACAATATTCATGGAATGGAAGATGAAAATTCTCCTTCAATGTACTAGACTAGAGCAATACATGAGACTGCCCTGTCAGCCCCTGCAGAAGATGTATCGAATGAGAGGATGCAACAGCTGCATTCATCGCGTCTTCCAGAATGCCGATAAGACGGTCGACACCGCCATCGCTCCTGTGTGATTGGTCAATCTCAGCCACCGCCCTTCACTTTTCCTGTTTAGGCTATATTGATCCGTGTGGAGCCTTAGGCCACCATGCATTAACACGGAGAGCTCAGCGTATTCCCCACGGCTACCAATGGATCAAGAAAGCCAAAGGCGAAGTTCATAGACACCCTAATCGAGCTTGGATCTCTTCTTTGCTCACTTTGCCCTCCATTCTCTGCAGCTCAGGCAGACCCTATTTCTGCATCCAGTCGCATCTCACTACATCCGCAATCGGCGCCCTCTGCCCCGGCTCAAGAACCAACATCGACTTGATCATGTCACCAAATGTTCTTTCTTCGGCTTGGCCAAAGATCTCAAATTTGGTTTCCTCCGTCCTGCTCGCCCGCCGTCGTGCATCGCGTATCGCTGCCGGAAACCGTTGATCCCAGGCCCTCGTGCTATTGCCGTAAAGCTGCCTGAGCTCTTCCTTGACATTTTGCGCCCATCTTCATCAAACCAGTCGTTCCGGTTCTCCCACTTGCCCCACCACCGGTCGGGAAGTCTGCCAAATGTCTCAACATGTTCCCTTGTGACGCTATCAAGGCTAGGAATAAACACTTCAAATGGGGGTGCCGATCCTAGAATGTCCCAGATGGTGCATGCAAGTGTCCATATATCAGCTGGAAAGGAGAGATTATCGTCCGTCTCAGGCCCTGCGAAGAAAGCCTCTGGAGGTGCAAGCAGGTGTGGTGTATGACAGCTGAAAGTTTTCGTGACCGATGGATCAAATGATTCACCGAAGTCAGCGAGTAATATGGGAGAATCAGTCAAGGTAATTTCGTCGCTTCCAAGCCCGAGCCAGAGGGGAACAACAAGTTCCGAGGGAACCCCATGGTCAAGGGGTGCACCATCACAATGAATCACAGGCTCCTTTGCGGGTTCGCCAGTCTTGTCATATAGCTGCTGGGCAGTCATGTGCTGCAGACTGGGTGGGAGGCGAAGGAGAATATTGCCAAGACGAAGATCTATGTGCCCATGTCATGAGTTTCTGATATGCCACGCCAATGGGGGCTCAAAGCCTTACCACCATGAACTATCCCCTGGGAGTGAAGGAATTGAACCCCAAGTACAAGCTGTGCGACGATAGCCCTCGCAGCTGGGAGATGAAGCAATCGGTGATATGCTGCCTCTTTGGCTTCATTGATATTAACCCTCGCAGCATCCAGGACCAAACATCGATGATTGCCATTTGGGCCCGACTAGGAAAAAGAATCGAGCAGGGTCTGTACCACAGCCTTTCCAGGAAGCTGTGATTTGGCCTGCTCCAACCGTTTCAAAACCTGAGACTCATGGGCAGTGCGCTCTGCTGCTTCCACGGTGGAGGTCTTGAGAGCGACGAGTCGACTATTCTGCTTGTCTTCTGCCAGTCACGTTGTGGCAGATCGGCCAAACCCGAGTTTGTGGATAATTACATATCGGCTGTTGTGGAATTTGTCACCGATTTGAACTGGGTGGTAACCTCCAGGAACATAAAAGTCCAGGCGCTCGACTTCATCAGGATCGGTGTATTCGTATTTGACTTCACTGGGCTTCATTGAGTTCGCGATATTTCTGCTGGTATTTGAGATGAGGCGCAATTGGGGGAGACAATATTGCCGGTGTCTAATCAGGCGTCCGAGTGCAGACATTATGTGGTGTGGCATCTAAAAAGTCGATCTGAGGAGTAAGTGAGAGAAGCGTGATTCCAGGGGGTGCTCGGTTCTGCTCGGAAGCAAAAGCGGCAAAAGCCAAGAAGTGACAGGCATTATCCGACGTACATACGATACGGAGTATTGTGCGACTCAATGTAGTCTAGGTCTTCCTGTGAATCAGTCCTACATGAGCTGTAGTGGAATGTGCATACAGGATGCTGTGCTAGGTAGAATTTGAATTAGCTAATGCTTGTGTATGCGAACACAACATTAAGGTAACATATCCCAGAAGTATATTATCGGAGCTTATAGATCTACAAGAAACGCTTCCAGTTTTGGCCACGACACCCAACCAGCAAGACTCCTAGCAGCAAAGGACAGAGCCTTGCAGCATAACACGAACAATGAACTGAAGAATGAAACAAGAGTAAGCCCCCCATATGTCCTGTAAACAATGCCAAGCACAGACCGAAGCAAAGGAATGAGTGACGAGACGAAATACTCAAACCACCAGAAAAATATACATGCTTATTGAGTGAGAAAGTCCTCAATCTCAAAGCCAACCCTTTTGAGAGACTTCTCCTCAAGTTCGCTTGTCGATGATGTTACTCTCCGTACCACAATTGTCCGCGCATCCTGAAGACGAACCTCCACGGGGTTCCCTCCAAGACGCTCCAATTCTTCCTTTTCGCATTCTCGAATGTATACGGTGATGTCTGGCCCGACGCACGCTCGCCAGAGCGATGCCATCCACTGCCAGTGGTCGAGTGGTGCGTAGGAATCTCCGATTGGGACAGAGCAAGCAAAAGCATCCGCGGTTGTTAGTTGGTACCGAGGAACAAGCGCGACGGGCACGGCGCTGAAGCTTATCCCAGTCGAGACCGTGGAAACCGAGCTGTTATCGCTCGATTGCTCGGGTGAGTTGATCTGCAAGTCGGCGGTCTTGGGAATAATGGTTCTCGGCGACACTCCCGGGGTAGACTCCTCGTCAGCTGATTGAGGCTCCGACGACGCACGTGAAGGCTTGACGAATCCGACTATCTCGTCGGAGATGCGGTGCCAGGAGGAGATAATATTGAGGTAGTCGACCGTAGCATCCCCCATCTGCTCGGAATCTGCGTAGCTCTCGCGCGACCGGATCTCGGGCCCCCCAAAGATGCGGGTATGGTATCTGCCTTCCTTCTGTAAGATATTGTTCAGAAAGTCCACCATTGTCTTCACAAGAGCAGGATCTTGTCCATCCACAGCAATCACAGCCCCACGTCGTAGCGAAGACCCATCATGGTATGAGGGAGACAAGGGTGGCGAGATTTTGGCAAGGACTTTGATCTTGTTGAGGAACGGGATAGTCATCACTGTGGCCTCGATGCTGGATCCGTCATGTGGGTATGGAGTCGTTGGTGTGAGAGTCCCTGGAGCATGGATAGCTGTCTGCAGGGGTGGAAGTTTCAAGCTGGGATCAGGCGGGGCGTATTCCTTGACATTCCGGACCGTCCGCGGATGCTGTAATGATTGATACAAACCTCGTGAATCTGCAACGGCTGAGCGGGGCGTGTAGGGAGACGCTGGATACGAAGAATCTGGGCTCCTTTCGCGGACGTCATACGGGCCAAGAGGCCCTAACCGTCGACGTTTACTATCCGGGGATCGACTTCTGCTTTCCACAACCCGCTGGCGAGGCAGACGTGATTCTCCGTTGCCAGTGGGCATGAGCTTGATGATGTTGGAAATGCGATCTAGATCCTTGGCTCGACACTGAGAACTGCGCGCTGTGAAGATCTCGCCAGGTGCTGATTTCCCGCTGAAGAAAGAGGCCCGGGGAGTGTAAGGAGTGTCAGGGGATACTGGAGGGTTCATAACACGCCCACCACATCGGCTACAGACCGTGGAGCCTGGAGGGTTATGGCTAATGCCGGAGGCCCCGTTCCGTGGATTCCCATCCCGACCGTAGCGACGGGGTTGATACCGATACTCCGGGTATTGTTGCTGATGTCGAGCTTTCTCCTCCTATTGTGGGTTAGGTGACGGATCAAATGTATAGATGGCTGCCTGTCTGCCTACCTCTGCAAGCGCCTTCCATTCATCCTTGGTCTCCTGTGGAAGACCCCTCCATTGTTCCCCAATAATCTTGGAGATCTCGGGATTGGCAAGGCCCGGGTTCTGCGCGACTACTGCGGCTTGGTAATGCTGGCGGTATAAGATGAAGGCTGTTTTGGGCTTGGTCAGCTCACGACATTAATCGAGCAGAGTCCACGCTAACATACCATTTCGAGGTCTAGGAATCTTAGGATCCGGTTGACAGAGACAGAACTGAGTTGCCGATTCTCTTGGGGTCGGAGCATTGGATGACTTGACTGGACTGGACGATGAAGAACGTTCTGACAAGGATGCACGCTCACGAACGGGAATAGACTTGGTGGTCAGGAGGCTTGTCGACTTCGGAGATTCAATAGCAGAAGCAGCATTGGAGGCGATCTTATTCAGGGCCATCTTGGTCCGGTTCAGGGATGTGAAATGGACCGGTGGCAGAGTATCGGGGAACCGACGATGACCCCCCAAAGAGGCTGTGTCGAGATGGCGGCCCATCACGGACACTTTGGCACCGTCGTCGTTCATGATCTTGTGCTCGAGAAGGCTACTGGTTCGGGGCAGGGTGCCGTGATGAGAGCTCTCATAGTGAAGAAGATGAGGCTTAGGGAGAACTCGATCGTAAGACATTTATTTAACAGAGCCAGAGGTGGCTTTGGAGAGCGAGGGAGGGATGAACCAGCAAAACTGAAAGGAAAACTGGCTGTCAATGAATAATGAAAGCAAGCGAGATGGTGGTGGGTGAGAAATCGTGGTTATAGAGGCGTGGTCGTTGACTGGGGGAGAGGCACAAGCGGATGAAAGAAAGAAAGGCCGATATAAGGTTATAGTAAACGAGCGAATGGACCTCGTGCTGCGGCGGGTATTTGCGAAATGACCGTGTGTTATTATTGCAATCACGGCGACTGCCTGTTGGCTGGTACGGTTTCTTTCTCTGGGGTGCAATTTAATATGATAATCCAGCCAAATTATTAGTTGGAGGCGTCAGGGATTCCCTCTTTTCTGGTATTTTCTTTTTCTCTTGGGGCCTTCCGCGTTCTTTGACAATGAATGATATTTCCATTCAAACCGAACCAACCAGGCCGAGGGAACGCCAGTGAGATAAAGCCAGGGTTTGGCTTTTCAAGTGCTTTGTTACGGGGGAGCTATCTTTGGAGCCCTCGCTCTGGCGCCCCTCCCTTTCACGCCTAATCCCGGGAACCAGTTTCTTTGTCCCTGTCAGGATGACCCCCATTCCCTCGTCAGTTGGAAGGGAGGAGGGGGGGGGGGGGGGAAGAATCCCCACCAGCGATAGCTGTTCGTCGAGCATCGATGGAACCTCATCATGCATGGACTGAGGGCCACTCCCCGGGTTGGGAAGGATGGTACCTTCAGTCTACGGACTGGAGTCGGGAGGTACCCTGACTGTCCACGGTGCGGTGCCTGGACGTCTCCATCCAAAGGTACCAAAGACTGAAGTGGACACCACTACCAGAGCTTAGTTCCCATCGAGTTAGTGAGGGAAACTAACACTACTAGAAGAAAAACCCAGTCGCAAAGTCGCCCAAGTAGCAAAGAACCTTTGCGGGGTGAGTCAGCAGCCAGGGCAAATGGGCCCGTCCAGCCGGGGGGAGTATAATTTACGTGATTTCCCAGTTCCTACGTGTTTGGTCGGGTATTGCAACTTTGCAAGAGCTCTGGCCTGGCACACTAGTGGAGGCACATAAGAAATGATGGGAGATTGCTATACAGGTTATTGTTTCAATCCTGGAGCCTTTTAGCTTTCCTTTGTCTGTTCGGCGTCCGCATGCGGTGGGCTGCAGTGGTTTGGGCCAATCCGCAGCCGGCATCCCCCAACCGACCCTGGCCATTGGCCCACCGCCAATGTGACACATGCGCAAATGGATTTGATTGTCTTCCCTTCCATTTCTCAATCATCGTCGGGCTCGCTGCTTGCTACCTACGTACCATCTGCTTGCTTCCTCTGTACCGATGGGTACCCATTTGCTTGATTGCTCCCATACTTGGGTCCAGTTCCTGGAAGTTTGACACCCCCCCCCCACTCCCTCTGCTGGGTACCAACTACATAGTACCAAGCTCCGTCCGACCGTGTCGCTGCTCGGACCATGCATTCAACAGCGGCATGGCTTCCTCTGAATCGACAATCATGTAATACATACATTCCAGGTGGCGGTATCAAACTCCACCAGCTCCCAGCACTGCCCGTGTAAGTCAGGGTAAGGGTACTTTTACTGGGGGAGCTCATGGCTAGTGACAGATCTTCCCGAGACCTCCCATGACAGCTGGAGCAAGGTCACCCCCTTCGGAAACAAAGAAACATACCGAATGAAAGAACAGAAAAGAGAAAAATAAAAAAGAAAAGAAATGGAAAACCTGAGCGGACACGCCGATTTGGCAACTGCCACTGACCCGTACACTGTCATGACTGCCACCACTACCACCACTACCACCACCACCACCCGCACCATCCGCTGCCCCTGCGCCTTTCCCCAACCATCCTCAAAGAAACCTTTCCACAGGGTCCGGTCATGTTCCATTATCTTACCAACCCCGATCCATAGTTCCCCCGATCCATCAGACAGGTTCACTGGGGCCCATTGACACGCTGATGTTGCAGGCGTCCCCATTTCCAGGCTGAGGCCCGGTCGATCTGCCCTGGGGCGATCGCATTCCGATCCCTGCTCCACCCTCCACCGCCATCATGTTACAGTCATTCGCCCCGGATGAGGCAGACTGACTTCCGCGCTCATTCTCAATGAGACATACTACCTTGGCCAGTTCCTCGTTCGTCTCTGGTTCGGTAGCGACATGAACCCTCTCGTGATCCGAAACAGCTGTGCGCCCCCAGTCGAAAGCCATCTAATCTCCTCCGACCATTCTCCGCTCTGGGAGAGAGACACGGTCTCAGACCTATTGAGTGACCATCCGGAAGAGAGAGAAATGGTTGCTCCACAGACTCAATAGAAAGAAGAAGCTTGGCCGCCATTTGATGGTGCTTTTCGTAAGCGTTTGATAGTCTCGGGAACCGGCCGTGGTTAAATCATCTACAAAACACCCTCCCCGCTGTTTCATCCACGGCGAAATTACGATTAAGTGGTAAGGCGAGAACCCTATCGGCGGCGCTTTGAAAAATTTTTTTTGCTCTGTTATTTTGATCGCTAGGAAAAGTTTTACCCGAGCCACATCTCTTCGATACCATGGAACACTTCCGCGCCCAGGAGCCTATGCGCCGAGGGGCCAAGGTGCATATCGTTCCTGGAAATGATACGGTTAGCTCACGATCATGTCAATGGCGCCAATCATAATGCCTTGTCCTTACCAGAACAAAAATTTCTCCGGACTGTCGCATTCTGACGTGTCTGACGTCATCACCCATTGCTGGCTGCTTTGGACGCATGCGTCCTCGACATTCTCCCACCCGGGATCCTCATTCTTGCCCAGTCCATTCGATTCCTCGATCCCTGCGGCAAAGAGTTGCCAGTCGCGGATCTGGTCGGCCAAGAAAGAATTGGTGTCGAACAAATAAATCGTTCCGTTCGTCCAGTCTTCGGCTGAATTGCGGAGCTCGCCATTCCAGTGCTCCATGACCCTGATGGCGTCTTTGTGTTTGGTAATCTGCGGTTCCCCCTGAGCCCTATAGGCTGGTAGGAAGGTTACATCTGGGGCCAACGTCAGAATGATTCGGAGCTCGTTGCTGCCCCAGGTCTCGGCCAGCAGATTGAGCTGATCCATGATGACTCCAACGTTGCGGTCAACCGCTTTGGATGCGTCTTCGTACGTCTTCCCGATTACGTTCCACAGGTCCCATACACCAAAGGAGACGATCACGATGGTGCGATTTTGACGTATGCCAATCGCTTCGCCGTCCATCTCTCTTGTGGCTTCCGTCTCGGCCGCGATCCAATTGGCGATCTGGGCCTTCAGATCTGCGAGTGGGGTCTTGTAGAGGTTGAGTAAGGAGCCCGAGAGCTCTGTGTTATCCACCACGGAACCAATGTAGCTTCCGCTCAGAGACTTGGCTGTCTCTGCTAAGTTCTCGTGGTGACATGAGAACTGGGCCGGGAAATTAGCATGCCGCTTTAATCAGGCCGAGTACCTTTGACACTTACCGACATGCAAAGCCAGTCCGTCCATACGGATCCCTGAAGCTCGGCGGCATTGTTGTCGCTCCACGAGTCACCGAAGACGACTAAGCGGCGGTCGAAAGATGCCGTGGCGCGAAATTCCGACGTCGGCTGATTTGGCAAGACTACCCGGCGGTAGTAATGCTGAGAGGCGAGAAAGGAGGCCGACAACAGGATGCTGCAGACGGCCAAGGCGCACACCGCGTGAAACTTATTAAAAAGGCGCATCTGGGCTGAACATAAAGGACGGATACAAAGGACGGGGGGCAAGGCGGCGGGCTTCGCAGGCGAAGCCGATAGACGCTGGGCGATCGGCAGCCCTCTTTGTTGCGCGGTATCACCCAACGATGCTGGCGAGAAGCGGTATGCGTCTGACCAGGGGGGATAAGGAGAAATCAGAAAGCTGAAAAGGGGAAATCAGACAGGAATGTCGTGCGTAGTGATCTGCGTCGAATCAAGCAGGAAACTTCTTCCCCTAACACCACGGGGAGATAGGATGATGACCTCCGGCGGTACCGTGCAGAGTCGGAGACTCGGAGAAGAGACTAGCGTGCGATGGAGATGGTTGGCGCCAGAGTGGGGACTGATTGGACTGGAGAACTCTGTCAGTTGGATGGCAGAACAGACCTCGAGAGGGGGAAGGACGAGACAGAAGAAAGGAGACAATCCCGACTCTGAGAAATTGGGTAAAGGAGTAAAAAAAGACTAACCGGTAGACTACGATGGCGCTCGTGCCCATCTTTTGCAGTGGCCGTTAAGGCTGTTCTGTCCTGGCCTATCTGGCGGTGCTGTGGCCGCGCGGCGCCTTCGGAACGGTAACCAGTCGCGTGCTCTGGGTCTTTTGCGTCAGTCCCAAGACTCCATCCAGCTTGGAAGCGGCGTGGTGTTCTCCCCGTTGGTGGATCTCGCCCTGCTCGTGGATTATCCGTGTCTTGCTGTGCTGCCAGCGATCGAATCAGCGCCGCACATCTGTCGGGGTTAACGGCCCTGATTCCCTTATTCCGTTGCTGGGGTGTCATGCTTGTGAGCATGGCCCCTCCCTCCCTCAGGCTTTACGAACGGGGGGGTGGTGGGTAGTAATCAATCAATAATCAATAGATTCGATAACGAAGACACCTCAGGCTAGGCGGCCATTTTAGGCCCCGACCATCCGGACGGATCATTTCGAGCCGGATTGGTCTCGCGCCGCGGGCAGATAGAAACGGACAGGACAATGTGCGACAAAACCCGAGTCAGCGAGACACTCTTATTATACCTCTCGTGTTTGGGGGCCCTCCTGCTGTACACTGTCCGTATCGCAAATCCTGGTGGCCATCGTGGTCCCGACCAGGACTAGTCGGGCGACTGATGGACCGACTAGATTTGGTATCTAAGACCTATCCAGAGGCGCTCAGGGGTTAAAGCCGGCTGTCGGATCCAACCATTCATTATTGACATCGAGCTTATTACGGTGAAGAGACTCCTTATTACAAACCATCCTGCATAACAATGAGCATGTGCGCTGCCTGCGATGCCTTGCTTCGGAGCGGCCATCAGCAAACATGGATTGCAATTCAGGCTGCAGGACGAAGTTCAGATTGACAAGACTGGGACTGTGCAACGAAGGGCAGGACAGGTCACCAGCCGCCTTGAGCGTCCTGGGGAGTGTACATGGTCTGACGGGAGAGGATCGGGCGTCCAATGGCAAACACAGGTGGTTCTCGGATTGACTTGGTAAAGCAAATGAAGCAATTTGTGCTAGCTCGCGAGGCTCGACCTTGGAGGCGCATCGCATCCTGCTCCAGAGAAAGCATAATGGACCTAATCCTGGAGCATAAGTGGCAGGCCCCCAGGGTTGCCATCATCCCAGGGAGGGATAGGAAAGCCTCGTGGTTCCCGAAAAGGCAAGCCCCCAGTCAGGTGCCGGTGGTGCTGACGTAAGAGCCCTACCGAGGGCGCTAGACCCGGGCGGGTTAGCGGTCTTAGTCAGCCGCCCACAGAGGGAAATCTCGCTACACCACCAAAAAAATCCCACGAAGCACGAATCCCCGACGACCTGAACCTCCTCGACCGTCGACAAACCCGCGCCCTCCGTCTTGACCGCGCAGACCCGTCAAGATGAAGCTCAACATCTCCTACCCGGCCAATGGGTCGCAGAAGATCATCGAGATCGACGATGAGCGCAAGCTCCGTCCCTTCATGGAGAAGCGCATGGGAACCGAAGTCAGCAACCCTTCCCCCTTTGATATCCGCATCCGAAACACCACCCTTGGAAAGAAGACGAAAAAATGAAAATCACACGAAAATATGGGAAAGACAGAAGACTGATTGGGGTTATTTTTGCAATAGGTTGCCGGCGACTCCCTCGGTGACGAGTTCAAGGGTTACATCCTCAAGATCACCGGTGGTAACGACAAGCAAGGTACGACTGGATTGTTTCCCCCTTTGGGTTTCGCTGGACTGGGAGGACTGGAAGAAACGACAACGCGGAGCGCTTGGTAAATACATGATGTGGATGCTAACTGGAATCGATAGGTTTCCCCATGAAGCAGGGTGGTATGTACCGACCGACGCAAAGATAACCCGACGATCCCAACAGCAGAAACTCATCGATTGTGTGCAGTTCTCCTCCCCACCCGTACCCGCCTCCTCCTCGCCGATGGCCACAGGTAAATGCGATCTGCCGAAATGGAGTTCACGAAATGGAGACTGATATGCGTTGCAGCTGCTACCGCCCCCGCCGCACTGGTGAGCGCAAGCGCAAGAGTGTCCGTGGTGGTAGGTTGCCAATCTCGTGTATTCGTGGCAGGAGTGGTATGTTGACACTGGATTTACAGCCATCACCGGTCAGGACCTCGCTGTTCTTGCCCTGAGCATCGTCAAGCAGGGTGAGGGTGAGCTTCCCGGTCTCACCGACACCGTTGTCCCCAAGAGACTCGGCCCCAAGCGTGCCACCAAGATCCGCCGCTTCTTCGGTCTCGACAAGAAGGACGATGTCCGCAAGTTCGTCATCCGCCGTACCGTCACCCGTGAGGGCAAGGCCGACTACACCAAGGCCCCCAAGATCCAGCGTCTGGTCACTCCCCAGCGTCTCCAGCGCAAGCGCCAGCGCGTTGCCCTCAAGCGCCGCCGTGCTGAGGCTGCCCGTGAGGCTGCGTAAGTCCGCCCCGTTGCCGACATGCCTATCCCTGCCGGTGCTAACCACTCCCACAGTAACGATTACGCCAAGCTCCTTGCCAGCCGTGTCCACGAGGAGAAGGCCAAGCGCGATGAGCTCCGCAAGCGGAGAGCCTCTTCCATGCGGAAGTAGATGTGTTTGTCCGGGGGTTAATGGTCGGGTGACGTCTCTGTTCTGACTAAGGGAAGAAGTAAAAAAATCTCAGCGATGGGAAGGGGGTTTTTTTCCTTTTTGAGTTCCGAAGCAGAGCGACCCAAGAACAAAGGCTCCTTGGGGAAGGAGGGGAGAAGGCGTCTGCGGGACCGCGACTCTGGCGTGCCGATATTGTCTTATCCACACACAAAAAGGAAATGCATATCCACATTTTATGGAAATGAAAGGGAAAAAATGTGAAACCAGTTCTTCGTTTTTCTTCCCTTCCCTTCCCTGGCATGAAAACTCCCGGGGCTCCAGTTCCGCAGACGGTCATCTCGGCACTTTGCTGCTTGTCAATGAATGAAACTTTTGTACTCCAATTCAGTCGGTGTTTTCGGTTTTCTTTAAGATCTGTTCGGTAATCCGTAGTAGTATAAAGTGTCCCCCCGAGTGGATTGTGGACTATGGCCAGGACGCCGTACCCACTAAGATCCCACTAGCGATCTAGCCCGTGCGGACTGCGGAGTACTCTGCCTATACTTAGGACTGACTACACTCTGTACGAGCCTTGAACTCTACCCCGTCCACATAGTCTGTCGTGAGTCTAGACAGTCATGTCTTATGATACCCTCGGCATGTCTCTCAACTAGGTTTCTCCACAAGAGTATATTTATCCCTACTAATCTGCACTAGTAACTCTCGTATACATCAATTCCTGGTACGGAGTACAGAACTAAGTATATACAACGAACCATTACCCCGCTAACCACCTTTATACATGCACATCCATTAAACCTACTAACTCCCTAGGTATGCATGTCGTATGTATCATATGTAAGAATGCAAAATACCAAAATTGATTGATACACCCATCCACTAGCACATATACTCCCACTTCTACGTGTCTAGATACTAGCCAAGCCAAGCCACATGAACCCATAACCCACAATGCACAGCCATAATCCATCCCAGAACCTACTCTAGTATCGAGAGAACTACTGACCCTGAAATCAGAATCAAACCTAATATACGAGAACAAAGCACTAATCTTATTCATTTCTATTTTCTTCCAAGACAAAAAAAAAGTACACATTGTCTCTCAACGAAAACGGAACCCAAACTATAATACCAAACATGGTTCGCGTAGCGATACTCACTCCATTTAGATAGTTGCCAGATAGTCATTCTCATCTGACGGCAATACCATAGTAGAATAGCTAAGTAGGTAGATGTACCTTCAACAAATAATCTAAGCTATTCTTTGTCCCTTACAGAGTCCTCTTGGATTAACCATATTTACGCCCCCACTCCTACCAACCCCCACCAACCCTCCTAAGCCAAAAAGATATAGAAAGGTCTCTCCTGGAAATAATATTACTTCGTACCTTTCTTTTCTTTCAAACCCGATCTAGACTAACCAGACCAGTAACACGTAACACAGCCCCCTCCCCCAAAATACGTAGTACAGCCACACTTCCCACAGAAACCGGCAAAACAAAATAAAACTAGTATGCTATCTCAAAGTATAAAAAGGATGTTTTATCAAAAGTACGAACTCAATTCTATCAATGAGCAAAAAGCAAAAAGGTAGGAGAAAAATAACATCCCAGGAAAGGTAATTAATCTATGACGAGACCTTGCGCAAATTCACGTCTTGCTAACTGGATCAAATCATAGCTGGAGGTGATGGTTAGATCTTGAGTAACGTAAACACGGTACACACGAGATATGGTCAAAAATATAGTAGTATATGTTTACACTGCATTTGGGGAGGGGAAAAGGTTACAGGCAGGACAGACAGGATCGACTTAGGGCTAGCCCGGTCGTCTGCAGCGGAGGGAACTAGTTGGATCTCCGAGGTTAATTTGACGACCGGGTTATTATTATCATTCTTATTGAGGGGTAGCCGGTTCAAGGGTGGAGGAATACGTAACTGAGCTAAGGAGCTGGGAGAGTACTTCATTTCAGGTGATACGAAGACTAGGTTACTATATATACTCCGTTCAATGGTTAATGCAAATTGAGTCTATTGTATCAGCAAGAGCATCCGCTCAGGATAAAAATAAGGAAACGTGTTATATGTACATGCTTGAATTCAGCTGGTGATATAAAGCAAAAGGCGCCGCCGACTTTTCAAACCACCCTCCCTTTGTCCCCTTCTCAAGTTCACATAAGCATCATAACCAGTAATTGCGTTAAGTATAAATGACAGACTAAGAGCCCATCCAGCAAATCCCGTGGCTAAAGAACCCTAATGTCATGATCTAGGCCCTCCACAGTAAAAGTATCCCACTACGCACGACAAAAAGCAAATAAAGCTGCCTCCAGGCAGCTGCAACACCTTCATCCGTGCACTCCCGAACCAATCATTTAGGCGACAGCGTGCGAGAACAGGAAGCTCACAGACTCGCCGTTGTGCGTACGTCTGCAGGCCTCGGCAAGGGTGGGGCTGATGTCGATCGTCTCAATCTTGTCGCACTGCTCCTTCTTGTCCTCGTGGGGAACAGTGTTGGTCACAACAACACGGCTCAGGCAGCTGTTGTTGATGTTCTCGGTGGCCTTGCCGGAAAGGATACCGTGGACCACAATGGCGTTGACTTCCTTGGCGCCGTGCTGCATCACGGTGTCGGCGGCCTTGACGAGAGTACCGCAGGTATCAGCCATGTCGTCAACGATGATGGCGATCTTGTCCCTCACGCTACCGACGAGGACCATGCGCGAGACCTCGTTGGGGCGGGGGCGCTCCTTGTGGATAAGCGCGAACTGCAGGTCCAGGCGATCGGCAATGGCGGTGGCACTGTCCAACGTCACTAATCAATATGGACCCTTAAAATCCTCCGTAGAAATGATTGCTTACCGCTTAGCACCACCGGCATCGGGACTGACAATGACGCAGTTGCTCACATCCAGGTGTTCCCGGATCCACTTCAGCATGCTAGGCTCGGCATACAGGTTGTCGACGGGAACGTTGAAGAAGCCCTGGATCTGGCTGGCGTGGAGGTCCATGGTGATGACATGGTTGCAACCAGCGGTCTGGAGCATGTTGGCCATAAGCTTCGCAGTGATCGGAGCACGACTCTTGTCCTTCTTATCTTGGCGCGCATAAGGGAAGTTGGGGATGACAGCTGTGATACGTCTCGCGGAAGCGGTCTTGCAAGCATTGATCATGATGAGCAGCTCCATCAGTCCATCGTTGATGTCATTGGGCCGCGTAGACTGCAAGATGAAAACTGCAGGGTGCACACATTAACCCAAGGATCTTGGCGTGCCCGAGACTGAGCAGGTGGAGTGGAAGACAATACCATCCTCATCTCGTACACTCTCTCCGATGGTGACACTCGTTTCCTGGTTCGAATATTGGAGGACCATGATCTTGGTCAGTTCGATGCCAAGCCTGCCAATTGGAACGACTCGTTAGTCTGGAGTCTGCGACAGGCCTCAGGGGAAACCCATGACTATAGCGCATACCGAGCAGCCACGAGGTTCGCAAGCTCGGGGTGACTGTTGCCAGTCAACAGCTTGATCGAGTTGGACGACGCCATTGTGAGTGGGAGCGAGGAAGCCGGAAAGGGAAGAGTCGGATGAAATCAAGAAGACAATCCAACAGGAGTGGAGAGGGAGGGGGAAAGCCGGTCAAGAGATTAGAGAGCCATCCACCGGAAATTGAAGAAGTTCAGATTCGAGCCGATGCCCCGCCGGCAGGTGACTTTTTCGCCCAGCAGAAAAATGTTGCGTCCCGTGACTCCCCGGATCCACTGCCCCTCACCGCCTCCAGACTACGGAGAAGCGCCCGGCTGACTAAATCAAAGGCCAAAGGCATGTAGTTATCAGGCTTTGCGAGAACTATCTAGTGAAGGAATTGACACAGCTGAAGAAAGTACATGGTGTTGCAATCTGCAAGTAAAAAACATAGCACAAAAGCCTCGACCGCTCGACCCCCGGCACACCAGTTGACCTGCACTTCACCTGGTTTACCGGTCGCGGTCCAATCTTTCTTCCCCCATATGCCTTTCGGTAACAACCAGCTCCAAATGGTACAAATTAGCAGAAATGAAGATACGACAAACGCCATCATATGCTTCGGCATTAGAGCGAGGACACTGAGCGGATAAATGTCGAATCGTAACTCATCGTCCAAGCAAACAAGAGACATTAGCGCCACCAACTTATGCAAACCCGAAATATTCACTACCAGCCGTCATCGCAGTGTACAGACGTTGCCGCAGAGTTTCGTAGCTCTCGTATTCTGGGAGATCCAGCTCTGTGTCCCGATTAGCATACCATGCCACATAGCCCAGGCGACGGGTTCGGTTGGGAATACTTACGGTTGAAACAAGTGTGAGAACTTGGGAGACGATCCTTGTTGCCGTAGTCACGATGGATGTTAAAACGGCTGACTCCATTCATACCCTCAAGTTCCTTGAAGCCGTTGAGGGGGACTTTGCTGGTGCCCGTGACGAACTGTAGAAGCTTGGCACGCTCTTCCTTGTCGAAGGAGCGGACGGCACGCCAGAACCACTGGATCTGGGGCGAGGAGGCCGAGTAATTATGATACTCGGTGTTGACCTTCCAGTCATCCACCTCAATCTCAGGAAGACCGGAGATCAGCAACTCAAGCTCCTGCTCATTGAAGATAGAAATCAAATCAGAGGGAATAATCTCGTGGAACCCTAGACGACACAGATTAGTCACATGTCCATGAGACTCCAGTGGGTAGGGAATAAGCTTACCTTTCAGGAAGTTGTCCAGCTGTTCTTTGACGGAGCCCACCAAACGATAGTCGACGACCTTTTGGATGTACTCTTCTTTATTTTCTTCAGTCACAGGAATGTTGCGTCCATTCTCGATAAGATCTATCACTTGTTTCTCTCCAAAGTCGTCCGTCTCGACGGCGAACGTCTCCGTGATAATGTCGGTAATGTCATTTTCGAGCATCCAGAGAAGAGATTTGTAGTAGTCAAGGTCGAGCGTCTCCATGTCCTTGATGGACACTGACCGGCCAAGGATACACTTGTAGACCGCGCGACTGAAATGGCAGTCAAGGACACGTCCCTCGTACAGAGCCTTGCCGATGATGCGCCCAATGAACTTGAAGAACATCAGGTGCTCTGCATTGACACCACTAAGACGGTTCGGGTGGAAAGTGGTCCGGTCGGAGGCAACGGGGATGAACAAAGCGTAATTTGGGTTGAACATGCCGCGCGCCAGGACCTGGAACCATTCTCTGGTTACACCACCGGCATCGACACCCTCTTCACCATGGAAGCGCACGTTCAGCTTTCCATATTTCAGCTCATCCGCCGTCTTGAAGTACAACGACTTGAAAGAGTCCAGGAAGACCTGGTCTCGTCTGACAGAGAGCTGAAGAGGGGGGTGAGGGTGACGAGGCTCTGCGCCACGAGAATGGATGCGACGAGTGAAGTAATTGCGCTTGTTGTCGAACTCCAAGACCTTGGGATTCTTGACCAGCAGCGAGAAAGTGCCGCTCATCAACCTGGGGTTCTGACGAACAAGTTCATTGAGAATCTTGCGGTGTTCCTCCGTAAACTTGAAGAACAGGCTTTCCATACTCAGGCCAGCGTCGACGGAAGTGCTCGACACAGACAATTCTCTGCTGTTCCGGGCGAAAGAAGTATCCTTCAGGGTGGTGTTCTTGCAAACCACCATCAATGCTTCGATCAAAGGCAAAAGGATAGTGGCCACGTTGAGCATGTTCTCCTTTTGTCGGATAACGGTCAAACATTCACTAAGCCTGGTCCACAGAGGCCCAAAAGTAGAGCACTCGTACAACGTCTGCAGGACGTCCTCCTTAGCAGCGTTGTCAGACTCGCCTCCCTTCGCCTTGTCCGCCCGAGAGGGATCAAACAAATAGTCAAGAGCTGTCAGAACACGCAACAATTTGGCTTGATCGGAGCTGGCTGGAGAGAACTTAGCCAAAGCCAGACCCTGCATATCGGTGCCTGTCCGGGCTTGGTGGATATGCGACAGCAGTTCGTCGAGATCAGTGAGAATGACCGTACTCAACGTTTGAGCCTGGCTGACCAACTCGTTCCCAATAACGTCTCTAGCTCCGGGGACAGCAGAAAGGTTATTGATGGTAGAAAGGGTGTCTCTGAAAGTCTTGCCGTTGCACTCACGAGCTGCGAGGATATGAACCACCAATTGTAAGTTACTGTCAGGGACCACAGGGGGCTCGATGGTTCTTCTCTTGTGCTTCTCGTCCTCACCCGCGCCCTTCGCTTTGTCTTCCTTGGTAGCTTCAGTTGATGCAACGTCCTCTGGCTGGGCAGGCTCGTTTTGCGGTTGCGTAGCCTCGACGGTGGGGAGCGGAGCGTCCGTCATTGTCGTATCCGCAGCAGAGCCAGTCGGTTCAGTTGAAGCGGGCTGCGGTTCGCCAGTGTGTTCCTCATTCTGCACCTGTTCGGACTGTTTGCCCTTCTCCTCTTCCTCTTGCTTTTCTTTCTCCCGACGGAGTAGGAGTGTGAGAGGCTGCGTGATACTGCTGAGAAGGCTTGACAGCTGCTCCATGCAGTTGGGGTTCTCCATGATCACCTTCCGGTCTAGTAGAGATAGCAATGCGTTCAAAGCAAATTTGTTGGCCCTGTTCTCCTTGCCCTTGCCCTTGCGGAGAGCCTTGAGCTTCAGGGTTGAAGAAGAGTCATGCTCGGTGAGGAAAAACCATGCAATGTGGGGATTGTACTGAGACAGGAAAGAAAGGGTTCCCAGGCACTGCTGCACAACCATGATCGGAGTAACTTCATTGCTGACGTTGGAAGATCCCTGGAAAGACAGATTCCGCTTGACAGACTGAGGGGTCTTTTGAACCGATGACGGCTTGGCACGAAGCGAGAGCTGGGCAAAGCTGCGTTCGATTGCCGAGACATCCGCACTACCGTCTTGAAGAACCGAAAGGAGGAGACTGATGACTTCCATCCGGTTCTGGCGGTTCTCACAAACGTTATGAAGAATGTCATTCAGCTGGTGGCGTGCATTGCCTTGAAGGGGCATAAACATCAGACGTAGCAACGTAGCGACGCCGGCCTTGTCAAGCATCTGGACGATTTGACGGCGCTGTTGCTTCTTAGGCTCTTGATCGTCAGCCGGCTCATGTCTGTGACGGTGGTCGACCCGAGGAATGTCGCCAAATTGTGCCAATCGTCTGCCCGGCAGCGCACGCGCTTCCGACAGGAACTCTGGACCCAACGTTGCAAGGATTTCTTCGGGTTGATCAGCCAGAACGGCTTGTCGCAAGGATGGATCCAGCGTGGCGAGGAAGCTAGCAGCGTCCATATCCTCTGCGTGGGCCGGGGCGGGAACGGGAGGTGCAGCGCCGCCAGCTGCAGCAGCTTGTCGGCGAGCACTGTCGCGCTCCCGGCGACGACGATCCGCCGCTTCTTGCTGCAACAACTCCTCCCGGATCTCCGGAGGCAGGGCTTCCAGGAACTCCGGATTAATCTCGCTAGGCTCTTCGCCAGCTGCTGCCGCCTGAGAACGTTGTTCTGCAAGTTGCTGCATAATGACCTCCTCCCTCAGTTCTTCGGGCAAGGCTTCAAGGTACTCTGGGTCAATTTCCATACCAGTGATGTCAAGCTGGCGGCCTCTGATTGTTGTATGCACCCGGGGGACAGGCTCTGACGGGCCTGTATCAGTTTCAATCGCCGGTGCTGCGGCTCCCTCGCCAGTGTCGGTCCGCTGTACATCATCCATAGGTTCGGTCTCAATGCCCGAGGCTTGTCGCTCTGCTTCCTGCTGCTCCATTTCCTGCTGCCGTCTGGCATTCTCTTCCTCTTCCTTGCGTTTTCTCTCCCTCTCCTCTTCCTCCCTAGCGATACGCTCTTGGCGTTCACGCTCTGCGCGTTCTTCTTCCCGCCGCTTACGCTCTTCCTCCACCTGCTTCTCCCGTCTTTTTTCTTCCTCGATCGCAGGAGGTACCAGAATCTTCAGCAGGGAGTTGACCACCCGCTGGGTCTTCTCAACATATGTGCTGCTGAACAGAATACGGGCCTCCTCTTGCCAACGGCTTCTGGTTGTAGCGAGAGCGAAGCTTACGGCCTGGGATGGATCGTCCCGGGTCCGAGCAGGAGGAGCTTGTGGCCTGCCAAGCCCAAAGATGTCTTGAATCCGGTTTGGTAGGATAGCACGTCTGTCAACATGGACATGGATACCATCCGGGCGGGTGATGACCCCAAATCCCGGTGCACCTTGGCCCCCAATAGCCTGCATGATAGCGTTCATGAAGCTAACGGGACTATCCATGGGAAGCAGACGTCCAGTAGATACGGGCTCCATGCCATGGACCCAGTCGGTGAAAGCCTCATTGCCGGGCCCACGGGCTTGGCCACCTGCCTCAGGACCACCACGATCTGTCCGAACAAGAAGAGGGTTCGTTCCGTCATCGTTTCCGCGAGCGGGGACTTGAGTCCTATGGAGCCGATAAGGCTGAATGGGAACGATACCGTGCCGACTAGGCATGATTCCGCTAACTGCAGCCCAAGCTGGCTGTGTGCCACGGAATCGGTGGTGATGATGGCCTCGTGGCGGCTGTTCGTCGCCTTCCCATCCCCATGGGTCCATAAGATCCTCATCATCGTCAAAGCCTTGGTAAGACCCCTGGTCGTCATCGGCATCCTCGAGCTCTTCCTCCAGTTCGTCGAGTTCTTCATCCTCTTGGATTAGAGTTAGCAGCTTACACGGGTAGGGGTAAAAGGAAACACTAACCCTCTTCTTCAGCCAAGTCATCATCAACGATGTCATCGTGCATGTCCCCGAGGCTGTCGGCCTGAAGGTCTTCAACACCCCCAGCAGCCTCGTTAAGGACGCGGAACAGGTCGTCAAATCGTTGACCATCATCGCGTTGCTCTGCCTGTCGGAGACTATCTGCCAATTCGTCCTCGAATTGATTCATGATCTCGGCTTCTTCATCATCTTCGGACATGTCTTCACTTTCCCACTCGTCTTCATCGCCCCCCTCTAGGCTGTCATTATCATGGTCACCGGTAATCTCACCAGCAAGGATTTCGTCATCTTCCATGTCGGACTCGTCATCCTCATCGTCGTCATCGTCGTCATCATCATCATCCTCATCGTCGGTGATGACAACTTCAATGTCCATGCCGTTATCACCAGGGAGACCTTCGATCGGTCCAACACCTTCAATTTCATCCTCTTCGTCGCTGACTACTTCACCATCGTCTTCTGGCAGATCCTCCTCGTAGTCCATTTCCTCGTCGTATTCGTCGTCGTACATTTCGTCATCCTCTTCCTCTGATTCTTCAGAGCTTGTCTCCTCTTCATGTCGAGGCTCCAGCATGCCGAGTGTAGAGTGGCGGAAGAGATCAGGGGTTTCTTCCCGCTCATCTTCCATATCCGAGACCGACGTAGCAGAAGAGATCTCATCATCTTCAGTATCACCAAGAGAAGAGATGTCCGAGGATTCGCTCAGAACCACTGCGGTCTGGGTCAGCTTGTTCAAAGGGCGAAGAATGTACTTGATAACGCGTTTGGAAGCGGGGAAGTTGAGGTCGATCTCAGCGACTGAAGCGGTAAGCGCGGAAATAAAATGTTTTTCAAACATGGTCTTTGCCAGCTGCCTAGTGGAGGACGCGAAGGCTGTTTCGCCCGAAACGAAAGCGTAACCACTAAGCATCTTGTCGAACAGATCCGCAAGTGACATCAGCCTCGAGTATTTGGCGTCAAGGGGCTCATTTGATGCATTCGCTTCCTTGTATGACCTCAGGGCATGCTCCAAGACAAACCTCCGCACAAAGGCCAGCTCAGGCTCGTCATCCTCATTGAGATCCTGCTCGTTACGTCGTCTGCCAGGTCCACCAAATTCGCCGGTCTTGGTGCACAAAGCAACGAGTACACGCATTGTCCAAGCAGATGTGTTGCTTCGCTTCTTGAATGAGACGGACTCATCATGTTCCATAGTACCAACCGGCACAAGAGCATTGAGGAGGTAGTTCAAAATCCCCGAGCGAGGCTTTGATGGGGTAGCTGCGTGAGGATCCGCCTTGCGAGAGAAATTGATAAACTCGACCTTTGTGCGGTTGTAAGACGAGAGAAGCTCGGTCAAGCATTGTAAGAGGAAGCAGCGGTAGATATAGATCGGGTGATCATCTGCTTTGAATGCTGGCTTGTCAGTTTTCTTGTTGCGTGTGCCCTGTGCGTCAGTGCTGGCAACAGATGGCGAAGGCTCATCGATGGACATCTCGACATCAGTCTGAGGTTCCGATTGGTCGGGAGCAGAAACTTCAGTGTTTTCGGAAGGAGCCTCTTTATCGTCGACATCCTTGTAGGATAGAAGTTCAGAAAGTAGATAGTGGATGACACCGTCAGGGTTTTCCACTACAGGCGGCTTGAGTTCACCAGACTTTGCCTTGTCCTTATCCTCAGATATCGTCCCACCCGTCTGGTCCTCTTCCTTATTCGGGCTGCCAGACTCGTCTTTAGCCGTCGAGGAATCTGACGAGCCATTCTTCTTCTCAGACTTCAAGGTGAGAACCTGGGGACGTTGCCGGTTGTCATATCGTTGCAACTTTAACTTTTCGTTGGACACTTCCACGAATATTTCAGGCGATCTGAGAACAAGATGATACAACTGTCGAACGTAACCGGTTGTATCAATTTGGCGGGACGACTTCGATTCGAAATTGGCGACTATCTCGCTTCTCATGATCTGCCGAATAGTATCCTCGTCTTCGATAATGTGTCTTAGAACCAACATAAAAGCGCCCTGAAGTTTCTCATTTGTGGAACTTGAAAGTTGTTTCACCATGACGAACAAGCGCTGCAAGCTCCGCTTCTCCCCCAGACGCACTGCAATGCTGCGACTGCGAGTAAGAATGACAAGGATTCGACAAATAGAAAGAGCCAAGGTATCGTCCTTTCCAATTCTAGGTAGAATCTCAACGAGCGCCTCATAAAGCTGCGTTTTCTGGTCTAGCGACACAAGAGGCTCTTCCAAATGAGCTGGCCCCTCATCATCTGCACTGGGATTTTCATGACCAGGGAGACTCCAGCGAATCTGAGGCGGTTGAGCGTCATCAGAAAGCAACTTCTCCAGCACAAGTAGCACATGCCCGATCCAAGGGAACGATTCGTCAGAGGTCTTCTCGGGCGACACTTGAATAAACCCAAGGAATGTCGTAAAGCAATCTTTGAGTTCACCTAAAGTCGCGTTATACATGTCTCGGTCCTGAACGACCAGTGCAAGAAGGTGAGCATAAGCGGCCACCTTCTTACCGGCAGCCTGGAAATTCTCCATCTGCAAGGAGACCAAAGACTGGACAAGGATTTCGCCCACCTCCCTTCTAAAGCTTTCGGGGTCGCGATGTCTCCTGGTTGCGGAAGCGATGAGGTCGGCCAGCTCGAAAGACACGTCATGGTGCTCATTCAAGATGTCCAAGCAACGCTCGATCAAGTTTGAACGAACCTGCTCGCGTTCCTTATCCAGGTCTTCAATTGTCGTAACTTCACGTCGTCTTGTAGGCTGTTCCGGGCGTTGTTCGGTGGGTTGACTTGTTGCATGGCCCGAGGGCTCCGACGAACTGCCACCGGCAACGTTAGGAATACGCGGCGTGATGATTGGAGAATCCTCGCGGTCATCATCCCCTGTGCCATGATCATCGTTCAAGATATGGGTCAAGGCTCTCGCCAAGAATTCAGTGCCATGCCTGACTTCACTCTCCTCGGGTCTGCCTGGACCTTGATCCTGACGCGACGCATCATCGGCTGGCCGGCCTGAAGCTTGTGCTAAGAGCATAGCAAGTGCAGAACGTTCAAGGAACCCACTGTCAAATGAAGGAGCGTCACCTGCTGCTTCTTCAGATCCTTCAGCCCCTGACGTTGTAGATCGAACTGACTCAATGTCATTAGGGGGTGGCTCGGTCCTTGGCGGGGCTCGTAATCGACTCTGCGCCCTGCAGTATTCTTCGGCAGCAGCAAACACGTTGTTACAGCGATAAAGCGCTTCCTTGGCAAGTTGGCCATCGAAACCTCTCTCTTGTAATGACACCATGCGCTCCTTATTCACAACAAACGTCCTTCTCGCGACGTCTGCCAGCATGTGCGGTGCATCCGAGCTCCGAGCGGCCCCCGTTTCATATTCACCATCGAGAGATGAACGCAAGATGTCAACTAGGCATTTGACAACAGAACTGGAGGATTGGGCGGCAAAGTCAGAATTCCACATGTCCCGAGCCATTGGCAGGATCTCCATGCGCAAATCCACCAGGAATTGGCCTGGTTGGAAATAGTCGGGTCGGTCGCGGTCCCGATCACTGCTCGTCATGGTCTGTGTTTGGCTAGACTCGACGATGTTCTTTCCCAAGGCAAGCTCGGAGAAAAAGCTGAGGATGATTTTGATACCGCCGTAAGCAGAGGTGAGTCGTGCCGAGACGTCTTTTTCAGACTCTGCGACAGATTCGGGTGGTGTGAGCGTCTTGACCTCCTGCACGAAAAGTTCGCAGATCTCCTTCATGATTTTCAGGCCTCCTTGTCTCTTGAAGGCGAATAAGACAAGCGTGAGGTAATGCGAGTGAGGACGATCTGGCGTGGCTATAATACAGTCAGCATCTAAATGGCGAATGATCGAGGGAAAGGGCTTCGGTATACCTTCAAAGAGGAGGTGCGAGAACGAAGAAAGTATGACAATGAGGTAAGAGAAACGAAGCTTGGAGCTTCCACTTGAGTTTGGAGGCTGCGACTGTAATTGCTCGAGCACAGCTTCCGCAACAGCTTCCGCCACCATGATTGCGTTCTGTTTCTGGTAAAGATCAATTCTCCTTTTACCCATCAGACCAAGCCCCATGTTATGGAAGAAGCCGGTGATTGAGGAGGGCAATGAGCTGAGGAGATACCGAAGGGCCTGCACATTCTTGAACGCTACACCATCTTCAGGAATCTTCGCTATAGTAGTCTCCTTAGGCTCTTGTGCTGCACCTGACTGTGTAGGGTCGCTGGCAGGTGGACTTTCTCCATGAGGTTCCGTACCAGAAATGGCAGCATTCACTTCAGGGTTCGCTTGCCCGGTAGCAGGGTTGGGTCTCTCCGGAGTCGTCCCGGACTGTTGCACCTTTGTTGCCTGATCCCAAGTGTCGGGTATGTTCTTCTCGAGTAGTATCTCCTCCCACACACATGCTGCATGCAGACCTCCCAGCTTTTTGACGAGGGAGCAGTATCGGTCAGATAGATTAACCTGTGCAAACGCTGAAGTCTGTTGGCTCGGGCGAGTCTGGTACAGAGGCATTGAATATATCTCGCGGAGGAAATCTGTTAAAATGAGAGCAGCCCCCATATGCTTAGCAAAGAATGTCCCGTTTGCTTTCGAAGTACTGAAGGTTTCTTTGCCCTTTTCTTCGGACACCTCATCGGGAGTCGGCTTGATCAAAGGGGTAAAGAAACCCGAGTATTCCGGCTCTCGCCAGAAGGCTGACAGCATGTCGACAGCTCGCTCTGTCCGCTGGACGAGGGACGGCACAACTTGGTGAGGCTTTGTTTCTGCCAACATATGCACCAGTACAGCAAGCTCCTGATTGGCATCCGTGTTATGGAAGTCAAACGGCAGGCTTTGTAAGGTTGCAAAATCCAAGACAAACTCCACACCTCCGGATTCAATGAAATACGTGCAGTTAGACTGGTTCTCGAAGAAAGCCCCCAAGAATCGCACAACTGGGTACAAATAATCGGTGGCAGCAAGACCAGCGGCGTCCACATCCTTGGGCTCAATGGCATCAGTTGACGAGGGGAGGATCTGGCTTAGATCGCCGATTTGCAGCTTTCCACCGTTGGGTAGCTGATCGGAAGTCAGTTGTGGCACACCAAAAGTCGAAGCATTATCGAGCTGGTCGTCATTGTCAATTCCAATTGCCTTCAGCAAATGGGAAGTAGAACCCGAGATGATTGGCTTTCCCTCGGAATCCTCTGACCATAACTTGGCCCCCATCCCCACTGACCATGCCTTTGTTCTGCACAATAGTCCAACGCGCGCAACCATGACAATGACTGCGGTCATTACGTGAGACTTCAAGGCGGGATGGTGTCGCACCAATTCGTCGAAGGTCGTGCCTAGAGAACGAACCAGGTTGGGGTCATCTTTCAAACACTTCACATGCTCGGCATTCTCAAATATCTCGAAGAAACTCTCTAGGGCATCAGAGGACTTGAAAAGATCGAGCCCAGAGGCATTCAAGCAAATAGCTCCGAAAGCAGAAGGAATGCACGAGAGAGCTTCAGCAGCAGGCATAATCCCAGGAGCCAAACGGGCATCCGGTGACCTGACGACGGTATATACCCGAGGTTTCTGACCATCCACTGCCGCTGTCTCGGCAGTACCAGTCTCGGGAAGCGTCGAGGGCTCAGCTTCAGGTTCAGCATCTTCCGGTTCGGCAACTGGCTTTTCTGGGGTCTTCAACTCGGAAGAAGTAACAGCTTCCAGGAAGCTCTTGCTCAGGCCAGCCTCGGCTATTACTGCATAACTGGTAGGCTCGTTATGAATGAAGCTACTCAAAATGTTGACGGCATTGCTCCAGACGTGAGAACCAAATATCCGAGCGTTTTCAAGCACTAGACGCAAAGACGTCAGCAGCTGAGGAGAATCAATCAAATTCCGGAGAACGCGGTCGAACCCGCCGCCATTGTGCTGCATGATATGGTTCACAAATCGGAACATCCAGCGGAGCGTCTGCTGCTGAAAGTATGGGATCTGGTAGTCGATTGCTGGAGTCTTGTGCTGGGAAGGAATTCCAGCGCCCTTGGATACGTGTTCGAAGGAAGATTTGGTTTCATGATCAATTAAATCAGAAATTGCATCAAACCCCTTGGCACTAGTGAGTGTTCCCAGAGCATCACGGATAGCATGGACAAAAGTGTCCAGAAATTCCATGATGCGAGAGTAGACTCGACGGGCCTTTTCCGTTCGGAGATTTAAAACATCTACAAACATAGGAATCAGACCAGCAGACACAAGCGTCTCTGGAGTTCTGGTACTAGAGCCCGGAAGGGTGCGCAATAGAGCAAGCAGAGCATCCCGCCACTCGTCCTGGCTACCGTCGTCACCATTGGTGTCTTCCGAGCTCAGCTCGTTCACTGTTTTCCGGGTCAGGAACATAAGCACACCGTGGTTTACATTGACGCTCAAGGCAGCACAGACGTCAATGGCTCGCGCTTTGTGTTTCGCAAGGGCATCGAGAGCCTGAAGCGCCAACGTCTGCAACAGCCGTGAGACTTGGAGGTCACCACTTGCACCTAGATGAACTAACTCGCCCAGCTGGTAGGCCAGCTGAAGACGCTTTGGCTGCTCCATATCATACTGTAGAACTTTCTGTTGGAACAGCGCCTCGGGATAGACGTACGCTAGGTTGGTAAGGGCAAGGATTCTGATGGCCAGTATTTGCTCCCGGGTGGAGCTAGAAGTTGCCAATCCCTGGGCCGTACGGACTCTGTGGAGTAGCTCATACTTCGAATCGTCCGGTACCTCATCTGCATGAGCGGCAAGGAGGTCTTCAGGTCTCGACACGGAAATCTTCGAATAAGGAATGTCGAGGGTCTTGCCACCCCGAAGTGTCTCATCCGGCTTTCCAGGAGTCGAGACCACAGATGAAGGCGAATCTTCAGCAGTAGACATTCGACTCAAGCGGGGCGTAGGGTGAGTATGACTTCTGCGCAGAGGAGTTGGGGTGGTAGGGGGCTGCCCCAATGGCCCACTAGTTCCGGATTCAGGTGCAGCTTTCACCGGTTCTGATGAGCCAGACGGGTAATAATGTAGGCGCACATTTCCCCACTCATCCCAGCTGTCGTTCTCTCGCACGAGGGAAGACATGTCATTAGCATTGTGCTTGGCCTGAGGTCCCTTGTCCTTGACCTTGATTACTGCTGCCGGTGACACGGCCGCCCTGCCCGGAACAGAAGGGCGAGGAAAGGGTGCAGCAACTTTCTGTAGTTTCTCCAAGTCAATGTTGTAGTGAGCAGCCAGTAAGCTGTGCTGGATGTGAGAGCCACCTCGTTGACGGGAATGATAGCGCTGTGCTAAGCACAGAGACAGACGGAGTGTAGACTGGAGAAGGGAGAGAGAGGTGGTATTCAGGAGTTCGCCCAGGCGTTCACTGCTGCTGTACAAACTGCGGTTGCCACACTTCTCCAACAACAGCCTAGAGAAATCAAGAATAACCTCTAAGAGCTCCCTGTCTCCTTCCGGTCCATATCCAAGGTCGGTTAACTTGGCATCAGCGTCCTGAGGGTTTCCTGCACTTTCACCATGCACATAGGATTCTACTAGAAAGTCTTTGCCAAAAGGCTTGGTCTGCGGGCCATTGCTGAGAGCGTATTTCTCGATGACGGACGCCAGAATCTCGTCGAAGCGGTTCAGGACGTTGATCCAATGATACAAATCACCTCTGGGGAAGGGCCAAATGCGAGAGAAGGTGCTGAGATGCGACGGAAGCTCTGAAACTGGGATAGTCGTGGCACGGGCTACAAAATCTGCCAGGTATGGGGACTAGATCGTTTGAAAGAGACAGGGGAAAAAATCAGTCAGCCTTACAGCAACAACAAATGGAACGCGGGGTGAAAAGAGAGACTCACGATCGTCGCCTCGTGTTTTTGGCTCGCCACCTTCTTAATTCTCCCCATGTTGACGATGAGAGACAATGACAATCATGAGGAGGTGAGAGAGACTAGGAGGGCGCCTCCTAGAGAGAGTGGGGGTGGTCGTGACGACCGGGTCGCGGAGCAAGTCGCGAGAGGGCCTTATGACGTTTTTTTTCGGACCTCTCCTTCCTCGACAAAACCCGAAGAATGGAACGGAGAGGGGGAAGGAAATTCGGGCAGTCCCGCTGGATCACAGAAGCGCAGGGAAATGAATGGACGGAGAAATCCCGGCTCGATCGAAAATGCTCGCGACAGGTCGGAGAAAGTGAGGGAAGATAAGAAATGAGGTTGCGGCTTCACCCAGTATCACTGGGAGTCAGAAGAATGGCAGGGGACGGTGCAGGTCGTCAACCCTGAGACTTTGACATCCAAGTAAGATTGAAGCTCGCAAGCGGAAGGAATCGAGGGCGATGCCTGGGAAAAGGTAGAAAGAGAGGAGGGCGTTGAAAGGTTGATGGGGGGGGAGGGAGGAAGAGGAGGATGTGTCAGTGGTTAGAACTTGGAAGGTTCGTGAATCCGATGATGGGCTTTGGGAGCTCTGGGCGGCTCTCTGTGGTTCCCGTTGGTCGCGGCGGTGGCTAACCAGTTGGAACGCTACTAGTAAAGTCGAGAGTGTCCGGAGCGGGTCTTCTTCTTTCCCCGCCGGCCGACAACATTCACTACTGACTCGGTCCTACGGGGGCAGCAGGTACTCCTGGGTATCCCCACGCATCCCAAGAGCTCTCCCACTTTGGGCGTGCATCGGAGCCCAAGATTCGGACATCAGGCCGCTCACGAGCCCTTTAGGCCTCCGTCTCCTTCTGTTTACTCGGACGCCTCAAGCCGCCGGATGAGGACAGCCCCTCACTTGAAATAGATTGGTCGCGGAATCGATGGCCTTGTGCTAGCTGGACCCTGATATGCTCAATCAAGCCTCGTCTGCGGGGCTTCGAGATATGCGCTCATTCATGACTTGTGAGGCGATGTTTTGTTTGCGAGAAAACCTGGGACAGGGTATTCCAACAACCGGTAAGCCGGTCTGCGCAGCTGGGAGGCACTGCATGCAGGTGGGGTGAATGACAAACAGGGAGATACATGAGTGACATGACATCCGCCAACGGAGATGTTTCGGTGAGGGGATACCCCTGTCCAGAAACCTAATTCTACGGCGTACTTTCCGACTATATATAGTTTGGATGTGCGTAGAAAATGATATATTCCATTCTTATCATACAAGTCAATCGTCCATGTCCGTGTCCGCGTCCGCGTCCGTGTCTTCCTTTCATATCCATTCATTGACCTCCTAGTTCGTTGCAAGAGCTGGCAGGGGACCGTCCCATTGGATCTTCATGGTCGACGGGAATGGCCAGTAGCTACTCTGGTCCGCAGTCATATACATCGCGATTCCGCCAGGCCCGGTAATCTTTTTCAGCTGACCTTGGGGGCCAGGAGCCCGCCGGAGGTTGTCTAGCCGTCCGACCACCCTAAGCATCGTCGTGAGGGCCAACTTGCACATGCCCATGCCTAGGCACTGGTGAGGGCCAAACCCGAAGTGAGCGTACAAGCTCATGTCACGATCAAGTTTAACTTTCTCCGGCTCTGGAAAGCTAACGGGATCCATGGAAGCAGATACCTGGGAAAAAGTGAGCATGTATCCGCATGTGAAAGGAGACAGTCGGCCACAGATATTCGACTCCACTTACCAGGTTGCAGAATACAGCCTGACCTGGTTTAAAAGCCAACTTCGTCCCACCGTCCTCCACGACGGTGGGCTTTGCGACAACTCGTGGCAATGCAACAGACGACCGCAATCGAGCCCCTTCCATAAAGCTTAAAACAATCAGCATATGCATATGAACGGGGTTGGATACAGATGACAAGGAAAAGTGACGGAAATCTATGGGGGGCTTACTATCGTAAAAGTAGGCTATCAGCCTCGGGTGTGTCTTGTTTGGCAAGTCGTTGAATATCTGGTAGATGAGTAGACCCTTCTTCTGAGAGATAGTAATCAAGACATTGCGAAAAGAGCTGAGCTTGGTTTGCCACCATTCCGCCTGCTGTTGGTAGAACATGAGTCCATACGATCTCGGCGGGCGGAACACTAGTCGCGAGCAGACGCTGGATCATGTGGATGCCATATTCACTGAGTACATCGTGGCGGTGCAGACTGTTAACCAGATTCGCAATGAAGCCGGCCTTGTTAACAAACTCAACATTAGCCATTGTCAGTTCCCCAAGCTGTTGAGTCACAGCCCGGGCGCCCTGGTCAAGCTGGAATGACTTCCCAACATCGACGTCGTAGAAGATGGATGCAAACACAAGCGCCAAGATCTCGTACAGTTCGGACTCGGCAAAAATTCCCCGTGGGTTCGACTCGGTCTTCAATGGTAGGGAAAACACATTTGCGCAGAAATGAACCTGCGCCAGGTTCGCGATGTCTCGAACGATGTCGACCTGATTGACTCCGGCCACCTGATACGAATGCTTGTGCAAGAGTTTCAGAGTGATGTCTTCGTAGAATCTCTTGACCTCGCTCTCCCACTTCTCACGATACAATGCTGAGCCCATCATCTTACGTGACGCAGCGTTTGGTGGCCTGTCACCCGACAGCATGAAATCCCGGCCATAAGGGCGGTTGTTGCGATGCATCAAAAACTCGATCTTCTCTCCCCATGTTACCTTGAACGCCTCTTGGTCACTGAGGATCGATTGGCAAGCGGAATTAGAGTTGATAAATGGCGGCATAGGCGTATAGCTCGGTCGATCCCAGCTGTAATCCCGCGCAACTGAAAGACTCTCCAAGATCTTCTTGTTCTCGGATGGAATAACCAGGGGAAAGTGTGCGTAGACGGAGTTGCCTTTGAAATGTTTGGGGAACGCACGGAACACCAGCTTGTAAAATACTTGGCCTTGGTCAACGGAATCCAGAGGCAGGATTTCATTATAGGCCCAGTTTGTGAGATGCTTTGGGGTTGAATCGACCGTGTAGAAGCGATCGCCACGAACCAAAGCCACTGCATCGGACAGGACAGCCCTTGAGATTGTAAAGTTAGTACACAGGCCACTTCCTGGAACCATCGGGTCTTTCGTAGCCTCTACGATGAGACCTGGGTAGAGTTCTACCAGGTCGGGTTCATCATAGAATCTTTTGAGCTGATCGGCAATGTATGGATCAGGATTGATTTCTTCGAAGGTCTTGTAGGGTGCCAGGTCGAAGAATTTGCGGAACTCGTTGAGGGTAGCCAAGTTCCAGGAGCGCGCTTGCATGATGCCGAGAGCCTCGATGTTCCTGAAGATTGACGGGACGTTGCCCGCACCAAAGGCACCTGCGCAATCTTCAACGCTATCTGCGAACATGTTGGCGAGATCGCCATCATCAAAAGAGCCGTCTGCATTACGCTGTAATCCAGCAAATGCACGCTCTGCGGGCTGCTCTGGTAGGCCCGCCTCCCATTGAGCGACGCCCCTGACAAACTCTCTTAGCGAGACATCATTGGGATTCTTTCCCGGAAACAGATCTTTATATAGATCCTGCGTCCATTTCTCATCCCGCTGAGAAATGCAAGAATGCCAGCGGTAGACAAGGTTGAATTCAGCAGACACCTGGTTGCCCGTAGCTTCACCTGGGGCGCTACCTAGCAAGCCGTCCTTAATATCGGCTCGAGGATCCAAGCTCCAGAGACTGTCTGTTCGATTGATATTCAATATCGTTCGAACGTAATCCTTAAGGATGATATTGATATACAGGCCGCATGTGACTAGCCGACCGGTCTGGAAAAGATCGTTGTCGTACTTCGCATAAGCCTCGCCATTGGACTCATTGGGCTTGGTGAAACGACCGCCTTCATTGATGAGAGCCAAGTTCTCAACCACATAGTTGTGAAAGCGGTTGAACATCAACAGTAGCACCCCAACGCCAGGCGGAAAGCCCAGAACACGTTTGCTGGAGAAACAGTCCGGCTTGAGCTTGCCATCCTTGAATGTCCTAACCAAGTCCTGTTCGTCTTGATTGTTGCCATACAGCGGCGCCAGGTCCAAATATGACGACGTCAAGCTCACCGTGTAATCATTTCGATCGGTTTGAAAAAGATCTTAGTGCATGTCAGTCACAGAACCCTAAAATCCATGAGCTGCGCAGAACCCACCATGAATGATGATGGAAGCAAGGTAGAATAGGACACTGGATATCTTATTTGGGTGTTCCTTGTACTCTCTTCTTTCCAGAAGAGAGGCGAACAGCGTCTCAGCACTCGGAAGTGCAGGGGACTGGACAGTCCTCGGGCGTACAGATCTAGCGTAGTGGGTGCCAGCTGCTCCAATATGGGGCCACAGAACATTCTGATAGCATATAAGTTAACGAGGGCCTCATAGAGCTTTTGAGGGGATTGTACATTTCCTGAGCCATCGGCTTTGCGATAGGAAGACTCTCGGCCGAGGTAACTTCGATTTGCCATTAGTCTCTAACAAGAAGTCGTTCATGATCGACTTACGAGATGGGTGGATGCTGCAGGTCATTCCACAATTGCTTGAGGAACGTGTTCGTCAAATCTTTCCCACCCTTAGAAGTCGAGGGCAGTCCAGCGGCAAGCTAAGCTCGGTTTAGGATGAGTCTACGGTTCCTGCTGAACGATGCGGGAGACGGATGAACTGACCTGGATCACTCGCTCCATGATATAGTGCCTATCGTTGACTGGCTGGCCAGTTGCAGTATCCTTGACCACCTCAATCAGGGTTTTGATATCATTAAGATCGACATGGCTAAGATCGCGAACAAGCCCTGTCTGGCTTGGCTCCGTGATGTAGGTCCCATTGCCTGTTGCTGTGGGCAAGGGTCGCAATGAGGCAGAGACAACCTTCTCGACCTGGGAAACTGTATTCCCGATGCCGTTCACGATGGAGTGGTTATTTGCTCCCGACATTTCGTACTATAGTATACAAGTCGTGGTCCAATAGGCCCAACGCTGCTGGGTACGTCGCACAAGCCAAGATCAGCATCATGATCCAATTATGCTTAACTGACGAAGAGAGAGAGGGGTAGATAGTAGTCTCGCATGACTCTCAGGTCTATGGAAAGACCCAAACAAGGGCCAAGGTCATGAAGTCATAGAAAGGTTGCTCACCCTGGGATGAAAACGTCTGGAGCCAAGCCGACAACCGAGGAATGCGAACAGCGACTTATCGAATGCGGGGAAACCAAACACAAAATAAACCAAATCGAAGCCAGTATACAGTACACAGGCTAAGAAGGACTCAGAGGGAGTGAACAGGAATATACACGAGAAGCAAGGATGCACATGAGAAAGCATGTGCACGAGGGGGATGGAAGGAAAATAAGGAGAGGATATCCCAGACACGGTCTTTATAGGTCTGGTCAGCGGCATCATAAGGGCGGCCCAAGAGAGAACCCGCGAGTCGGCAACCCCGAGAAGCATGAATAAGAAAACTCATCGGCGATGACAGGCCCTGGCATGCTGTCCACGACGAGGAGTGGCCCATCAGACGTGATGAGCGAGGCAGACGGGCTTCTGATTCGCGTGCATGAGACATGGCCACGGCGGAGTTCACATCGTATGCAAGGCTAACCGACGGATGCGGACTATGATCGAACGTGCCTTAGTGAGATGGCCCCGATGGGTGGCCTATCTACACTAAGACAGTAAGTATGGCGTGCACAGCCGAACAGATACGAGGGATGGCCACGGACGGACCGTATCGCGAGACATCGAAGGTGGGTGCCACTGGCCAACCCCGGCGACCAGACTGGCTGGCGCTCTCTTTCAGCCGGGCAAAAACAAGGGACGATCTGCGGCTGGAGCTTGAAGTCCGCCATGGGGAAACGATTGGATCATTGGCATATTGGAGGGGGGCCTGAGGAGGAACCCAGGTTGGAAGTTGGTCATTGGTATTCGGTTATCCACATTCTTCTTCTGCCACTCTGGTTCTCCATCCGGATCCAGCATCAGTTGTCCCGACACCTGGGGTGCCGTCGATGAATAAAGCATGGCAGCAGTGTGGTGAGTGATCATGGCCCGGGAACTCCTATCAGAACAATTCCTTTTTATTCCCACAGGTGGGTGGGGACTAGACTAGCACGGGCTGCAGAGGTGAGCTGTTTGCTGGGGGGATGGCTGTCAAGTGCGCGAACTGGTATTTGTAGGGGTGGGCCAAACCGTGCCGGGGTATAGTTACATGCCACTAGCACTCTAAACCGCGGGGGGCCAAGGAAGGCTGGCTGACCGACTGCGACTAAAGCGACACTATTTGCATTGCGGAACGCTAGTAGATAGGTCTGGCTAGCCCCAGCTGGCATCGACGATGATAATATTACTATTATAGTTATAGTGATGTGTGTATCAATCGGGGTATCCGTGGCGGGCGCGTTTGTTTGGTTGACTGATCCAATGGCTGATACAGGGCGTTTGCATTGTCAGCTCTCAGTATTTTATCATGTGTCTACTGTCTAGCTGCTCTTTCTCTGTATTCTTTTTTGACTCTTTGGGTCACTGTCTCCTGGTCTAACTTATCTTTCACCAGCTTCTCCCACCCAGGCTTTGACCTGACAGCTGCCAGAAAATTGGTTGTTCCGGTTCATAGTACCTCCTGTGCAGTGGCATACCAACCCGGCCAATATTTATCTAGGTTGGGATGTGATATTCCCTAGTGACTATATGTATGTACTGTAGTGCATGTCAGACAAAGGAAACAGCAGGCTGGGAAAACGTGGGAGCAAGGAGGACAAAAGAACAATGAAGCCCAAACAAGGAAGAAGCAAAAAGCAAACACCGCCTCAGGCTCACCACGGCCATTGTTACTTGTTACGGTGAAGGACGGAGTACTCCGACTGCAAGTCCCGCAAGTCGAAGGGCTGAAAATGCTGCCGGGGCAGACGGAGGCCGGACCCCGGCAGATCGTCCCACGTGATCCTCCCGGGCCGAGGTGCCTGACTGCAACTGGCTGGGGTACGAGTATAAACTAGCACCATTTTTGCTGGGCGGCGCGCTCAACAACTCTCTTCCGCTGACCGGAACCTTCTGCGCCATCTCCTTCACAGTTCTCACGAACCCTTGCACTGTGCTCTTACATCAGCTCACGTGGTGTAATCCTCAGACAATTACCCGTCTGTCTGCCGAATCATCACGAGCCCGTGTAAATCCAGCACTTCCCAATGGCGTCCCTCACATTAGTTGTTGAGCCCCGGGGTAAGTTTCCGGCCGCCCGCCAGTCCATCCATAGCCTCAATTCTAACCTAGACTCTACGAACCAGGCAAACCTATCAAGAAGCTCCCCAAGCAAGTCCAAGTTTCCCCCGATGCCTCGACTGCCGAAATCTACAACAAGCTCGCGGAAGCCTCGGGCTTCTCCATCCACCGTCTCAGAATCACCAAGGGCAGCGACCGCACCGTAGTCCCCAACTCCAAGGACTCGACCGTCGACGGAACCGGCCTGAAGGAGAAGAGCGTCCTGCACGTTAAAGATCTAGGTACGAAAATAAGCTGACATGATACCCATTCAATTCCACTGAGACGCCCCCACACTCACCCTGAATCCCATTATCCTCAGGCCCCCAGCTCGGATGGCGCACCGTCTACATCATCGAATACCTCGGACCACTCTTCATCCCAGCCCTCTTCCTCTTCCCCCTCCGCCCATATGTCTACTTCAACTTCGACCAGCCACTGCCCGAACCATCCTTCTTCCAGCTCCTGGTCTGCGCCCTGCTCACCATCCACTTCATTAAACGCGAATACGAAACCATCTTCGTCCACCGCTTCAGCAATGCCACCATGCCCGCCCGCAACATTATCAAGAACAGCGGCCACTACTGGGTCCTAGCCGGCCTCAACATCGCCTACTGGGTCTTCCGTCCCGACTCCCCCGCCACCACCAACCAGGACGCCTTCCTCCTCTATAGCGGCCTGGCCCTCTTCATCTTCGGTGAACTGGCCAACCTCAACGCCCACCTGATACTACGCGACCTCCGTCGCCCCGGTACCACGGAGCGAGGCATTCCCTCCGGATTCGGGTTCAAGGCCGTCACCTGCCCCAACTACTTCTTCGAGGTCGTCAGCTGGGTGGGCGTCTACCTGCTGAGTGGAATGAGCTGGAGCGTTCTCCTGTTCATCGTCGTCGGAACCGCCCAGATGGCCATCTGGGCGAAGAAGAAGGAGCGTCGCTACCGTAAGGAATTCGGCGACAAGTACAAGCGTAAGCGCTTCGTTATCCTGCCCGGTCTGTACTAGATCAACAACCAGCAGCCAGCAGCCAGCAACCAGCAGCCAGCATGGTAGTGAAATAGCTATGCTGGATGCGACCGCATCGCGCATACGTGTCTTGGCAGGTGACAGCCAAGTAGATACCACGGGAACCTTGCATTAGCCTCAAAAGTCAGTGTTGAGGTGAGAGGTCATTGGTATTACGGGGGAATTTTCTTTGCATGACAGTTGTTCTTCGCATGTAACCTATTACTACTATTATTATTATAGATTCTAGTTTGTTTTATAGTTTCACGAGAGTCATGCGCAGTTTATTTTTACGCGAAGAATAATTCAAGTCAAGACCATGTTAACGCAATTGATACATGCAGCATCCATCCATCCATCGATAGCCAACTAATCAATGCGCTCGCTTGATATATGAATAATACATAATACATAATCCATAACAACTAATAGTAATCCACGACCAAATCACAAACTCCCCAAACACCGATTGATTCTCGGAATCAGACCCAAAACTCCCTAGTAGGTATCTAGGTGTACATTACCCCCAAGCTAAGAGGCAAGGCAAGGCAAAAAATAAACTACGAAAAGAAACAGGGAGGAGGATGGGGAAAGACTATTCATGTTTCAACTTGCTCACCCAGAGACGATAATACGGCTCCAATTCCTTCTCACAGCTCCGCTTCGTATCGGTGTCACAGCCAAGGAAGCGAATGACAAAATCACCGTCCTTGTAGACGCCGTCGACAGCAGCGCCGGAGGAATCCTTGCTGTACGAATTGATGATTCGTTGCGGGATCAGAGCTAATCTTGCCAAGATGGTTGGGTGCCATTGAACGATGTGATCCTGACAAAGGTGATGACGTGGGTTAGTTGAGTGATACACAGGAAACAAAGGAAGGTAAAAGAGGAAGTAAAAAGAAAAGAAAAGTCCGCAGAGGTTAGTAATAGAACGGTGATGGGCAATTTGACTGAAGAATACGGGCCAGAATAGAAGCCAAGAGGGAGTGTCTCTTACCAGAACATGAGTTTCGGCCTTCGCAAAGTTGTAGCTCAGGTATAGAGGGTCGAACCAGAAATCGAGGAAATATTTGGCAAAGTCGCCCTGTCGCAGGATGAAGCTTCCGGGACACATATCCTCCTCGTCGGTGGTGACGATGAGATCGATATCCTCGGCTCGGAGATGCGAGAAGGTCTTGATGATGCTATCGGGGGGCACGACGGAAACGTCCTTCTGCATGAGCGATTCGAGACGGGACTTCTCGAGGACATGCGATTCGAGCGACTTGCCCGGGTTCATGATAAGGGAGTGCGCGTCGAGGTGGAAGAAGTACTTCGAGTATGGGTGCGAGGCCATTGCGTGACGGACGGCTGGGACGACGGCCCAGGATCTCGGGGCATTATCGAGGGCGGTTTCATAGTCGGACACATTGGCGAAGAAGTTCGTATAACCTGGATTCAATTGTAAGACATCTGAGTATTTAACACGAGAAGCCGGCAGATTTCCCTTACCATGTCGCTTAGCATAGTCCTCGCGGTTCTTGACGATCTTCTGGATGTAATCGTCGCTGAAACCCGCCCGGTCTAGAACGGTGACGATCACCACACCGGCGGTTCCTGCTGGTACGGCGGGGGTTCCTGTACTGGTATAGAAGAGCTGGGAGAGGAGGAAGAATACGGTGAGGAGGGCCAATCCCAGGATGGCCACGGCTTTGAGCTGCTTCCTGCGCTGGAGGGAGAATCGGGACGAGCGAGCGTACGGAGGGGCTATCGGGGTCCTCCGCGGAGGCAAGGCGAACTGCATAATGGGCGTATGTGTCCCCAGCGAGCGGATGCTGGGTGACCGAGAAGGATGTGAGGAGGATCGGAGCGGACTCTGTTGGATCAGGTCATTCTAGCACATCGTCGTAGCAGTCGGGGTCAGCGTCACTGCTCGTAACTGATCCGGCTTCACGGCTCCCCTGCCGGATCCGGCATTGGCGCCCGCGGATCTTTGTTGGTCCGAGAGATGGCAGCATTCCAGCTCTTGCAGCTGAGCCGGGATGAGAGGCCTTCCAAGGCAATCTAATGGGTATAGATGTTGCGGTCTGATCTCCTTGATCATGGGGTCCTTCCTGTTCGAGAGGACGTGGAGACGTGATGCCGCACATGCTCTACGAATGCATTGCATCGCGGGGGCACCCAAACGCTACCTTGGCTTCTCAGCAATGGAACAAGTCTAGTCTATAGACAAGGTAACCAATTCACTTGCATATCTTGCCCCCGTCCGTCTGTCGGTATCTGCAAGACTGCCTGCTGTAGCCCTCTCCAGCACCGGTTGCACATCACATCTAATCGAACCCAAATCGCATTGGCAACATATAAATACACTGAAGAGCGAATCACGCAAATCCAAGCAGTCCATGCAAGATCTAAATAGCTGTACAGTCGTCGTCCTCACTGTCCGCAAGAGATCAACGCGGTATACTGACGCTGTCCACCATGACCGTAGAAATAATAATACAACAGACGCCCATCCGTTGGTCACCAGATTATCACCCGAAATCGACTGTCTCAAATCGACTTTGTTAGAAACAAGCCTGTCATGTCTCTAGTACTGTTTTTCGTTGTACGTTGGCTTCGTGATCTCCCTGATGTTGGTCTCCTCCTCCACCTGCGCCTGGATCTCAGCCTCCTTCTGCTTCACCCACTCCTCGAACGTAGGCGGCTCGGGCAGACCCAGCTTCTTCCGCTCCTCTCGGAACTGTTCTTGAATCTTGGGCGTCTGCATGATCTTCCACCGCAGCTCCCAGCCAAAGATTCCCATCTCCCTGATGCGCCCCGGCCGGTCGCTCAGAAGGTAGTTGTCGAGTCCACCGGATTTCCGGATCGTGCGCAGCGCCTTCCGTGTGACCTTGATGAAGAGATCCTCCCCGAGCGCTTCACTGTGGAGCTTCTTCCGACGAACGTTGGGCTTCCAGGATCGGCGAGTCTTTCCCTCATTGCGGCCCTTAGAGATCTTGTTTCCGAAGCGGATCATCGTGCCGGCGTAGAGGCCGGAGTTGGCTTGTTTGAAGACATAGTTGGGTCCGTAGGGGTAGGGAGGAATGTAGTCCGGGAGCTTTCTCGTCTTTTGCGCCGCCAATGTCGTAGAGAAGGAGCGTTTGGGGGTCGTGAGGGAGAGGTTGCGAAAAGCCGCAGAGAGGGAGAACGGAAGGGACATGGCCGAACGAGACTGTAAACCCGCCATTGTGTAGATCAAGAGGTCGAGGGGCAGTCGACCATGACAGGGAATCGACCGGAGAAAGAGAAGAACAGGCGCCGACAGAGCACAGCAGCGGCGGACAAGACCGTAGGAGACGGGCGTGGACCGTCCAGCACCGGTTGGTGAAAGAATTTGGGGCCTCGCGGCTGACCGCCTTGGCCACCGACGCCGTTCATTGATCGAGCCCCCCAGCTGCGCTTGAATTTCGGCCAGAAGCAGCTGCATCCAGACTTGCCTTTCCTCCATCATCGCCTGTTTGCCTGATCCTGTCAGTTCTTTCCTGGATCCTTCGCGTCTCCAGCTTCATCAGTCTCCCCTCGCCTCCACGATCGCTTTCCTGTGGCTTCTGAGTGAGGTCGCAATCCCTTCACCATGGTTCAAATCAGTGAAGTGAAGGGCAACTCGCGCGAGAACAGAACAGCAGCCCACACGCATATCAAGGGTCTGGGCCTACGACTAGATGGTACTGCAGAGGCATCCGGAGATGGATTCGTTGGACAAACAGCCGCCCGTGAGGTACGCGACCGCATTGTCATCCAAATCGTCGGAAGCTCGTGAGGCTAGATGCTAACCCGGGGACTTGGTGTGCAGGCATGCGGTGTCGTGGTTGATCTGATCAAGGCAAAGAAGATGGCTGGCCGGGCTGTCCTTCTGGCTGGTGGTCCCGGAACTGGAAAGACGGCTCTCGCCCTTGCCGTGTCGCAAGAGCTGGGAACCAAAGTCCCGTTCTGCCCGATTGTTGGTAGTGAGATCTACTCGGCTGAGGTCAAGAAAACAGAGGCGCTCATGGAGAACTTCCGGAGGGCAATTGGTACGCGATATGGTCGGCCCATGCGGAAGACTCATCATCTCTAATTCATCGATAGGCCTCCGTGTCCGCGAAACAAAGGAAGTATACGAGGGTGAAGTTACGGAACTTACCCCCGAAGAAACCGAGAACCCACTGGGAGGATACGGTCGCACGATCAGCCATTTGATCATTGGACTGAAGTCCGCCAAGGGTACCAAGAAGCTGCGCCTGGACCCCAGCATCTACGAAGCCATCCAGAAGGAGCGGGTCACCGTGGGAGACGTCATCTACATTGAAGCGAACACCGGAGCCTGCAAGCGTGTCGGGCGTTCCGACGCTTATGCGACCGAGTTCGACCTCGAAGCGGAAGAGTACGTTCCCGTGCCAAAGGGAGAGGTTCACAAAAAGAAGGAGATTGTCCAGGACGTGACGTTGCATGATCTGGATACGGCCAATGCCCGGCCCCAGGGTGGACAGGATGTGATGAGCATGATGGGACAACTCATGAAGCCCAAGAAGACCGAGATCACGGAGAAATTGCGCCAGGAGATCAACAAGGTCGTCAACCGGTACATTGACCAAGGTGTTGCGGAGCTTGTTCCTGGTGTTCTTTTCATCGATGAGGTATGTAGAGCTCGACTGCATCGCCACGGCGTTTCCTGACGTTCTTCTAGGTTCACATGCTTGACATCGAGTGCTTCACATACCTCAACCGCGCCCTCGAATCCTCCATCTCCCCCATCGTCATTCTCGCCTCTAACCGCGGTAACACCGTCATCCGCGGTACGGACGATATCACCGCCGCCCACGGCATTCCTCCCGACCTTCTCGCCCGTCTCCTCATCATCCCCACCCACTCCTACTCTCCCGACGAGATCAAGACCATCATTCGCCTGCGCGCCAAGACGGAAGGACTCAACATCACCGACCCTGCCTTGGACAAGGTCGCCGAACACGGCAGCAAGGTCAGCCTGCGGTATGCCCTGCAATTATTGACCCCCGCCAGCATTCTCGCCCGGGTGAACGGACGCCCGGGAGGTATCGAGGAAGCCGACGTGGCCGAGTGCGAAGATCTTTTCCTGGATGCGCGGAGGAGTGCCTCGATCGTGAACCAGGATAGTGAGAAATACCTCAAATAAATGGAGCGCGATAAAGATGTCTCTTTGTTTGGATTTAATGTGAGCTTCTAGAAACAAGCAGGGTTTGGAATCGAAAGGGGTTCGTGAAGGAGAGAAGAAAGCAAGAAAACAAACAAAGAGACATACCAGGCAAAGCAATCTGTATACCATGTCTGGTGTGACTGTAGGTTTTGTATGGCAGGTTTTTCTAAACTGGGAAAGAGCGACTGCTTTTTTTTCTATGAATGAGCTATTTTACGTTAATGTCAACTAGTATTCGGATCTTCGCTTCCCATCGCCGTCATTGACTAGTGTCTTTCCATCTCCACAATGGCTTATGGTAGGTTTAAGAGGTCTTCGTTGCACCGGTCTTGTTGCACATTGGTCTAAAACGAGCCTTAACCCTGGCTGCTGGATTCGGTAGAGCACTCAACAGGACCAGAATGAGTCTCAGGATGAGGATATAGACGCGGACCAAACGGAGCGTGGTTCGAATCAGGTTCTCTTTCAAGCCTAGACGTGGAGGCGCTGAGCTGGCTGCCTCCAGCGGGTCTTGGTGGTACTGCACGTGGAAAGGGACTTTGGCGCCTAGGTCTTCTATAGCGATTCTAAGCCCCGCGGTGACGGCGTCCTCTAGGTGTCCGCGACCTGTCCAGTACACGCCATAGCTTAGACCGCGTTTGTTCTGTATGGAAGGAAGGCGGCTTTGCGCAAGGAGGGTCTGAGCGCTGGGCTCTGGGTCGGTGAACTCCCATACGCCTTGCACGTGGCTAGGGTGCGGTGGGGTGAAGGGGTTCAGGGTGATGTATATGGGTCCGTAGATGTGTGTGGGAATGCTTTCTAAAAAATTCGCGATGTAACCGAGGCTAGAGATGTGTGATGATGGGTGGTTACTGGGCCCGATGATGTAGTTGCAGGAAGGCCCTGGGTACTCGGCATTGGGCATGAGCTGGTTCAAATGGGTGAGCAGAAGATTCGGGATTGAATACCCCACTTTACAACAAAAGATAGTTGAGACTCACGAGAGGGTCTGAATGTAAAACCGAAATATTTCTGGTAGATCCCAAGTTCTGGATGGTTTCCCTTTCTTGCGCAGTGGCGTGCGACCCAAGGAGCTTGATGGTCTCATGGCTGTCCACCGCAAAGACGACGTGATTGAAGAACATCTCTTGGCCATCGGACGTCAAGATACCATACTTCTTCCCACACTGAACTACCTCTAGGACCCTAGTCTTGAGGTGCACCTTCGAGCTGGGGAAATTCATGGATATGGCTTCGATGAGCTGGCCCGCCCCTGGTCTGATACAACGCCAATTCGGTGACGCTTGACGGGGTTTCAACAACTGATGATCATACAGACACCGGACGAGGGCTTTCGCAGGCAGCCGCGACAGGAACCTTCCAGCATTAGTGCTCCAGAGTATGGACAGCAGTGGAGCTAGGTAGTTCTCAAGAAAGGTGTTAGAGTATCCTTCGCCTGAGAGATACTCATGCGTAGACAACGGCGGCTCAGTCTCGGTGGGTTTACAAGCCTGTGAACCAGTATCAAGCACATCCACGGCCAAATACTTTAGCCAAATAACATCCGATAGGATGCGATAGGTTTCTATATTGCATAAGATCCATGGACGAATAAGGATGCTTTTCAGCATGCTGCCGCACCACTGGAAGCTGTTGATCCCATCGGTGGCCCCGAAAGTCAACGGAGCTTTGACGGTGGTAACCCCAAGGTAGTGTAACAACGAGACCAGGTTGGCTGAGGGAGAACATTAGTCCTGAAAGATACATGCTGGGAGAATGGCACTGACGAGAAGCCTCAGCATTGAAATTGGGCGAATCGGTGTTCACATCGACTCGGTTGCTGTTATGCTCAAACGGCAGGGTCTTGACACGCCCACCAAGAGCGGCTGAGGCTTCGAACAGATGAACATCGTGGGAGGAGTTCTGCAGCGCCCAGAAGGAGGTGATTCCCGTGCAGCCGCCCCCAATCACAGCAACACGCTCAGGCTGAAAGAGCGGCATGAATACAAGAACTGCTAGCGGTTAGACCTGCCATCGAACAGGTCAACCCAAGAGAATACGAAGAGAAACCTGGAGTGCATACTCCGTAGATCTGTGTAGATTGATGTTTCGATAACCAGGGGGGAGGATCTCGAATAATGATAGAAAATGTGTCAAATTCCTCCTTTTCCCATTCGAAAATACTAGGGCAGCAGAAGAATCTCAACGAGGGAGAGGGAAAGCGGTGGTGGTAGACTTATCAAGACATTCACGCACGCTCAGATCCCGGTTTGCTACACCCTCTTGTCCTCATGTGGCGGTTAAATGTGATCACATCAGATGACAGCGAACAGACTGGTGAGTCAGTCAAAGCCTTTGAATCCCTATTATTGAATGAAATCCCGGCTAGAAGTTTGAAAGAATGGCCCAGGGAGAAAAACTGGGGTAAAGATGTTGACCTGTCACTGGTGAAAGGGACCCAAGGATTAGACCGTGGATGGAGGTCGGCAAGCAAGCTCCACCAACTTGGGAGGCAAGAATGGGGGGGCAAATCCTGGGGTTAATTGACCCGGAGTCAGGGGGTCCATCATTTGCAAGCCGTGGGAACTGGGAAGGAATAAGCCAACCATAGCTTCCGCCGCTCCCAATTGAAGGAGCGCACCGGAATCTCGATGGGGTTCAACGAACAATGAGATCCATACAACGGCCAAGAGCGCATCGACCGTTGAGGCGACGACGTCAGCCGGAACCATCGACCAGCAAGGCTCAAGCATCCCTCTTGAGTCTCAAGTGCCTCGGCCGCCCATCACGTGCCCCGCGCCCGTTCCTGTCATCGCAGCCGTCCATCCAGCTGTCTCAACCTTCATCCTCTGGCTCTCTAGCGCCTACGTCTCCATCTGCCATTCCGATACCCTCTCGTTCCGAGTTGATATTGCGTCGTTCTCTGATAGACCGTGTCATTCACTCCGTTGGTGGTTTCAATCTCTTTCCCGGAGCAGCACGGGCACCCACCAGCCACCGCGAAGATAAGGTGGCTACTCTCTCCACTTACTCGGATCCGCAACCCCTATCCACTATTTAACTCGGTCTCGATCTGCTGTGAAACATAACCAAAAGATTCTTTGGCCTACGCAATCCCATCTAATACCATAATGGCGAACCCGTTGGACACCGATGCCGGCTCGGAGCTGTTCAGCAGCTACGAGACCGAGTTGAAGCTGGTACAAGCCGATCTGAATCAAAAGCTGGACCAAATTGCCGAGTCGAGCGGTGAACAACGAAAATCAGCGATCAGACAGGCTGAGAGAGCCTTGGACGAAGCCACGGAATTGGTACGTTTCGTCACTCTTCAGCACCGCACCCTGCGACTAGTTCCAACTAACGAGTCCGATGCAGCTGGATCAAATGCGCATGGAGAAACAGAACATTCCCTCGGCAGCACGATCAAAGATCAACACGCGCGTTCGCAACTACGCTACCGATATTGATGAGGCCAAGTGCAAGTTGAGGTCCCTTTCCGACGATCGCAAAGCGCTCTTTGGCGATCGCTACACAGATGATCCGCAGGATGAGCATCTGGAACAGAGACAGCAGCTTCTGTCTGGTACAGAGCGCTTGGAGCGTAGCTCCGCCCGGCTCCAGGAGAGTCAGCGCATTGCCCTCGAGACGGAGGATATTGGTCGCAACACCTTGGCCGACCTCAACCAGCAGCGGGAGACCATCATGAATGCTCGGGGTCGGCTGCTTGAGAGCGAAGGATATGTGGACACCAGTATTAAGACACTAAGGGGCATGGCCCGTAGGTACTGTCCCCTAGCATTCAAGAATTTTCACTCAGCCTTTGCGCATTGATTCTGACTGCCCGATAGGATGGCTACGAATCGGCTGATTACCATCGCAATCATCACCGTCTTGATCCTCTTGATTTTCGCCGTTATTTACAGCAAGTTCCATTGAGCGTGGGTTTGACAGGCGTTATTACAGGTGGCCTCTCTTTTGTTCTTTCCCTTTAATGACACGATACATCTGCAGTTGCAGACACATCACGGAACGTTGTATGATAGCATCCATCAGCTCTAATTAGGCGACATGTTATAGTACAGGGTACATTGCAATTCATGAGCCAATTCTACTAAACTCCATCTATTAAATCGTGAAGGGTATAAAACTTGGACAGACAATCATCATCAACCCACTAATTCATAATCCTCATCGCCCCAAACGCAATATTGACCACCACTCCCACAAAAACCGCCAACCCCTTCCTCCAGCTCCAAACCCCCTCCTCCCTCCTCAACCACATGGCACACCCCACCGGCCAAAAGAACCCCATCACCGCTCCCCAAAGCATATCATCCATGGCGCCCCTCGACCCCGGCCCAAACCCTCCATCATCATCCGCAAACGAGACCACCCCTTCCCCACCCTCTCCACCACCCCCCACCATAGCCGCTGACGACCCCTCATCCATCCACCGATCCTCCAACTCGCGTAACTCCGCCCCGGAGGGCATCGTATCCGGGGTCCGCGACGCCGACTGCACCGCTAGAAACTGCGACCGAAGACCCGCCACCTCCGCGGGTGTAAACCCCGCCGAGAGTAACCGGTCGAAGCCCCTCGGCGCGGGCGTCGTAGTACTCTCCGACTGTACATCTTTCCGCCCATCCTCTCTACCACCCTCTGACTCTGACTGACGTGAGGTTTGTTGCTGCAACGTTGACGCGATCGACGCTTCGGCAGCGAGATCATCCGCCGAGAGAACTATATCTCCGATGGAGCAGTGGATGTAGAGACGCGGATGATCGCGAACGGGGGCTTTGCCTTTGCCCTTGGGATCAGAGGCGGGGTCTGCATCGCTGGGTGGTGGGGGTGGTCGCGGGGATCTGGTGGGCGTGGGAGGGAGTTTCAGGGATACGGAGAGGGGGGTTTTGTCTTCGAGGCCACGGCCAGCGTGGATGAGACGGAGACGGTGTGAGGACAGGTGCGGGGGGAGACGGGTGCGGATGAGTTGTTTTAGGCCGGCGGAGGTGGTGGTTGAGGGGGAGTAGATGTCGAGGGGGAGGTCGGGGATGGAGGCGGAGAAGCGGATGGTCACGTAGAGGGCGTCGGCGGTGGTGGAGGAGGGGTCGAGGGGCGGAGGGGGTGTGAGGAAGGACGGCGATGCCATTGTGGGATGTATTTGTTTGGTGGAGGGCGAGGGCGAGTGGGACGAGGTGGTGTTGAGGGTGTAGGGCGATGTGTCGGTACGTCACGGCTTGCGATGGGGAAATGGAACCATCGATAACCCCGATAAGGCTGCAGCCTGAGGTCGCGCGCGGTGATCCACGTGATTCATAGTTCCAGTGGTCGCCTGATGTGATTGGCTGTTGCGACTACTTCCCTTTCCGGTCAAACATCTCCCGGCGACTCTTGCAATCACCTACCTTTGCTAAATCACTCACGAGTGCCTGGAATATCACCAAATTCAGTGGATTATTGGCCTATTTTGAAGATGTCAAAGCTGGCGCTATGGAAAGTCATGAAGATGAACCGTTTCCAATCTTCTATTGGACCATGCTAACTGTCCAGTCACCCAGTCATGTTCAGTACCCATGGAAGAGCTCACAAAGATAAGATAGACACTCGTACCTAGATGAGGAGCAGGGGCAGGAAATAGCCTGGCTCCTCTCCACCGCATGGGGAAAGATTGTACAAAAATGGACAAAAAACCCCGGATTGTCCTGCGTGACTACTGCCTTGCATTAGCTCTCGTTCTCCAAACGCCGACCCACCTCACTAGTCACATTATCAAGGTAGTATATCAATGCTATGTCAACATCTTTTGATGATGCTGCCCTCGGATAGCTCATCCGAGGTAACCGAGCTCCCATATACTGTGACAGATAGGAGCCGACCTGAACCCGGATCTCGTCCGAGGAAGCCGATCAACTCGTCAATTGAACAAGTATGGGCCAGCATAGACGTTAGCGATCACCAGACCTGTTATCATGATTATTGATCCAACCGACGGAAGAAACATCGCTACGGCGTGGCGTTGGTGTGGGAGCCGATTTGACTGCCCTTCTCCGATCACTGCTCAGGGTCGGGAGCATTATGAGGATGTCGAGACATATAAGCGCCTCATGCTTCCAGACTGAAGCATTTCACTTGTTCTGGTTAATGCTCCAAGAGCTTTCCTAACAATAGTCCTTGATAGTAAAATAAATTGTCGAGAACATCATCACCTTTCAATATGGCTCCTATCGCTACCATACCCTCCACTGCAGCACCCATGGTGGTTGGGCCTGCTACGAAGAAGGCCACTAGGCCAACCAATGATCTCCCCCAGTCACTAATTGATGGGGCTTGGGTTTTGGAGAAAGAGACTTTTGACGCTCAGAAGCATCTGAGCTTCCAACCCCCAAGCAAGATCCATACTATGAAGGAGATTGGGTATGAAGGATATGGTATCTCACCTAATGCTGTCTCTGAACCCTTTCCTCTCTTCAACGAGGCAGCCATCAAACAAATGAGGGCGGAGATCTTCAGCAAGCCGGTTCTTGAAAAGTGCCAGTACTCCTCGACTTTCAACAAGAACATGATTCGAGGCATGGGCCCTACGTCAGTTGCATCCATCTCCGGCCCACGACTTGTCTAATATCTGCTAACTTCTATTAGCCTAGCCCCATTTGTCTACGATGCCTGGAAGTCGCCCGAAGTCATCGCCAGAGTCTCAGAAGTCGCCGGAGTGGACCTAGTCCCGTCTATTGATTTTGAGATTGCCAACATCAACATCTCAATCAATGATCCGAGCACGGAACCCACCCAAACATGTGACAATCGACAAGAAGACGAACTCTCTGCTGTCGCATGGCACTACGACAGCTTTCCTTTTGTCTGCGTGACCATGCTCTCCGACTGCTCCGACATGGTCGGCGGAGAGACCGCATTAAGAACCGCCACGGGAGAGATCATGAAAGCTCGCGGACCGGCAATGGTACGATACCCTAAGCATATAGTACAAGTATCACTACTAACCATAGCCCAGGGCACCGCCGTGGTCATGCAAGGGCGATATATCGAACATCAAGCGCTGAAGGCACTCGGAGGCCGAGAGCGAATCAGCATGGTCACCTGCTTCCGACCAAAGTCTCCCTTCATGAAAGACGAAACCGTCCTCACTGGTGTCCGCGGAATCAGCGACCTATCCGAACTCTACACCCAATACACCATTTACCGACTTGAAATCCTGGAAGAACGGCTTCGCGCTCGATTGAAAACCGAACGGCAGCGTGAACTGGCGAAGCGCCCGTACGACATTGGGGAAGCAAGAAGCTTCCTGACCGAGCAAAAACAATTCCTGGAATCTATGCTTGCCGAGATTATCGAGGTGTGAGCATCAGGATAAGCCACATGAGCATTCACTACTCGTGATGCTCTTTCGTCTGCCATTTCAGTTACATGATGTTACTGTCTTGATGAAATACGAAGCAATTCATTTTCCTACCTAGGAGATCCTAATACCATTCACTACCATAATCCAGAGCCCTTTCTTAGTAGAACAAACTCAACGACAGTCAAACCCATCGTCAATGCCTCTAACTCCTTCTTTCAAGATGATAAACGCGAATCGAATCACAACTACTATCGCCCTGTAAATCTATCAACCCACAAGATTCAACGATACACCAGAACTCTAATCCCACAAAAATCACTCAAAACGACCCTCCTTATCCCCCTCTCATGAAATACTTAACACAGTTCCACGACGTACTACAAAAAAAAATTCAGACTCACGACAAGCAGAAATCCACCCCTCTTCCATCCTGAACCAACCCCTGAAGACATAATTCGAGATGGAATATCCTATCGTCGGAGGGATATATCATCCCAGGTCCGCGTATCAAGAACTTGATGATACTCTGAAAAGAGTATCTAGTCTAGTCTAGAACCGAGACCCGGGATGTTATCTCGGATGACAGGGATCGGGATCCTTCGAAACTATGTACCTAGCGGATGGATCCGAACCGTTCCCGAGCCGGGAGGACGAAACTGCATGCGGGGGGAAAACATTATCTACTTCCCCTCGGGGGCGGAATGGGGGGTGCTGTTTTTTTTTTTCTCAATTCAAATGCGGGGTTGATGGTGAGGGGAAATACTGGTGGTGGGCTTAGGGATTAGTTTGGATGAATGGGGTTCAAGGTGGGTGTAATTTACGGGGTCTGGAGATTTTTTTTAATGAATTGAAGTTGGGGTCTGCGATGAAGCCTATGTACTAAGTAGATTGTGTATACTTGCGAAGCAGTATTCTGTTCGTCTCGGTCTTGATCATCTTCAGAATGCTGTGGTTTAAGCGACATCAAACTCGATAGTACCCCAGCCATCGAACGTGCAGGACCAATGTCCCGCCTTATCCATCGGGATCGCCTGCAGGCAGCTGCCAGGGAGAATGACCTGTCCGGGAGAAAGCCCGACATCATAGGCAGCTAGACGGTTGACCAGCCAGGCGACAGCAGAGAGGGGGTTTCCAAGGACGTTTCCGGTGTTGCCTGACATGACTTCGCGGCCGTTGAAATGCAGAGTTCCCCGGGTGTCACGTAGATTCAATTCGGTGAGACGGCGAGGAGTGCCACCGAGAATCACCGACCCTGTGGATCCGTTATCTGCCAAGGTGTCTGGGAGGTCGATCGCCCAGTTCTGTACACGGGAGTCAATGATTTCGATTGCGGGGATCGCGTAGTCGATCGCGTTGATGACATCGGCGACAGTGACGTTGGGCCCACGAAGGGGGCCACGGAGGACGAAGGCTGGTTCTAGCTCGACGTAGGGTTTGATGTATTGGTTCAGTGCAAGCGTCGTTCCCTCGTAGATGAAAGTGCTGGCGAGTAGAAAGCCGTAGTCCGGCTGGTCTAGTCCAAAGGCGTCCTGCATGACTTTGGCGATGTTGCCGAGTTTATAGCCAACCAATCGGTCTCCGTGGGTTACTGCATGTTCGACATTGATTTGCTGTACGAGAAAGGCGTAGTCGGCATCAAGAGCTGGCCAGGTCTTGGTCGGCGCTGCGATAGGCGTCAGACCCTCGCGCGCCGTGCGCAAGGCAACGGCAATATCTTGTAATTCCTCAGTCTTCATGTTCCTTTCGCAATTTCCCGTATTCTTAGATATGTGCGATGGTGCTGAGAGTGAAAGAAGGATGCGATCTAGAAGTATGATACCTCAAGCACTTGGGAATTGTTGAGGGAGCCCACAAAGATTTGCTAGATCATAGAAATGCAGGCGTACTGAAGCATAGCTATTGTTAAAGAAACCAGGAGTCCGCTTTATAAGTGAATAGCGCATGGTGTATACCAATGCACACATGTTAGGATTAGCGGTAGAATACTGAGCAGCTTCGGCTCCACGACTGGCTGTGGAAAAATATCCGAGAGCAAAGTTCCTCGATAACTCATGGAATAGCTTCAAGATCCCGATGGCAACCAGATAGAGAGCAGAAGCCCCAAAGCTCCATCCGAGCCTATCGCTGCTCCGAGCCGATAGATAGACGTTGCAAGAATCGGGTTACGTATCCGCGTTCCGGTCTGATAGACTCAAGCGATCCAATGCGGGGCAATGGATCACAGCAGGAACATCATGTGCCACCCGAGAATGACCCTTGCAGTTTGTACAACCAAAGAGACCTTTCTATGCAGGTCCGAGTTCGGAGGTAGATCGCAAGCTTCGAAACGCAAGGCGCAGGGCACTGGCAGTCCGATGCGTCTATTGTATTTCAGTGGGAGGTTGGGAGGTCGTGTGATTGTCATCAGAATGGCCCTCCTTTTAAAAGCCAAGATGGCCTGTGCAGTAGTCGTGGCCCAGTCAGTGGGCACGAGCGATGTAACGAGTGCTGCTACCGGCTATGGACGGCCTTGACAGTCACATAAGTCGGCACTTGATGATCTCGATGGAGTGTTCATGCTGTTGCCACCGGAAGAAAGGGGTCTCAATCGACATAATTCCAATGAACTGGTAGCCCGCCTCAAGATGGAACAAGCCATTTTTGCAACACGTAACGCTGGCCTGAACAGTAGACATCGACGATCCCAGTGGAATAGCGGCTATCTCTACAGGTCTTTCGCCTCCCAGACCAAATGGCAGAGATAGCATATCTATCCCGGGTTCTCGGCTTAAAGGTTTCGCATCCAACTTCCTCATGTGGGGATCCAGGCCTCTCTCGTGCGGGGAAAGCCTTAATCAAGGAATGGCCCGAGGGACCCTCCAAATGGACCTGCTTGGGAAAAGTTTCCAAGCTAACGGGACCATAAGTAGCCTTATATCGCCCATTGGAGGCGCGCTTCAAAAGCCAGAGAGAAGACAGATAAGAGACAGCATTTCAATACGAACGCATCACCGACGCATACATGCGACCATTGTACTTCGAACAGAAAACTTTCGTACCGACATGGCACTCAGGGACCAGCAACAGATAGAGCCAGATGCAACCAAAAAAGTAGACTCAATCCTGGGGCCTCAGAGCGACATCCCAAGCGACTACACTTCGGGTGAAATCGTCCAGAGGCCTGATGCTCTGCAGCGTCATCTTACTTCGCGCCAAATACAATTCATTGCCATCGGAGGCTCCATCGGAACGGCCCTGTTTGTAAGTATCGGCTACGCCCTTATGCATGGAGCAGCAAGCCTTCTCGTGGCATTCATCCTCCAAGCATGTATTATGGCCCAGGTGAATAGTGCGCTGGCCGAAATGACCATCTTCATGCCGGTCAGCGCCGCCTTTATTCAACACGCCAGTGTCTGGGTTGACAGTGCCTGGGGCTTCATGATTGGCTGGAATTTCTGCGTGTTTGAGGGCCTTCTCATCCCGTTCGAGATTACAGCCCTGGACATGATTCTGTCCTTCTGGCGCGATGATATCCCGGCGGCTGCCGTCATTTCCGCTTGCATCGTTCTTTATGCGTATGCATTTTCCAATCCCAGAGCCAGTTGCTTGTAAAGCAGTGGAAGCTAAACTAGACCCGCTAGGATTACGAACGTGTTCGGGGTCAGATACTTTGGGGAGGCCGAATTCTGGCTGGCGGGAGGGAAACTTCTGCTCATCACGATACTGTTCTTGTTCACCTTTATCACCATGGTAGGAGGCAACCCGCGGCATGATGCATATGGCTTTCGGAATTGGTCGATACCGGTATGAAATTCAACTTTCGAAACCCTCTGTCACTGGGACCCTGAACTGATCGTGGACACTTCTAGAGCCCATTTGTGGAATACATATCCACTGGAGACTTGGGTCGTTTCCAGGGTGTCCTGGCAGCGTTGTGGCAGGCCGCCTTCACCATCGTGGGCCCCGAGTATTTGGCTTGCGTGGCTGGAGAAGCACAACAACCCCGGAAGACGCTGAAAACTGCCTTTAAGTCCGTCTACTGGCGGTTTGGTGTTTTCTTCATCGGGGGAGCCCTCTGTGTTGGTATCGTTCTTCCTGCTAACGACCCGACCTTGCTGAGAGTGCTGGGTGCCGGGGACACGGGCACCGGCGCGTCATCACCTTATGTGATTGCTATGACCAATATGGGAATCGAGGTGTTACCGGACCTCGTCAACGCCCTCCTCTTTACCAGTATCTACTCGGCCGGAAATGCATACGTCTATACCACGTCTCGGAGTTTGCATGGTCTGGCCCAGAACGGCCATGCCCCCAAACTTTTCCGCAAATGCACCAAAGATGGAGTTCCGATATACTGCCTCGCAGTGGCGATGGCGTTTGCCTGTTTGTCTTTCTTGAAGTTGGGCAGTGGTTCGGTACAAGTGTTGACCTGGTAGGTCTTGCCCATACATGACCGCCCCATTGCTAAGCCCTGTAGGCTCACAAACTTGATCACCGGCGGGACACTCGTGACGTACATCGTCGTGTGCGTCAATTATCTCTTTTTCTACCGAGCACTAAAAGCGCAGGGCTTTAGCCGCACGGAGTTGCCGTATCGTGGGTATTTCCAGCCTTATGGAACCTGGATTGCCCTCGTTTGGCTCTTGGGGGTGGAGATCTTTTACGGGTATGCGATCTTCTTGAACGGACGGTGGGATATCGGGTTATTCTTCAGCGATTACACAATGGCGTTTCTTGCCATCGCTACCTTTGCAGGGTGGAAGATCTGCAAGCGAACCCGGTTCGTCCGTCCGCAGGAGGCAGATCTGGTGTGGGCTCGGCCGGCGATTGATGCTCACGAGGCCGTCATGGAGGAGATGGAACAGATGGGGATTCGCGAACGACTGATGCAAACCTTGCGGACCAAGTGGAGTGGTGGTCATTCCACAAGCACCGAGGTGGTCTAAGATGGTCAATGAGTGTACAAACCAGACCTATATTGTGCAGAGTGATGCAAGGCACGTACCATATTGTCCAAAAGCACACCAAGAGGATCGTGTAGAGAAGAGAGATGTAGAGAAAGATGCTGGGCTCCGATCGCATGTCACTGCGTTAGTCCGACCTAGGCAGGCGGTCCTCGGCCGGGATAAACCATTTCTGGAGCTTCTCCACTTCTCCAATTCCTGAAATAACAATGCTGCTTGATTTCCTTGGAGCACAACGCTGGACCTGTTGGAGTCATTATGCCTTGATACTGCAGGCGTATGTCCCTCTGTAGTAGAGTCAACTATCATGTCATGTCCCGACTCGCGAGGGCTGTTTGATTCCTGATCTGTCATATCTGGCCAACTATCCCATTCCCCGCACACCCTCTCATACTTCCTTGTCCCCGTAGGCCTGCCTTCACGTAGGATACGCCAGAACCGGCGACAGGACTTGACTCGCCAATCTGAGAAAAGCAATCATGCAAACCTGGAGCAAATCAAGAGCCTCTGCGGGGATCGATCAGGCCGAACCGGTCTCGTGATTATCGTCGGCTCTTCCCCTCATTTCTCGTGTCTTATCTGCGTTCCTTATCCAGCGCTCAGCGATTTGTGGATGTCCTTATCTACAGCCTTTTTGGTTTCGCATTTGCCTGTCAAATTGACTGCCATCGGGTGTCTCTGGTGAAATTCCTAAGATGCAAACTGAACCTCGCAGGTTGAAACGAACGGCTAACGCGTAAGGGATCCAGCAGAGCCCGTTCGTATCCCGACTCGAGTTCTGATCCGTCTATCTAGGTGTGTTGCCTGTCGTCAGAGCAAGATCAAATGCTCCGGAAACGAGCCGTGCGTCAATTGCCAAAGACGCACCCTGCCTTGTCGATTTGTCGAAGAAAGCCGTAAGGTGTTGATATCGGAACGGTACTCTAGACCCGACCCCTGTGAATCGTACGATGCTCATGATACACAATAGGTGTCTCCGCAATCTGCAGACCCAGGCTAGAGAACAGGCCGGAGAAACAGGGAAACGAGCTCATGAGGTTGCATTTGGGGAAGCCGAAAGTAAGTATATATGACAGATGCCATCGCCGTTATATTCTCCTCAGAGTCTCACCTGCTAGATGTTGTCAATAGGCCGCGGTCACCGGGTGCCAATTGGCCGAGTCCGTTTACCCTACCCTCCATGACGATGAGAAACACTCACGACAACCGATCCCAATGGGGTAAGATCAGACAGTCCTTCTTCTCAAGTGCCTTGCTTCGTTCGCTCGTTAATCTAACTTACGTAGTCTGGTTGGCTCCAACATCCACCTGGTCCTTCACCGCTCGCCTCACCCTGATGATGACCCAAAGGCTCCACCCAGACGTCACCTACGATATTCCATATTTCTTGGATGGCGATATCTATCCTTTGCAGTGGAAGACGTCTTCCGATACTGCTCCCGACATTACGGGTCTTCCCTCTATGGACTACGCTCTGTATCTCTTCAATACAGTCAAGTTTCACCTGGGCCAGACTTTTCGGCTCCTGGATGAAGAAGCATTTACCTCGCACATGCAGGAGTTCTACTACGGCGATGCCGCAAAGAAGGCAGCTGACAGTGCGTTATGGTTTGTTCAGTTCCTCCTAGTGCTGTCTTTTGGGAAAGCATTCCTCGAACAATCCAGGAAGAAGGATCCGCCAGGTGCGGAATACTTCATTCGTGCCATGTCATTGATGCCGGACTACAGCTCTATCTGGGGTGATACCCTTTTGGCAATCGAAATTCTGGCCCTGGCTGCTTTATATCTTTATTCAATTGACCGACGAGAGTCAGGGCATCTCTACGTAGGCATAATAAGTACCCCGCAAGAATGCTCCCAAGAAGGTCTAACAAGGTATAGGCTAGCCAGGCCATTCGCATTGCACAGTTGGAGGGCTTACACACGGAGCTTCCAGAGGAAGAGCTCGGGCCAACAACAGTTGATCGCTGCCGCAACCTTTGGTGGACTCTGTATATTATGGATCGACAGTTTTCTTCGTCGCTAGGCATCCCGATGATTGTTCATGATAGCGATATCACGGCATTGATTGACTCACCAACACAGTCATGTCAGAGAAACGCAACACTAAGTTTAAGAGTGAAATTGTCGCGGTTGTTGTCCACCATCCTGGGCAGTAAGTTGATCACCTTCCTTCCAAGCCCATATCGCTCACGGACGAGTAGCCGTATACAAGACTGAAAGACGGCCAATCGAATCATTCATTGAAAAGACGAAATCCATTCTGAACACTATGGCAGATCTGGCCCGGGAACTGGAGGAGTTCATCAATACCAAGTTCTCGAGTCCGGTCAATTCCATGTCCAAAGGGATGCGTCATATCTTCTTACTATACCACCAAGTACGTCGACACCCGGAGAGCGAAGCTCCAAACTCACCCGATTTACCAGTGCGTTATCCTTGCCACACGACCTTTGCTTCTGGCGGTTCTCCGGGAGCGTCTGGACACACTCGGTCTGCCTTCAGAATGCTGTCGACGAATCGTGCCTCTCATGGAGACATTGATTATAACGGGGATAAATTCTGCGACCAAAAGCCTGCAGTTGCTTAAAGCCTTGGTTGACGAGGGCCTCCTAGGTAAGTAGTATTTTGCAAATAGGGCAGACATTCATTAAAGGAAACCAGAGACCTTTCTCCCATTCGACATTGAATTCACCTATGGAGCCGCTATTCACCTCACAATGGCCACTGCCCTGGTCCCAGACTTAGCGGGGCAGCGCGACTCCAGCCAACAGGCGCATCTGATCCTCGACGAGGTTATCAGCAAAGGGAACCGTGTGGCTGAAGTTCGCAAGACCGAGCTCGCTCGTTTAGAGACCCTGTTCGAGGGCCTAAGACAGCGGTATACAAACGCGGATAATCCGAACACTTTAGCAGAGCCAGATGATAGTGTGCATGAACAGAATCAGGCAGCAAGCACCATGTCTGGTAATCATAGGCAGGGCGAGAGCTCTCAGTTTCCGCTTCTGTCCGAGAATGTCAACGTCCCGGACGACCAGGATGAGCTGCCTGAGATAGGCTTGTCTTCTTATGATATCGCCGCCATTGTGGATCAAATAGATTACAATGCTAGCCCGTCGTTCTGGCTCGCTCAGGAGGATTTTGAATGATACCTTAGACATGGCCTATGTAGCTATGAGCGTGACCGTCAACTTGCCATTGAGTACAGGATGGTTCGCTGGCGAGATCTCATAGCTAGGCCAGCACACACATGGCCTTAATGCTAGTTATACAGCTCCATAAACGCGACTTTACAGTGACCGTTTCTAAGCATAGGCATCCCGTGCCGTAGATATAGGAGCCGACACCCGCCACGGGATGCTGGCCCGCCAGTCGTCATATGCCCGGAAGTGAATCACGGGAATCAACTTGGCATACATCCTCTTCAATTCAATTTTCATCGCATACGATCACGCATCCTCTCCGGATAGGAAACCCGATCTCCGAACAGAAGCCGACCCGAACCGAGAGCAGACATGCACAAGACAAGCATATAACTCCCTTTCAAACACACACTTCATCGTTTAATTCCAACACAGATAGTCAACACAAACAGCTATACCAAACCAAGTGACCAATTCCAAAATGACCCGTCTACCCCTCCCCATCCCATCTCCCATCCCACCTTCCTACGAACCCAAATCCTCCCTCCGCACCATCCCCGCTACCAACCCCATCGAATACATCCTCTCCATCCTCTCGCGCGACGGCGGCGTCATCCTCTCCGACTTCATCCCCAAAGAAGAACTCACCGCCATCGCTACCGAACTCACCCCCTGGAGCAGCACCAAGCGTCGTTCCACCACCACCAATGGCCCCAGCGACGCCTTCTCCACCATCCCCTCCCAAACGACTCTCATCCCCGGCCTAGTCGGCAAATCCCCCACCATGGCACGGATCTGCTCCAAGAACCCCACCCTCGAAGCGCTCCGCACGCGTATCCTCGTGGACGAATTCACCATCAACCGCGAAGACAGCGTCGAACCGAACCGCATCGATCCCTTGCTCAGTCTCAGCGTGTCCATGAATATTGGGTACGGAGCGCCGCGTCAACTTCTCCACCGAGACGACAATGTACATCATATTCGTCACGGCTGGAAGAGTGAGTGGAGCTTCGATGAGGTGGGTCAGTTTGGGTGTCTGATTGCTGGATGTGATGTGAGTAGGGAGATGGGGGCTACGATGTTTGTGAAGGGGAGTCATCGGTGGGGGGATGATAAGTGGGCGGAGGTGGATGAGAAGAGGGAGGTGTGTTTTGCGGGTATGTGGTTCCTTTATATTCCTTGACTGTTGGTGTTGTTGTTGTGATCGTGTTTGTTCCTATGCTGATATTGTGATGACGTGAAGAAATGAAGGCCGGCTCGGCATTGATCTTCCTTGCATCGGCGTTTCATGGAGGTGGACATAATTCGCTTCCGGACACGGTGAGGACAATGTACGGATTGTTCTTTGTGAGGGGCCATCTCCGGACAGAGGAGAATCAGTTCTTGGCTATTCCGAGGAGCGTCGTGACCGGGATGAGTCCGAAGATGGTGGAGTTGCTGGGCTATAAGAAGCCGACGACGGCGTTGGGGATCGTGGATAATATGAGCCCTCATGAAGACGTGGCGGGGGTTTGGGAGAGAGCGGTACAGTGAGATTTCTCTGGCGAGTGGCTTGATTGTACTTGTGATATGGAGATATGCTGCTTTCGGTGTTATCTCCTTGTTGATGATTGTGCCCTTGGTAGTCATCTATATGGCTTGATCTTTGATCGCAGTTAGGCACATCAGTTTACACTAGTAACTTACAGGGAGCTTTCCTCCAGACTCTTTTTTTCCTTGAGTTCGACAGTAAGAAATTTGAGGGCAAAAAAAATTACCGACAACTAGCTAAACCGTGGATTACTCCGGCTGTAATTAGAACCTTCCGTAGCCAGGAACAGGAGTGAGCGTCTGGCTTACGTCCCCCGTCCGATTTCTCATTCTTTTGGTCTTTTGGGGGGGGGGAGTTGTATTCTCTAGGAATACATGGTTCTTTCTAAATAAAGGTGCTATGGGAGATATGGGGTGATGGTATCCACAACCTGTAGGGGTCAAGCTCTGGAGCTGAAATTGGGTATGATCTCTCAACATAGTGCTTCACTTGAAGAACGTGATTCGTTGTGACTTTGGGAACCATAATTTCTTGATTCAGCAAGACGGAAGCTTGATCCTGGCAGATTTTGGCGGCTGCTGTGGTATCATGTAATTGAATAAGCCTCTCCAAATGGCCCTTTTCTCCCCCTTCCACTTACTTGGTGCCAATGGTCTTTCATCATCATGCCCAGGTACCAAGCCCAACTTTTTCATGTGTTTCCGGGGTAGAAATGGCACATGAGAGCAGTATCAAGAACTATCAGTATTGGTGTCTGTGCAATTTATCAGGAGAATATCAAGTTATCAACGGCTGTATGTTCATTGCCCTCCAGTGACAATGACCAGCGGAGCTGGCAGGATCTTGAGTGTATTTGATGGCTATCTTATACCCTAATTCCATCCACCTTCGGATAGCGGTGTCTCTGTTTCCGATGTTATCCAACCATCACAAAGACGTGTGTACCGGATCAATCCCTCCAGTGACCACCGTCTTGATGTTCATATAGTCCTCAATACCATACTTGCTGCCCTCCCGGCCCATGCCCGAGTACTTGACTCCTCCAAACCTGCACCGAGTCAGCCAGCATTCTCGATCAAGGTATTGCAAACTCACGGTGCGGCAGCATCTGAAATCACCCCCGTGTTGATTGCCACCATGCCTGCCTCCAGTCTCTCCGACACCCGGTGCGAGCGAGCCAAATCCGTAGTCATGATATAGGACGCCAACCCGACCTCACAGTTGTTGGCTCTCCGGACGACCTCATCCTCCGTCGAGAACTTGCTCAACGCCGCAACCGGTCCAAAGATCTCCTCCGCCGTCACTCTCATCGTATCATCAACATCACCCAGAATCGTCAGCTCATAGAAGTTCCTCCCCATCGAAGGCATCCGCTTCCCACCCAGAAGCACCGTCGCCCCCTTCCCAACCGCATCTCCAACCAGCTCCTCCACCTTACCCACCCCATTCGTCAACGGCCCATGCGTGACCGACGCATCCTCCAGCCCATCACCCACACGAAACTTCTTCACCTCCTCCACCAACCGTTCACAGAACCGATCATAGATCCCCTCCTGCACAAACATCCGATTCGCACACACACACGTCTGCCCACTAACCTTAAACTTACTCACCAACGCACTCGCCACCGCAACCTCCACCTCCGCATCATCAAACACAATAAACGGCGCATTCCCCCCCAACTCCAAACTCAACTTCTTCAACGTCTCACTCCCCTGCCTCATCAACAACCTCCCCACCCTCGTCGACCCCGTAAACGAGATCTTCCGCACCCTCTCATCCTCACACAACCCCCGTCCCAACACCGCCGTATTCTCCAACGCCGTCACCACATTCACCACCCCGGCCGGCACCCCCGCCCGCTCCATCATCACCACCAACCCATTCGTCGCAAACGGCGTCCCCCCATCCGTCTTCACCACCACCGTACACCCCGCCGCCAACGCCGCCGCCATCTTCCGCGCCCCCATCGCCATCGGGAAATTCCACGGCGTAATCATCCCACACACCCCCACCGGCTCCTTCACCACCCGCACCCGACTCCCCGCCGCACTATGCGGGATCACATCCCCATATACCCGCGCCGCTTCCTCCCCGAACCACTCGAAGAAACTCGCCGCGAAGAGAACTTCCCCTTCGGCATCACCCTTCGCTTTGCCGTTCTCGGCCGTGATGATCTTCCCCAGATCTTCCTTGTTCGCAATGAGCAGATCGTAGACTCGTCGGAGGATCCGGCCCCGTTGTCGACCAGATAGGGACCGCCAGGCAGGGAATGCATCACTCGCAGCTTGGATCGCGAGATTGAGATCCTCCGGCGTGGATTCCGGGCACGTGCCGATGGGGTTCTCGGTTGCGGGATTGACAACGCGGAATACGTTCGTCGATGTAGATGGCACCCATTGGCCGTTGATATAGGCCCTTTCGACGAATAAACTGGGATCGGTCAATTGCGTTGCGAAGGATGTCATGGTGAAGTAGACAGTAATCAAACAGTCGATCTGTACCTAATCTAACCAATAGAGAAGATAATTTATACCATTGACCGAGTGGTTCTACAACGCCTATTTAAATAAAATGAATTGCACCACAATGATATCCAATGATTGATTCTCTTACGGAGTCCTCCTCTCTCATTACGATAATCCAAGCATGGTGTACACCTCCATGCTATACTATCGGCTACCCCATCCCGCAAAGCCGAGCAGGGATCGGACCCGTCATCCGATCATCTAATCTGACACCTCCCACAAGGGGTCGGGTCGGATCTAGGATCCCGAGGGGCCTCGGATGGACTTTATGCTGCGGGGCGGGATACGATCCATACTTTGTACATAGTATGGGTTTCATCATTCAAGGTGGGGTAGTTACATACGATGTATGTACTTCGTATGTTGTTGCGGGTCTATGTAGTTCCTTACGGAGTAGTGGGGTTGGTTCTTGTGTTATGTTATGTTTTGGTTGTTTTGGTTGCTAGGTACTGTTTGGGGTTGAGGGGGGAAGTTAGGCGCTTGAGAAGAGGTGATCTGGTTATTGGATATTTTCTGGTCCTGGGTGATAGGAGAGCCAGTGTCGCTGGCAGTTGGGACATGTTTCTTGTCCCGTCTGTCCATAACCCCCACAGAATCAGTCTTCATCCATCACCAATTAAACAAGTAACAAATAATGTATTGCACAGTAGTGGGCCTTGCCCGGGAATCAATAATGTATGTCCAGCAATGTAAAAAAGGATGATCCGAATCCAGGAACCGCCCACCAAACGCCGGCCAATGCACAAACGCGAAAACCCACGTAATCCGTATAATATGAAAAACACATTAACATCGATCCGGTCGACCGATTATACCATGAAGGATTCGCCGCATCCGCATTGTTCCTCTGTAAAAGGTACCCCGTTAGTAACCGTTTCCCGGGACACGGACGAAAGGATGGGATGCTTACTAATATTGGGGTTGCGGAAGACGAATCTCCTGCTCAGCTTGTCTTCCTGCCAGTCCATCTCGCTGCCGATGATGCTGAACAGAGCCTTGCTGTCGATCAGGACCTTGACGCCGTCCTGTTCCACCACCTCGTCGAAGGTGCCCGGCTTTTCCACGTACTCCAGGTGGTAGGCGAGCCCGGAGCAGCCACGGTTCTTCACACCGACTCGGATCAGCTTGGGGTCGGGCTGCGATAGGAGCTTGCGAAGCTGCTCGATCGCCACGGGTGTCACCTTCATGGCAGCCTTTCTGGCACGCAGCTTCCGACGGGGCTTCTCGGTGGGTTTGGCGGTGGTGGTGGATGGGGCGGTGGAGGTGGTCTCAACAGGCTTGGACTTTTGGGCTTCCCTTTCTCTGAGAGTCAGGTTGGAAAGGCCCTCCTGGCCAGGCAACTGAGGTTGGGACATCTCGCGGAAGGAGGGGAAGTCTGCGGCGATGGAGTCGGTGCCGGTGCTCCGGGGCGGCGGGAAGGAGGTGGGCAGCGAGTGTGGACGATAGGCCGTGGCAGTCTGCATGTCACGCTTCGAGGACCGATGAGCATTTCCGTATGAGGAGAACAGGCGACAGGTCTGCGCGGAACGTCTGGTGGACGACTGTCTGAGCCAGCCGAGAATCGTGGCGGATGATGTCACCGGAGACGGCATGGTAGCTTTGCAAAGCGACATATTGGTGTGATGTGAGGTAGATGATGATAGCGATGCTCTATGCAGTAGTAGAGGCAGTGAGAAGGTGAAGTCTCATGCAATCTAAGCGTCGTGTGGTCGCTGAATGAGAAGAAACGATGTGAGGATGAAGATTGCTGGGAGGTCGGAAGTTGAGTCTGTTTGGGATGGAAGACTGCCGGCGGTCGGTTAAAAGGTGCCAGGGCCACCCCGGGGCCGACCAATCAGCATGCAGGTGTTTCTACACAGGCAGAGTGGCGCCACTGCTGGCACCTGAGCGAACGCCTGATCGAGCCCCAAATGTTGGGGAACTGCCCGTAGCAATCTAACTGGCCCCAGTGGCCCAGTGATCATGCAGAAATCCCGTTCCCTGCCCTTGTCATGAAACCGAGTTCATCATCGATTGTTTCTCCGCCTTCGTGATTGGATGGACACTCTGCACCGTCTTACTAACACGGCTGCCTGAGTAACTACCTCAGGCGCAAACCATGACTAATGGGGTTCTCCTATGTTCGATGGATTCTTGATTAACAATGAAACGTCTACGAGGGGACAAAGGAGGACCCGGTGAGCTTCAGGGGCATGTGCCACCGGTTGGGCTCGGGATCATCAGTTCCTTTGTCTAGATGTTACCATGCGGACCTGGAAATTGGGTAGCACACTGCCTTCTAGTATGGAAACAGTGCCCTCCCCTATGTAAATATTTACAAGGGTCAAGATGCCACATGGCATGACTTCAGCTGCCCCTGATTATGTCATCTAATCCAACACTGTGGTAGATGTTGTAATTCCTGGACACCAGCACGACACTTTCTGCATCAAAAGCACGTTAGATCACAACAGTCTGGACCTCTTGCTTCACGCAATCCCAAGCGACCGTGGCGCTGGGCTGTGGCTGGGTCAGCCGGGGTCGGGGTGGTGGGTGGCCTTAGGCTAAGGGTGGCTGGAGTGGGCTGGCCCGAATAGGCCGAAAAAGAGTGGTCGAATAAGACGGCGACAGCTGGGACCCAAAGAGAGACTCCCTCAGCTTGTCCCTCTCTTCGGCTCCCTATCGCATCCCAGGCTGGCTCTTTGACTTCCCTTCTGCGATGCTGGCAGACGTCCCATGTTCTATGCTGACCGCCTATCATTCGATCGAACGCAATGGAATCCCCCTTAACCCAACAAAGTAGACCCGAAACCTTCAAGCCTAAGATCGTGCAACTATACGAGAACCTATTCCAAGTGCGTGTCTCAGTCCCGCTCCATGGGTACCCCCCAGCTGACATCCCCTCATAGACTACCGACTATGCAGAGCCATCTGAGGGGTTCTGGAGGGAATTCTTCTTGCTGCCCCCTGATCGCACCCGGCTTACTGCAGTACTAGAGCAGCTCAGTCCGGATGAGACCCTCAACTTACAGGTCGAGCTGCCATTTCCTTATCGCATGATTAGAGGATGAATCTCACTAACTGCTTATCAGACCCAATTCCAGCAGCTTTTTGCTCGTGCAATCCGCGAAGCTGCCTCTGCATCCAGTCCTGCGGATGCTTATGCACTGGAGGTACGTGCACTGACCCTATGATCTTTACTCAATCTCTAAAAGTGACTAGACCTTGACGGTCTTCTTAGTATGTGTCTTGAAGAAAAAGTACACCAATCCCAGCTCAGATGTCATCACTGTTCTTGCCGGTCTTGACGAAGTGGATCATGCTATCTCCAACTTTGTCGCCGTCCTCGATGGCATCATCCGGAATGGCAGTAATTGTAAGTGCCCTTATTCGTACTGACAACTGATTCGCATGTATTGACAGCCCCAGATGATCTCCGTCTCAAGGCCATCAGAACCGGCATCGCAATGACGGCTGGAGCATACAAGACGAGCTTGGTCTCCTATTTCACACATCGGGACCTGTTTCCTTCCCTCATGAAGGTATGTTTCCAGCTAAACATCGCATACGCAAGCTAACCTCGTAAAAGTTCATCCAAGAAACCGACAGCCCGATGCAAGTGTTCGAGCCGTTCGTTCTTCTAGGTTTGCTGGCAAACTACAACAAGTTCGAATTTCAGAATCCTTACCAGCTGCGGCTCGATGATTTCGTCAACGAGTCTAGCATCCAAAAGATCGCCAAGGGCGTCGGTCTCTCCTGTGGCGCTCTGAGGAACGGCTACGTTGCAGTGCAAGATGACTCCCCAGAGGGATGGACCCTGATGGGTACTCTGATGTATTTCGGACTGGGTGTGCTTGCCCCGGGGAAGAAAGAAAAAGCCACCGCACCCACTGCGGAAGAGGCCAAAGATCTATTTGCTGCGCTGTACGCACTCCTTATCCCATAACCATCACATCCCACTAACAACACCAGACCGGCCCAGCAAGCAGCTATCCTCCTCGCCACCTACGACTTCATCAACGCCAACAAGCTCTTCGGCTACCATCTCATCAGCGCCACCCCCGAAAAAGACAACGAGGAGACCCCATTCGCCTCCTTCCTCTCCCTCACCTCTTACCTCCTCCAGCACGCCTACCGCTCCCCCCGAGTCGCCCACTACGCCGAGCTGAATCTCCTCACCCTGCGCATCCTCTCCGAAGACAGCACACTATGCAAGCAACTCTGCAGCGAAGAAAGCAAGCGCAAAGTGCGCCTCTGCCGCCAGCGCCAGCCCTACCTCCCCCTCGTCCCCGGCGACCGGGTCCTCGCAACAGTCATCTTCGACATCCTCATCGACACCCTAACCCATAACCTCCGCCGCCGTCTCGACGTCAGCCTCTACAGCCACTGCATCGCCGTCCTCCTCCGCCTCCTCACCTACCTCTCCATGAACAAAATCCGCCTCCCCTACCACTGGTCCGAACTCTGGCGCACTCTCCTCTCCCTCATGCGCTTCCTCACCACCTACGCCCCGGACCTAACCACCAACCCACACATCACCACCCTCACCACCACCCTCATCAACCTCATCGCCTTCTGCGTCTCCTCGGGAGACACTTTCCTCCCTGACCCCCTCTCCTACGACGATCTCTTCTACAAGCTCGTCGAAACTGGCCCCATCATCACCCGCTTCCGCGACGTCTACAACTTCAAGACCTCTCCCTCCGCAGACCCCTCCAGCAAGGACGTCCACGTCGCCGCCATCGATACCCTCATCTCCGTCTCCACCCACTTCTACACCCTGCTTTTCGTCCCGGATCAGAACCCCGATGCGGGCGGCGAGGCCGCGCCCGTGCCAGCGAATCTGAAGAAGCATTTGAGTCCGCGCGAGGTTCATCGCATTATTAAGCAGGGGTATGAGACACTTAGTATTCAGCCGCCGGAGGGGTTGAGTGCGTGGACGAGGTATCGTGAGGCGGACTGGAAGATGGAGTTGAAGCGCGCGGCGAGGTGTACGGTTGATGATGCGAGGGGGTTGGTTGTGTGAGTGTGAGGGTTGAGTTGGGGTTGTTTGTTGGTTTTGTTGTGTTGTGCTTTGTGGTTTGTTTGTGTTGTTTGGTACAGTGAGGTAGATAGGTGAAATAGTCTTTTTTTTCTGCTAGTTTGTGTTCAATTTATACCTCGGGGGGTGGATAAGTATGGCTATATTTCATTCTTTGTATCCGTTGCTTGGGACATTCTGGGCTGATCATGAGAAAACGGACGGGGAAGATTGGTTTCGCCAGCTGAATCCAATTCTATCCTAATGTTACAGTAAAAGCATTATCGCCATAGCATACATGAGACAGCCTCATTCTCGCTGCTAACCATATATCGCAGCCCAAGCCAGTCAACGCGGAAAAACTGAAGAAAAGAAAAAAGAATGAATGATAAAGATGTGCTTGAAGACGAAAGACAAATTGAAGCATGCAAAGTGAGCTGCGTCATACGTTTCTCAGTGTTCAGACTAAACGCGATGTGGCAGTCCCAGGATTTGGGTTGGGAACGCCGCGCGATTTCTCAATGTATTCGTTGCTCGCGGTCATATATCTCGTGGCAAAATATTTGCTCGAGTTTTTGCTCAGCCACATGGTGAACTTTGAGAGTTCCTCCCGGAGTCTGTTCGTGGACTGCTGGTCCATATTTGTCTGAGCGATGAGCTCGGGCATGGTCGCTGGAAAAGCCTGTTAGTAAAAGGGTGAACTCCAGAGGGGAAAACATACCGAAAAGACGAGTCAGATGCTCCGCGCCATAGATGTCAAGGGATCCTTTGTCGGCATAATCGCCCGATCCTGCCTCCCACTTCTTGCGAAGGGCCCGATACTGCTCGCGTTCGAAGCGGTACAGAAGGACCTTGTCAAGTGCTTTGTCGAAGTACTCGCGTATGCCCATGACTACTTCCTCGAGAACGTCCATGTCAGCCGAGCTGGTGCGCTTTTCCTTCTCCTCTTTGACATAGTCGTCAAGAATTTGATTGACTGGAGACTTGGCAGGCAAGGCCACGACTTGCTGGTTTTTGGTGACGTTTTCCCAGTCATCCACTAGAAGAGACTTCAAATTATCCGGCATTACTATTCTTACTGAGGGCCGCACGTAAAAGCTCTCTTCCTGTAGTGATGCTGTTAGTATGTGGGTTGACTTGTACACCCCTTTTAGGCTCCGTCATCGGCACTGTAACGGGCCACAGGAAAATCCGAGGCAAGAATTGCAGCGGACTTACCTTTTCGATGTCGTTGTCTCGGGCTCTCTTGGTTCCGCGGCCAGGAACTGAAGTTTGCCTTTCCTCGCTGCCCCGGGCGGAGCTGCGGTCGGAGCCTCCCCTCTTCTTGACGGAGGCTTTGGTGCTCTTTTGGCGGAATGCAGCCTCTGCTTCACGACGAAGCGTCGTGGCCAACTCCCGATTCTCCTCCGTAAATTTACGAAGGCGATCTTGGGGCACCCAGTCGTCCCAGCTAAAACGACAAGGAAGATGTCAGTGATTTGAGCTCAGGCAGGACACCTCCGGTTCGGCGTGACGGTGGCATCATTGACCGAAATGAGAGAATGAAAATACAGGGCTTTTGGTCAAGAAAAAAGTAGAATTGAGATCTCACTCCGACCAAGGGACAGAAAAAGTCCCAATAAGAACGAGCAGAATCGTGGTGACACGGGATCAGACGTACGTGTTCTTCCAGCCCTTGTAGTGGACCAGGTACTCATAAGGACTCTTGCGGTCTTCGGGATCCGTGTGCCTCAGGTCAAGAATCTTGGCCTCGTACAGAATCTCATGATGGAAGCAGAGAACTTTCTCGTCCTTCTGGTAAGTCATATGGCTTGTAGGAGCCATTTTGGGATGAAGTGGTACGGAGTCAGATCAAGGGATGTTTGCTGTCAATGAGGGGTAGAGTGCCGTCAAGGCGTGAAATCACTAGCCTCAACCTGCAGCCAGATGAGAGGAAGAAGGTTCGAGCAGTAGCGTCCTGTGGCTCGAGGAGACTGGTATTCAAAGCCCAGTCGAGTCCTTTTCGCTGACAGGCACGTGCAGCAAAGTAGTCAAAGAATTGACAACAGCTGGATAAGACAGCAGATGCGATGGCTCACGCCGAGAAATGATGGACAAATGCAATTTCCACCAGACGGCGTAGAATCCAGCTTATCAGAAGCCTGGCTTTCCCTCAGAAGATAGTCGATTAGATCAAATCAAGGTCAGGATGTCCGATATGGACAGGATACTGGCAGTCTCACCGAGAATTGATTGCTATTTACGACAGCAAGCGCACACAGAATGAACGGGAGATGATTCAAGGGCAGACAGAGGACGAGGGATGCAAAGTGGTGAGGGATTAAAGCATGTCGCGGTGTTGGGGCAAGAAGAGGAAGCGGACCGACTGGATGAAGGAACGCGTCCAAAAGGGCAAGTCACGGACTTTCCTGACGGGTTCTAATTCTAATGGTTTCGCCCGCCGCCGGCTTTCTTCCTCACTTTCTCCCCGTCCACCGCTATCCACTCCGTATTCTACATCATAGAGCATTTCTCACCAGCTGACCACCGTCCTCCGCTTCGGCGAACTTAAGACTGTGACTTTGTTTTCCGTCAAGCCCAACTCCAACTCTGGCCGCCCCGGTCCTGGTAAGCTGATCGGCGCAAGACGCGGTTCATCCCCATTGAGGGTAACACAGCAGCGACAGAAGAATAATACCCCGAGGACGAGAAAAAGGAGATCTTAGAGGCATTCGGCCTTCTCAATTGAGGCTTTAATCAATTCACTACTTTTCTCTCCTGTGGATTTACATTGAACCACCATGGCGCCTACCGAAGCTTCTATTCTGAGCAATTTCCTGCTCTCCCCAGCTCCGCTGCCAACACTCATATCATTGCAGCAATTTACGGAGCTTTTCCCAAAGAGGCTGCGGTCTCACCCGCACATTAGAGCGCTCTACCGCGAGCTGCAAGAGCTACGTGAACATGACATGGATCTAGTCAATGGGAACATCGACAAAGAAGTCCGTCAGGGTGAGAACCAAAAAGCAGAGCTTCGCAAGTCCATCACGAAAACCGGCGTTGATGGACTCTCGTCCACTGACCAGCGAGAGATGGATATGGATGTCCAGTTGTTCGGGCAAACATCCTCGATCTCCGAGTATCATTCGGCATCCAGTCTCCTAGATGCCATGGAGAAGGCCTGTTCAGACATTGAACGCCAAGTTGCTGAGATGGATGAGAAAGCAACCTTGATCTTGTCTAAGCTCAACAACACAGTCGGTGATTTGAGCGACCTGCGCTACGGTAAGCTGCAGGGCCCCGCCGGCACGAGCGGCGAAGACATGGTGAACGAAGCCATCCGAGGTCTGAATAATTTGGAGGATGCCTGCTATCGTAAAAGCTGAGTTCGATAGCTGTCAGGGCATCAATATCTCAAGACTACTTTGGCCCTTATCGAGCTGTCCAATGGTCAGGGGACTGATGACATGGCCAGCTCGCTCATTAGTAACACGCACGGCTTCTGGCCGGAACTGAACTTTAGCTGTGCAGTACGATGCTCGTACAATGTATCAAACTAAAGCGCCTCTTGTTGCATGAGATCATATGCATCCTTGAGAACAGAGTGTTCCTTTGCTTGCCGTGCCACGACCGTTGGATGTCTTGGATGAGCCAGGGAGGTCGAACCTATGTCACAGACGAACATGTGCATCTATGAAGAGTCTGCTGGGCTTTTGGTTTCGAAGAGAAGGCAGAGCGAGGAGGATCCGAGCACGATTGTGGGCCTATTGATAATTAACTTACGATGTTATCATATCGCCATTTTCCTTGATATCAGAGGTCGAGGCCTTGCAGGATAATATCAAATCGAATTATAAAACAACCCATTTGTCTTCGTTGTACTCTGTCTGGAAAGTGTTGGCGCAGCTGGTCGGGCCGGCTCTTGCCAACATCCCAAACGGGAAATGCCGATAAGATACGGCATGATTGGCGTGACGCGCTAATTTCGCTTTTTCGACCTTCATCGCGACGTCCGGCCCCTTCCCTCGCGTTCCTGCTTCATCTCCTTCTCACGCGCCAAAAGCACGGAATTAGACAAGTCTTCCGCTCAGAAGCCGTTATTGAATCGAGATCGCCCCAAATGCCGTCGATTCCGCTCCACCCGCGCGCGTCCAATTCGCCCACACGCGTGAACAACCCTCTTCCCCAGCTTCTGCAAACCCCCTCCGGCCTCGCCCTCCTCGAACTTCAAGGCACAATCAACATCCCCTCGCAAGACAACCAGTCTAGATCATCGCCCGATAGCCCTCGCGATCCTAATGCTGCCGTGTTCGAGACCCCAATCGGCAGACTCATGTTCCCAGACTACTCGCCACAGTTTACGGCACCAGATGACACGAAATGGATGAAGAGAGTCTATTTGTACGTTGGACGATACCAGCGAATGACCGGCGAAGTGAAGAAACTACCACAGCCCCTGGCCCTTGTGCAGCGGAGGCAGAAGGAATCGGGTGCTGCTGACGATGGCGAGGAGTTGGAGATCGTTGAGGTCGTGAAATACAAGATCTTCTTCAAGAGTAGGCCGGAGCCTGTCAATGACATTTGAGGGCAAGATGTTCGCTGTTTGAAGCCGGACAATTGGATACCTCGGCGGTTTTGCGCTACACAAACTGGTTATGGCGCTGGACTAGGGAAACACACCGGTTGAAGTTCGGACCTCAGGCTGTCCGTGCTGGTCCGGTATCGAGGCTACCGTGGCTCTTGTCGGCCGTTCAGCGCTGATTCGAGTCATAGATATGTCAATGGCTGAACTTTATGCCCGGTTCACTGAAGGCGGTGGTGGGAGTTAATCTCGCATACAATTTCGATAAGGAATCGACCATACCATGCTGTTGATACGATAAACCGAGGCGATCGCCCGTTGCTAACAAGGCCAGCGATGTCCTGGTTGGAAACCGGAACTCAACCAGACTGTGTGGTCCTTCTGAAGGCTAGAAGGAATGAGGTTGGCTCCTACGGAGCCTTTGTCTATATATTGAGCGCAATCCGAGAGCTACCCTCTTCGACTACCTTGCAAGCACAATATATCCTACCAATTGTCCGACCATGGTTCTCCTAGAGGAGCAGAAAGAAGACATCTTTCCTTCCAAGTTGGGGCCAGAGTATGTGGGCTTCGATCACATTACTTGGTACGTTGGCAACGCCAAACAGGCGGCCAGCTACTACGTCACTCGCATGGGATTTGAGCAGGTCGCATATCGAGGCCCCGAGACCGGTTCTCAAAACATTGTGTCCTATGTGATCTCCAACAATGCAGGCGCCTTTGTACTCACCTCGCCTGTCCGTTCTCTGTCAAAAGCTGAGCAAGACGATCTGCCTGATGAGGAGAGACGCGCTTTGACTGAGATTTGTGATCACCTGGCCAAACACGGGGATGGGGTCAAAGATGTGGCATTCCGGATTGAAGGCGACGTGGAGAGCGTCTGGAAGAGGGCAGTCGATCACGGTGCTCCCTCGATTCGATCTCCCCAGATACAGCACGACGGTGAGAAAGGCGCCATCCTTCTAGCCACGATCGGGACTTACGGAGATACTGTGCATTCTTTGATCAACCGTCAGCGGTACTCGGGTCCGTTCCTGCCCGGCTACATAGCGTTAACGGAGCGAGATCGCCTCAATCAGCAACTGCCAAAGATCGAATTCATCGAGATCGACCACTGCGTTGGCAATCAGCCGTGGAACGGCGTTGATCCGGCCGTTCAATAGTATGCTGCTCTCTACGTTCGTTGGTCAAGGCTAAGCATACGGCAGCTACGAAGACTGTCTCGACTTTCACCGATATTGGACTGTGGATGATGTTGGCATGTGTGGTGAATATTCGGCCATGCGGTCCATTGTCGTCGCATCTCCCAATGAAGTGATCAAAATGCCTATGAACGAGCCGGTTCAGGGAAAGAGGCAATCGCAAATCGAGGAGTAGGTTGCCTATTAGTAGGACCATACTACAGGACAGGACTCATCATTGGGTAGGTTCGTTGACTTCTACAACGGCGCCGGTGTCCAGCACATCGCATTCCGGACCCATGATATCGTCGCGGCTGTCACTCGCTTGCGGGACCGCGGCGTGGTGTTCCTTCGCGTGCCGGACGAGTACTACGAGGACCTGCGACAGCGGCTCTCTGACGGGGGCCCCGAAATACACGAAGATATCGACACGCTGCAGAGACTGCACATACTGGTGGACTTTGACGAAAAGGGATATCTACTCCAGATCTTCACAAAGCACGTTGTAGATTCGCCGACGATATTTATCGAAGTGATCCAGCGCAATAACTTTGACGGGTTTGGCGCGGGGAATTTCAAGTGCCTCTTTGAAGCGTACGAGCGCGAACAAGCACTCCGGCGGAATTGGTAACCTGCCTGCTGATTCCGCCTTGCCACTTTGCCGAGAAAAGACATACCCGGGCGGAATTGACGGCGAGGAAAGATTCCGCCCGATTGCAGACAGTCTGCAGAGATCATTGCTTTAGTTACACGGCAGACCAATCAATTGCGAATCTCATTCATAGATCCATATCCTCCCATCCATCATCAATCCACTTCCATCGCATCCAGTAACCCCAACCCACCATCACACCTCCATACTATGTAGTACCTCAGAGATACTCCCCACATAGTAGAAATCCCCACCCGCAACACATCCGAGGGAACCTCCCTGATCCGACATCCGTCGGAAGCCACAAAGTGACACAGTACAGTTGAACCTTCTTCCCCTTGACACCAAACAATCCCACCCATCCCTCTACGCAATCCCCTCTGAATCTAATACCTTCATACCCCGCATCGCATCTCACTCACCCTAATCCACCCGTCCGTTCCTCAAACCAATCTCCCAACTATAAATACCCCCCACCCATCCACACCAACCAACCTCCATCCCCTCCAACCAATGCTCCGTCCCTTCTCAACCCTGACCCGAAAAATGGCTCCCATCGAACGCATCACCCTCTTCAAAATCCCCAATGAGGCCGATCGCGATCGCGTCTTGGATCAGTATAAGGTTTTGGTGAAGACGGCGGTTAAGGTACCCCCTCCCCTCTCCCCACACCACCTCATATTATTTATCATACACAGCTCAATTCACAATGACAATGACAACCATACTCATCCTTATTACGCACGATAATGTTATTGATGAATAATGAACAGGACGGAAAACCCTACATCCTCAGCACCGCCGCCGGGGCCTCTTTCCCCGACGAGCGCAACAACGGATTCAATCTCTCCGTGAAGACCACGTTCGCGAGTCTGGAAGATATGGTGTATTATGATGAGGAGTGTGAGGCGCATAAGGCTCTGAAGGCAGTGGTGGGGCCCGTCAGGACGGATAAGTTGACGACGTTTTTTGAGAGTGTTGTTTGATCTTTTCAATATCAATTTGGTTATAGGTATGGGTGGATGGGTTTGGGTAGATGGGTTCGAGAATTGGGTTTCTTCTTGTGATTTATCTTTTAGCTTTTGCATAGGGAATGGTGATGATAGATGTGTCAAGTATGGTATGGGTGTAAAGTCTATTGTGATGTTCCTAGTAAGGACTATTGTCATGGTATACATGGATGGACTCATGGCTACTCGCATATGAAAATATCACAGCACGAAGGTGGAGGATATCAGCCGCCTCGCTGCAGAAACATGATACAATTAACATCGTCCTCGCCGAGCCTTGGTATACAATTACCCAACAAGGCCCCTCGTGTCAGCCGCTTAAATGTACAGACAGAGATAATCATCGAGCATCCGGTCGAGGGAAGGAAAGAAGCAAGCAGCGAAGCCAGGCAACACCCGCTAAACTCAGTTAGAATATATCTACAGCCAGCTCAGTTGAGAGCCTTGCGGAGATCGCTCCATTTCAACTTCAGGTTTTCGTGTTCGTCGTGAATCTGCGCATGTCAGCCACATCCATCATATACGAACTGGTGACACTTACCTCGGCCCATTTCATCTTTGCCTCGACCAGCTCCTTCTCCATCTCCGCCATCTGCTCCACCATCGACCGGTTCTCATTCTGAACCTCAACGTTGCGCTGCATGATGCGTTCCATCTCCGTCCGCAGCTTCTCTTCCACCTCCGCCGGTTGCTTATCCACAACATTCTTCAGCTCCTTGACCTGCAGCTTCATCGCATCGTTGATGTCCGTCAATTCCTCATTCTCCACCTTGAGGTGCACCAGTTCGGACGCAAGCTGCACATGTTCTTTATCAGACGCCTCGGCTTGCTCCTCTAGTAGGCGGATCCGGGCACTCTGCGAGGCAACCGTGTGCCGAAGGTGTTCCAGCTCCATTTCGCGCTCCTTCTCGGTCCGCTCCTTCTCTTCCCATTCCGCCGTGTAGGCACGGATCGTCTCAGGCTCGAGAGGGATGGCGCAAGCGTCCTGGACCATTATGTCGGCCCGGTAGACTTCCTTATCCGCAGCCCCTGAGCTCCCAAAGAAACCGGACTCCAGAATCGACGACGCGGAGGGCTGCTTGTCAATGTACACATCGAACAAGCGCTCCTTCAAAAAGGTCGTCAGTGGCGCCATGTCCTTCATGCTCAAGAGCGTGTCCGCATTCCGGCGCATGATAGCCAGCGCAAATTTCAAAATGGTGTTCTCAAGGCCTTCCTCGAAAATAAGATCGTAGACGCGGAGGACCAGTTGAAGAGGGAATCGGTAGGCGAAAAGGGTCAGGAACCACTGAGTGGCGTACAATTGCGGCGGCACTCCCCGCCGCCGGAGGTGACAATAGAGAGCCGGCTCCACGTCCTCCAGCAAGCGTTCGAATAGATAAAGGCTGCGGTGCAGACCTGGCATGTCATGGATAAACAGCTCCCGCAGCCCATACTGGTTCATGAGTTTGACGAGAAGCGTGAATGCTTCGGCCTCGTCCATCTAGGTGAGAGATCAGCATCAGCGACAGTGTTCTCGACGTCTTGTAGACTGGGTCAGGTTCTTACATTGAATAGCAATGGCATAACAATGAAGTTCATTCCCTGGGCATATCCCACCGCCTCGTCGTACAGAGCGTATGCCTTGCAGAGCCCGAACAGCCCTTCCTGGTTCCCTTGCGACACGAAGTAGCGTGAATAGCTTGTCCGAGCACCAAGGTCACGACGGATAGTCTTTTCTAGCTTCTGGAGCGCAGCCGCTTCCTCCTTGGCCTTCTTCTTGCGAGCAGTTTCGCTCCCGGCTTGCTCCTTGGCCAGCTTTTCGGGATCCACCTCGTGGGAAGGACTTGGTGAGCCATTGAGCGAATGAGCCAGCGATGCAGAGCGTTCCGAGCGAACGGATGAGCGGGAGGAAGAGGCTGTAGAGTCCTTGTCGCCAGCTCCATTGATAGTGCCATTGGGCGTACGCTGCCTCTCCTTGTCTGTGCCACGGGCAACAAGTTCCCGGTATACTTCCTCGAGCTCGGGGTTCCTGCTATCAGCCAGGACCTGCCAGATCACTCCTCGGATAGTCTGCGGGATGCCTCGTTTGATAGCCGCGTTCAAATCATTCGAGTTGGCTCCCTTCAACGCTTGCGCGCCATTGTTGACCAGTTGCTGCCAGAGCTCCCAGTCCACCGGTGCAGACGCGTCGGTCGCAGAGGTCGAAATCCCAGCCACGGTGCCCGGGGCAAGGTTGGGATTGACGGTCGCTGCTCCACTAGGCGGCGACGTCGCGACGGCAATGCCATTCTCTCCTTCTTCCGGAATGCTGGGCGGAGGGCTTCCGGCGGGCTGGCTGATGCTTGCACGTCCTGATGCAACGCTAATCTCGTCATAATCCGACGCGAGTCCTTCCTCCCGCATCCTGAGCTGTTTGAACTGGTCCTTGAGACTACTGCGTCTAGGCTTCCGGGGATTCAAGCCATCCGCGTCCTCCCCGTCGTGGTGTCGACCCGCCAACTCCGGATTGCTCGAGATCGTTGAGATAGACGCAGCCGTGTTCCGACGTGGTTGCGCCGGAGGGGACTTGGTGTCCTTTCCACCCGACGAGCTTCGAGAAAGCCATGCGAACGGACTGGTAAATGATCGAGTCGGTGGAGGCGGCGGTGCAACAGGGGCCTGATTCTTCGCGGGAGGGGCGTTGCCAGATCCCTGGAGGCGCGAACTGTGGGACGACGTGGAATCTCTCGACGTTAGTTGAGGGGTGCCAGATTTGAGCTCCTGGCTCAAATCCTGGTTCTCGATCGATTCATCATCCTTGTTGCTGCTGGCAAGATTGACATCGTCGAGAGAGGTTGTCGATAGCCGGTGCGCCGTCAAAAGAGGAGATTTCTGCAGCTTTTGTTTGGGAGGGGCACCCTCCGCTTCTGATTGTGCGCCCACGCTATCGTGATCATCGGTGTCTTCGGCCGTCTCGTGATCCTCGTGAGAAGGCGTGGGTAACGGGGGAGCTTCCGTCAATTGAGGCGTCGCGACATTCGATCCGCTGGGAGGGCTGTCTGTCAAAGACCGGGTGGAAGAGCTCTGAGGAATCGAAACACTCAGCCTGCCGTGCAGGTTCGGGGATTCGGGGGCATCATCAAAGGAGTCCTGGTGTGAAGAGATGGTGAGCCTTTCCTCAAGATCGCCGGGTTCTGAACTGGACGAGCTTACTCCTTCGTAATCTCCGCTGTTCCGTGTAGAAGACATGTTGGAACCCGACCACCTGGGAGGGCGCCAACTATGGGAAACCAGCTGGTTTCTTCAATCCAAGTTCCGATTCACACAAGCGAGGCGGAAGAAACGAAGTTCGGGATGGTGGACGAAGACAGACCAACAATTATTCCATGGTAGGGAAAGAGGAGAACGAAGGGAAGCAGGTGTGTTGAGCGGAAGCCACAGGCCGTCGTCGTTCAATGGGTAAATTATGAGGAGGAAGGGGGGAGGTTGGATACGATGGGATGGAATGGACCCAGAGCCAGCGGGTGGAATTCCGGACTGTACCACGGGACTGGCAGGGGAGATGCCCGCAATGGATCCAGGCAGGACGGAGAAGAATGAATGGGACTGCCTCCTTTTTCCCGTCAGCAGCACGAACCCCAAGGGACAAGGAGACGGAGAGTTGGCGGTTGCTGAAGAGACTACGGAGTCAAGTCAGTCACTAAAGCGATCCCCTGGCGAGCAACTGGAAAAGGGCTTGGCGAGACCCGTCCCCGTGATTCGGATGCTGCCTTCCCCCTTAACTAACGCCCGCTGGCAGGTGCTTACTTTGCTATTCTTACTACAAAAGTAGTCCGGCGACTTCCTTAGCCTCTCAGCTATCACCTTAGTGTTGGTGGTCGGCTGTGAGCTGCTAGGGAGGCCGGCGGTTGGCTGGCCGGCGGTTACGTGACGCCAGTTCTGTTCGTCAGCCCTTCAGGTTATTTTATTTTGGGGGTCGGAAGAATAAGTGATGATTAGTTCCTGCCAGGCGAACGATTCGGGGGGATTATTCTTCCTGATCGTTCACTGCCATCCCCCCCCCCCCTCCACCCGAGTCGGTAAAGCACTGCCGTGGCCACCTGTTATTCTGAAACTCACCAACAAAATCCATCCCGATGGTTGGCCCACTACTACGGACTAAGTACAGCTGGAGCCATCAACTTGCTATGTCCACCCGCAGCACATCAGCATGGCACAAGAAAAAGCAAGTAATAAAACAAGATCGGACAATCTCTTGAAACAAAGCAAAAATCCCCCGCAGATGGCGCCCATAGATTACTATACATATCCATAGGCAAGGGATGATCGTCTCAGCGCCCGAGCGACTGTTCAAAATCCAGCCACCGTTGAAGTCGCAGCGGGTCCAGCGTCTTCAATTCCGCGAGCCAGTCCAAGACCTTTGATTTCGATTCCCCACTGGGCGCGCTTCCTTCTACCTTCCACGCCAACATCGTACAATCGATCAGTGCTTGGTAGATGTATTTGCAATCCTCCGCCCCGTCCAGCATCTCCTGGATCTCGTCGATTTCACGTCGGAGATAATCCAGGCGCTCCGCATCACTCAACTTCGGCGCTAGCGTCTGATCTGCCACGGATGGATCGAATGTGCACATCAGGTTTTGGTGATAGAACCACAATGACTGGTCATACGGGTCGCACAGGGCACGATGGATCAAGTCAAGTTCTTCCAATATGATATGTCAACACGCATACTCGTACGCTGTCTCCACGCCACGCAGAAACCAGGGGTGACGTACCATCATCGAGCATTTTTCTTCGTTCCTCGTCACTAGCCGCGTTCTCGGTCAACAAGCGCTGGATGAGCTTCGTACGATAGTGCCACGCCGAGAAGTTGGAGAGATTCGCGCCGATCATCTTCTTTGCATACTCAAACTCCGTTTGCGTCATCTGCTTCCCATCCTGCTCCTCCGATTTGAGCTCTCGCAGCGTCTCCACGACAAAACGTCTGTAACCCCAGCCATGGAAGTTTCTGCTGTCTAAGCTAAGCATTTTCCCTACGAGGGCCAGTTCTTCCTGCCAGAATTTCTGCGCAGCAGGTACTGGGAGCAGACGCTTGGCTTCATCCAGAAGCCAGGTACGGTAGTTCCAGATCCAGTAGCACTTGGGAAAGCTACGCAGGAGGGGAACCGTGAATAGTAGATCATTCTTGATCAAAGTGGAGATCTGGGCTGCAGCAGCTTCATCTGAGCCAGCTGAAGCGGCTGCTGAAAATTCACTTCGCAACACCTGGCGTCGATAATTCCACACGGTGTAGTACTCCGGGTTGCTGGTCAGTAATTCGCTTATTTTCTGTAGCGTTTCTGGTGTATGCTGGTGTTTCGCAATCTAGTCGACCATGATTAGCCAACATATGTGACAACTTGATTACATGCATATGGCCTACCTTGTCACGGACCGACTGGTCGAGTTCGCGATACTTCTCGATCTTGTGAAGCTCTTTTTGACGACCCTCTTCGGTCCGCTCCGCTTGGAGCGAGTAGCGGGGAATCCCATGCTGCCCAGCTGTCAGTGAAGGGAGTGGGAAGTCTAAGGGGGAATATCTTTACGGCAGCCATGTCAAACGATGTCTCTAGGGTCTAATAGGTGTGAGAGGTGGACAGTGGCTCGCAGTGTCAGGGGATGGACTTATCGATAAGGGACGGCCGAGAGTTGAAGCGGTTGCCTGAACAGGGAAGCCGCAGCCACCTTCCCCATCCAGATCAGTCACGTGCCGTATACCTCCCCGGCCATCGCGACGCTGATGGCCAACTCTTTACTTCCCCCTCTGCCAGGGATCCATCGGCCATGTCACTAACTCACGTGCTATCTCTACAGCATGGCTGTATATCAATAAGATCCCTTGTTCATTCTTTCTATCCAAACACATCCACACGCTGACATAGCATACATCACTTTAGCACTGATACATCGAGTAGTGACCGGCTGTCGGTCAACTACGGGGTTGGAGGCTGGGGGGCAATGAGTTGCCCAGCGATACATCCAAGGGGGAGCTCTCTTCTAGCAGATGTGGACGTCTTTCCAGAAACCCCCTCTTACAAGTCAACCGTCCGAAAAGGCCAATTTGTGACATCCACATTTCCATCTGCCAACCCTCTATTACATCTAGCACCTGTCACTCATTCTAAACTTAACGTACACACTCCTTCTGCAGGACAAACGAAGGCCAAAGTCAGGGGCAAGGAAAGGGACAAGGATACCAAATATCCCCCTCATTCGTCGCACAGGGCAGCCAGAAGCGCCGAATCAATCAGTGATGCAAACCGTACGCCAGCAACGAAACACGCTAGTCTTGACTCCTTGGTGCCAGTCAGAAGAAGTCCTAAAAGAATCAGAAATCCTATCATCCTCAGCACTCCTGACGCTGAGCTGAGGAGCCCAACCCTGCCAGATAGGTTCATTCCCAGGCGGGATTCCAACAGCACATCAACGCCTTTCCGGGTAGGAAGGAGCCCTCGAGAACTATCTCCAGAAGAAAAAATCCTACGACAACGCTTACCGAAAGAGGACCCATTCATGCCCGCGCGCTTCCGGAGATCTGGGAACTCTCCAAGGATACCGTCAGACCGTATATGCAATACTCACTACGGCCCTCATCTGGTCATCGACCCAGCTACTGCGGCCAGCGACTTCTCTCGTGGCTCAAGAGACGTTTCCAGGCAAGTCAGCAATGGGGCCGTTTGGAATGTGGGAGGAACATCGGCTGCTCTAGGCCGACGGTCTATGGCGACCCCCAATGGCTCGGGCGGACAGTTTGCGAGTGGAACGACTGCACCGATGTTTGCTGCCAAGTTTCTGCCCCAAGTTGCATCGACCGAGGAACGTGAGAGACACAAGTCCAGGGTGGCTCTCGCCTTGAACATTGACCCAGCAAGGAGACTGCTGAAAAATTGCAAGCTCTGGCCTTTGCTTGAATCCTTACCGAGCCCCTCCTCTCCAGACTATGAGCGGTTTTCCCCGTTTGTTTGGAAAGACAATGCCTGGAAGCGAGCCGAGAAATATCAGTGTAAGTGTATGCTCCTTGAGCAGGCTCGATCCAAACCCTTGTAGAGGGCCCTTGCGATCTCATTTGAAGATCTACATGACTTTGTCTCGATCATTGCACCTTGACTTGCAAGGCTGGAAAGCATCACCGTTTATCCCCCCCCTCTCTTGCCCCCTTTTCCCTTAAGTGCCTTCCAAGATTGCGTCGTCAATGACAGCTACTAAAAATAACTGCTAGGGACGGTTACATCGAAAGAGGATGAGAGAGTCGTCCCGAACCGTCCATTTCGCATCCTCGATGCCCCCCTGCTCCGGGACGATTTTTATTGTTCGACGCTAGCATACTCAACTATTTCCGGCGTACTTGCTGTGGGACTTGGCCACCGCGTTTACCTATGGTCTGAGCTTTGGGGTGTACAGCACCCACCATTCAGCGATCAACACCCCTCCAGCTATGTGACATCGTTGGCATTTTCCTCCGAGAATGGCGGCAAAAGCATTTTGGCCGTCGGAAGGCAGTCGGGCATGCTATGTCTCTGGGGCACATTGGAGCCCGAGGTCCGGTTTGAAATTAGCCATCCTGATTCCATCACTTGTTTGGCGTTCAGGCAGACCAAGACTCGGAGGCTATCGGAGAGGCTCCGCAACATCGAGGTGGACGTCGAAGATCTCGCCGTGGGCGATGACCTTGGTAATGTATGGTACTACTCCGTGGAATGGCCCGATGGTGAAGACCCGGATCAATACGAGTGGCATGGAGCTATGATTCTAATCGCCAAGATCTCAGCGCACACCCAGCAGATCTGCGGCATCACATGGTCCCCGGACGGATCCTATCTTGCGACTGGAGGAAATGACAATTGCTGTTTGCTATTCGACCTCCATGACATCCTCCCTTCACGAGGATATAAGTATTTATCCCAGGGCTGTCCGTCACAGTCGTGTCAGTCGGAAGGAACAGACTGTACAGGCACATTTTCCTGTTTTGCTGCGACTGCTCGCAAACGGCTTTTCCGACGACGCAGTCTCATCAGCCATCTCCTTCCACCCTGGGCGTTATCCTGCACAAAGCCACTGGCTTCCTCGCTCCTCAACCATACGGGGTCGCTGATCGCCGGGGGTGACCGAACGGTCCTGATCCCGTCCAACCGCCAGAGGCATCGGCTCGCCCATGGCGCCGCGGTCAAGGCGATTGCATTTGCCCCTTGGCAACCGTCACTTCTGGCTACCGGTGGGGGCTCAAACGACCGAGCCATCCATTTTTACCATGCCCCGACCGGCGCGTGTCTGGCCACGATCAATGTGTACGCTCAGGTAACCAGCCTGATTTGGAGCCGAACTCGACGGGAAATCGTGGCTACGTTTGGATTTGCACAACCCGAGCATCCGTTCCGCATCGCCGTATTTGCCTGGCCGAGCTGCGCCCAGATCGCCGCGATCCCCTGGGGGCCGCATGGCAGCAGCTGGGACAGTCCTGAGAACGACTTGCTGGTTGACTGTGGGCGTGCGCTCTGCGCCGTGAGCTATCCCGGCCGCCCCCGTGACAGCGAAGATTGGAGCCAAGATCGCGAAGGTCAGTCCTCTACATCCGGGGTGATGCATGACCGTTTAGCGGAACCAAGTCGGAGTGAGCCCAGCCGACGGAGCGCGAGTCGAGCAGTTGTCCAACCCCGGGCCAAAGAAGGGGGTCTCTGGTGTTCTCGCACAATGCAAGAAGGGTGTATCATCGTGGCATCCAGCGATCAGAGTGTCAAGTTTCATGAGGTGTGGAGCGGGCCCAAGCGAGGCACTGCTGTGGTGGCCGGGCCCCTGGGAGGCAGTGGGATTCTCGAGGGGCTGGAGGGGCTGGAAATCCTCGGGGACGAAATCATCCGTTGATACAGGCAGGGCACATCTTGTCACTATTGATTAGCGCGCCGAGGGCGGGTTATCCTTACGGCGGGAGAGTCATCATGTACATCCTGTCTGTATTCTTATGCTTCGGTGAGAGTCAACCCTAATAAACGGGATCACGGCGCCGATCATTTTCAGATCGGGGTTCGTGCATCAATAGCGCGTCTTGCCTGACTCAAGCTTCGATCGTCCGGATCGTGCACTCCGAGCTGAAGAATGGTCCAGTTACTAGTTTTACATAGTGGTGCTTACTGCGTAGGCGGAGGATAGTCCCGGTTGAAGGTCTGCAGAATCTATAGTCGTCCTGTCCTGTTCCACTCGAAACATCATCGCCCCCATCACCACCAGAACTATACCACGAACCATCCCTACTTTCCGGAGTATACCACTTGTCTTTTACCACCTCACCATTTGACCACCGCAACCATGATCTTCCTCCCTGTCCTCTTCACCACCCTCCTTGCGGCTACCAGCGCCGCCGCGGCATCAACCAACACCACCACTTCCTCCTTCCCCAGCACCCTCAACATCACCACCATCACCGCCCACAACAACCAATCCGCCCTCGAATGCTGGGCCCTGGACCCGGGCTACACCACCTCCGCCCAAGCCGGCGTCTCCGGCACCGCCATGCTCCCCCTCGGCCCTATCACCGGCAACGCCACCAACATACTCATCCCGGGAAATTACGATGGTGGTCGACACAATGCACCGACGATTCAGTACGTTCTCCCATCCCATCCATCCCATCCATCTCGTACCCTACTATAGACATTACATATACATCATCCCAACCCCCAAGACCATACACTAACAAAATATGAAATACAAGATGGGTAATTTTCCTCTCCGGCGTGGCCCATATCACATTACCCAACTCAACGGATGAGGCGTGGGTGATTGGGGGACGGAACGGGGCGATTTTGGCGTTGGATACGGCGGAGGTTAGTACGCAGGGACATTATACGGTGTATCCGACGGAGGAAAGTACCTTGGTTTGGGAGGTTCCGTTGGTGGAGGTTCCGGGGCATAGGGTTTTGTATAAGCGGGCTTGTGGGGGAGCAGAGGTTTAGGTTGTTTGGTGGTGATGATTATGTGTGTATGGAGTGATAGTAGTTGATGTTGTAGTGGTTTATGGTTATATATATTGTTGGGGAGTCTGGTACGTAGTACAAGGCAGATGAGTGGGGTTGAAGATGGTGATGGTGATGGGGAAGGGGATGGATATATATTTATGGCGGAGTATTGATTATGAAATACCCGGATATATAAAGTAATCAATGGTATGAATGGTATGAATGGTAGAATGATATGATCATATATATAGTTCATACTCCTCCCTCTCCCCAGTCTAACATGCACCCGATAATATAATCGAACAAGAAGATGATAATAATGATAATAATAGATCAATAGATAGATAACCAACGAAAGCAAACACAGAATTCCTATACTTTCATTCCTTCCTTCCGTTCTCTCTGACTTTTAAACAAATCACGACCATCATCCGGGACACACAGTGCTGATGAACAGGGTATAAGATCTAAAGGGGAGGTCGGGTCGTCATTCGGGCGCTCGGCTTTTGCTCTGTCTTCTATTTTCTGCCCTTGTTTTTACCCTTTCCACGTCCTCCGCCGCTCAGCCGAGCCTTCTTGGACGGCGGCGGCTTGGATGTTGCTAGCGGTTCCTCATCCGACTCCTCGTCTTCCGTGTCCGCAATGAAGTCTACCATCGATCCGGCGCTCTCGGCGTCATCGTCGTCCTCGTCCTCGTCTTCCTCTAGTGATTCCTCGGCATCGGATGATCCGGCCGATTCTTCGGCCTCCACATCCAGGATGTTTTCATCCTCCTCTTCCTCCTCTTCACTGCCCTCTTCCTCGTCCTCGGACTCGTCGCCGGACTGGACGCCATTCAGCATGGATTCCTCTTCATCGAATGCTTGATCGCGTATCGACTTGGTCCGCGGGGTGGTCGCGTTCTTAGCGTCAGCATCACTATCATCCTCCTCATCCTCTTCCTGGCCTTCCACGTAGATGATGTTGTCCTCATCTTCGCTCTCCATGGCCTCTTCTCCGCTGCGGATCGACCGCCGCAGTCCGAGCTGTGCGTCCAGCATGTCCAGCTTGCCCTTGAGGAGCAGCAGGGAAGGAAGGCTGGAGGAGCGCTGGTCCATGACCTTGAAAAGGGTGGACATCCGCTTCAGTAGCTCAGGCTTGCCTGCGAGAGCTCCTCCGTGTGCGACGCACGTCCATTGCACCCACACGAGGAGGTGGCCGTACCGCCCGGGGCGAGCAGAAAGGCGCTCTGCGAGTTTCTGAAGGAGGGTGGCTGCGAGGGAAGAGTCCAGACGCTGGATGGTGGAGCGGATGATGGAAAGCTCCCCGGTGTGGAAGCAGGACTCAAGCATGGCGTTGTCGTTGGTCTTGAGGGATTGTGAGAGAACGGTGGAAAGAGACACTCCCGAGGGGATCTGCTGCACTGCAGCACTGGGTTTGCCGGGCACAAGCGATCCCATATGAACATCGTCTTCGAGTTCCGCCTCAACGTCAACTTCCTGGTTAGCGCGCATGAGCTCTCCGAAAGAAGGCTCGCCCGTCTCGTCCTCCTCTTCTTCCTCCGAGCCGGAATCTTGTGCATTGCCCATCTCAACATCGCTGTCGGCCTCTGCTTTCTTCTGCAGCTGCTTCGATTCATTTGTCTGCTTCATATCAACGTCATCGTCATCTGAATCCTCCTCGCTGTCGGCCACAGAAGCGGCGTCCTTGGAGTCTTGCATCTCAATGTCATCCTCGATAATGTTTCCCTGCTCCACCACTGCTCTGGACTCGTCGACCTGGTTCTCGTTGAAGGTTCTCGTGCCGTTCACAGTCACAGATCCCAGCACCGAGCCAGACTTGGTCTTCGCGATTTTCTGAGTACCTGTAAACAAGAGCTCGTCGGTTTCTTCGTTGAGCCACTTGATCCGCTGGAAGACTGGGACAACACCACCCTCCGCCCATGCAACCACCAGGTCAGGGCCGTGGAACGAAGCTGCTACCATTGAAACGAGGGCGTCAGACGTGGCGGACACGGTGACCTTGATGAGGGAGTCGGCTCTCCGAGTGGCTTGCTTCGATCTGGCCTTCAGGCTAGCGGCGCCCTTGGCGTTAGTCTGATCATTGGGAAGGACGAATGGGCGGCTGAAGAGTTCAATGGTGCCATCCTCGGTGACTGCAGCGACGACCTGCTTCTCTGCCGGCAGAGTAGTGCCTTTCCGTTCCGCACCAGTGTAGAGAGACACCGACGAGACTCCATTCTCGGCCACGAGGTTCATGGCGAGCCTCCGTTTCTGGACATCGAAGACGGTGATGTAACGGTCGCCATCCGAAGCAAGGAACAGCCCCGTAGCAGCGGATTCGGTGGAAGAGGTGATGATGTTCTTAACGGGGTTACGCATCGCGTTGAAAGTGATAGGGGCCTCATCTTCCTCCACGCTCACGACGTACGGGGTCTGAGAGGCGCAGACAACATGCGGGTTCGAGGGAAGGGGGCGCGCAAGTGTGCTGAATGCTGATGTGGTGGGCAGATTGATCGTCCTATCTGGTTGTTAGACAAAAATAAGAGGGCGACTAGTCTGGGACTTGGGAGAGCTACCTGGTCCTCTGTCCGGTGTACAGGTCCCACTGCACAAGCTTGTTATCTCCGCCAATACTCCACCCCTCCTGCCCGGGCCGGCTGGTGGTAAACTTAAAGTCTCTGATGCCTTTCTCATGTCCGTTCGCAAGCGTCCCGACAATCTTGTCCTCCACGGGCGAGTACATGCGGATCTCGGAAGCGCTGGTACCGAAGGCAACAACTACGTCTCCCTGGTCGAATCCATCGCCATTGATGTCGGAATGCCTCTTCCTCTTCTTCTTCGAATGCTGATCACGGTCTTTCTTGCTGCTGGGATAGTAGCCCCAGTCTAGTGAGGTGACAGTCTCCTTGGGACCCAAGACATGCTCGCACTGTAACCGTCCGGTAGTCGTGTCGTGAATGCGGATATGTTGAGCATCGAGACCCTGAATGACCGATGCGAAAAGCGCCAATTGGTATTCCGACGGAGCAAAAGAGGCCTTCAGTATCGAAGACTTGTTCCCGGTATATGTGAGGCCGGATGCCGCGGGCGACGCAGCGGAGGAAGTTTTCGAAGCGGGCGGGCGAGACGCTTTCTTGCCCATTTTGAACTGGCGCTATAGGCGGACAGGAGCAGACGCAGGAAAATGTGTCGCAAAGCAGGCACCCAAAGGTACAGAAATCCTAGCCCCGCTGCGGATAGGAACAAAACCTCGTGTGCTGGAAACCAGTTGAGCTGCGAACCGTCGGCGTCGTTGCTGGTGTTGCTGAGGAGGAAAAAAAAGTTCTGTAGAGATGCGCTTGGCCCGTTGCGGTCTAGTCGGCTGTGAACCTTAGTTCCGCTCGGGGTGTCTTATCTAATCCTCCGCGCCGGTGCTGTGACCCCTACACAGTGCTACACCCTTCCTCTCCTACCACCCACGTCGCCTCGATGATGATGGCTTTCACCATTGAGGGATCAGTCTGCTTGAGATTCACCAGTCTTTCATGTCGATGCGCTGCAGATTGGTCAAGCTTCATCCTGGATCGGTCCATCATGATCTTCACAGACTTGGTTGCTCAATGTGGTTGACCCAGCCGCTGCTGCAGTCCATGGCTGCAATTCCTCCTATACCTAACTCATGACCCCTCCCACCGTCACGGCACACCCGAGTCTTAAGCTCTTCTCTGACTACATGGGTTCATTGCACAAGATGCCAACTTGACCAAGCTGTAGAAACAGCTCCTTTCACATGTCCATACTGCAACTATAAAGTCACTCTTGATGGCTGCTTTCCATGGATCCATCTAGCTTATCAATCCTCCCCTCACTCCGAGGGGCAGGCAGGGTGCGCTGGACAACCTCCGGAATGAATGACTCACACATTTGGACATATCCTGCTACCTATGCAAGTATCCACGTCTTGATCCACAGAAAGTCAGGGGCTATGGCTGAGACAAGACATATCCGAGATGATGGAACACACTGGGGTAGGTTCCGATCGAGACCAACAGACCAGGAGTGCAGCAGGCGCCACCGTTACTCTACGGCTGCCTAGACGAGTCAACCAGTCAACCAAGGAATAATGTGAGGAAGGCACTCGTCAACATTCTGTGGAAATACCGCACCCCAGCAGTTCTACCGCCACTACGGAGTACTCTTTGTGAGTCAAGCTCAATTGCTACGATACGGAGCACCTTCACGTTGTCCGGGCAAGCTTGCTTCCCTAGCGTTGTCACTTTGTCACTCGGATTCGGAATCGGAGATTGGATGGCTGGTTACATCAGCACCCAGCCTAGTCCGGATCCGATGCAAGGGAGGGCTCAGGGCCTAACCCTGGGGTTTCATCAGGTCAGCAGACCACCACATCCTGGCTCGGCATTCAGCCAGCAGGCTTCACCCCAAATCCATGATGCACTTGTTATACCGCTTGAATGCCTGACAGATCTTTGGGTATGTCACATCTGACCTGACTTGCCCAAGATACCATCATGATGCATCTGTTCGATAATGGGGCCCTGTGCCGATCGTCAGTCCCACCAGGTCTGAGGTGAAATTTGTCTGCTCTGGCTGCAGTTGAGCACATCCTGTTATTTTCACCAGCTGAGGACCTTTTTTTTTCCTCTGGTGTTTTCGAGGATGTTTCCGACAAAGGGACTTCTGGTACGAAGGGTCCACCATCCAAGGTTGGTTGCAGCCAATAGGAACCCGAAACCCGTAGAACGCGTCATCCTCCGGCCAATCAGCGGCTGCGGAATGGCTTGAACTAGAATAATTGGGACTAGCGTGGCCGATGGAGTTAGCGGCAGAGGACGGACGGGCGCAACGCGGCCGTTCGTACTTAAGGATTCTAGCACCCCCTCCGACTTTCTCAGTCTCTGTTTCTGGAGCTGAGCTGAGAGCTGCGCGCCGGTCACGCTTTCCTTTACCCTGCCCTTCCCTGACCGCCCGTCCGCCCTTGTGCCTATGTCCTCGGCTACCCCTGGACTCGCCTTCTTCATAAACACGCTATAAACGCGTCATTCGCGTCGCGCTCCTCCATCCCAGCCACAGCTACTGCAGCTGCTTATTTTATTCCATTTCTATTTTTTGCCGGCCCCCCCCGTCGCCCCCCCTTTTTTTTCTCTTTAATATTATTAGCAACAACTCCATCACGCCGCCGACCACACGGACTATACCTGTACTTCCCTCCTCCTTCCCCTCCTCTCTCTTTTCCGGCATCACACCTTTTTGGCCTCAGGCAACCATCTGGCTTGGCACGTGCGGTTTGCGGGTCGACAAACACCTGAGCTTCAACTGACATTCTCCTTATCTCGTCTTCACTCCTGCTCTTTCCCCCATCCCTTTGATTTCTCCCGTCTGGCGACCCTGCCTCGCTTAGTCAACCGCACGGCACTTGCCGCCCACGTGATTGCTGGCCTCGTCCGCCCACCGCCTCTTGGCACTATAAATTCCTCCTTCCTGTCGCATTCTCCACACCTCCGGCCCGCGCTAATCCTCATCCTTTCTTGTATCTTCTGCAACTTCCGTGGCGTCGCAGCACCTGTGGCCTGCGCAGGACACCCGTCTGCCATTGTGTCTTCTGTCATCTAATCAGCTGTTTTCGCTCGCCGATTACCGAATCCATACATTAGTCTGTGTTAGCGCAGAGAGTACCTATTCAGTTGATTTGTGTTGCTGTGGCTCCCTAAACTCCGATAACAGAGACCAGCTCCAGCACCAGAATCGCTGCCTGTTAGATTCTTTGTATCCCGGTCCCGTCGGAGGACTTGATCGAAAATTCAGCCACCTCAAATGGCGACGCCGCCTCCCGAGGCTCCCTCTGCTCTCAAGGAGGAGAAGCCTCAACTGCCGCCGTCGCCCAATGGAGTTGCGCCTGCGGACGTCGGTCGCACAGGGTATGTTCATGTTCTCCTTCTGCCGGTGTCTCTCACGCGTGATCGCTAACGGTTCTACAGTGCTCAAGATGCTGTAGCCAACGCGAAACCCGACGTTCCTGTTAACGGCGCGGAGAAACCAGCGGAGGACACGAAGCCGGCCACGGCGAATGGAAATGCTGCCGAGAAACCTTCAAACACAAATGGTCTCGCTGCGACTGCTTCCCCACCGAAATCTCCATCTTTGCCGACCGCCGATACTTCTGCGAAACCAGCCGTCGCGTCCGAAGAAGTCAAATCTTCCAACGTGGGCGCCGCTGCGACTGGGGAGGTAAAGAAGGAAACAGCCAGTGAGAACAAGTCTGCTGCTACACAGATCGATGGCAACGGCGCGAGTGGCGCTGGCTCCAAAGACACACAGGCACCCCAGGATACATCAAAGCCATCAACTGATTCGTCATCCGACGCCAAAGTGGAGAGCACTGCACAGCCCTCACGGGATTCCGCCACCGGGAAGACCGAACTCCCTCACCACCCTCCAACGAGCTCCAAGCCTGATAGCACAGCGCCGAAAGTTGGTACCAGTACTGCGCCTTCGGTTCCGTCCTTGCAGACTGTTGACCAGGAGATGCGTGACGCGCCGGATGTTCCGGTTTCTCCGACGAAGCTTTCTCGGGAGCGTGAACCTGATCCGAGCGATGAGCGCGCTGCCAAGCGTACAAAAATCGGGGAGTCAGGTGCAGTTGAGTTCAAGGTCCCCGACCGGCCTACCCCTGCTGAGCCACGGTTTGAGAGGGCGACAAATGGCGACTCGTCGATGACTAAGGTTCAACACAAATTCCTCCTGAAATCCATCCAAAGCCTGAAGCGGATGCATGACTCTCGCTTTTATCGGGAGCCCGTGGATCCCATCAAGCTGAATATTCCACATTATCCGCAGTTTATCAAACGTCCCATGGACCTTGGAACTATTGAACGGAAACTGAAGAACAATTTGTATCGGACGGCGCAGGCTGTGATTGATGATTTCGCTCTCATGGTCCAGAATTCTCTGACGTTCAATGGTCCCGATCACCTGGTTGCTATCGAAGGGCAGAGGCTTAAAGGTACCTTTGACAAGCAGATGGTCAACCTACCGAGGTCCGATGAGGTCGAGGATAAGAAGCCGAAGAAGCCTCTCTCGAAACCCTCGGCGATTCGTCGCGACCACCGGCCGGTTCCCAGCCCCAGCACGGCGCGCACCACCGCTGCGTCTCCTCAGGCGACCACCTTTGCCCTGGGCCCGGAAGGCCTCCCTTTGATCCGTCGCGATTCTGCCAATGCCGATGGACGCCCGAAGCGTTCTATCCACCCGCCCAAGCGTGATCTCCCCTACTCTACGAAGCCGAAGAAGAAGAAATACCAGTGGGAGTTGAGATTCTGCCAGGAAGTACTGGATGAGCTTCATAAACCTAGGCATTACACTTATGCAATGCCGTTCTACTTTCCGGTCGATCCGGTGGCTCTGAACATCCCCACGTACCACAGCATCATCAAGAAGCCGATGGACTTTTCTACGGTGCAAACCAAGCTGAAGGCCGGCCAATATGAAAATGCCAAGGAGTTCGAGCTCGATATGCGTCTTATCTTGAAGAACTGTTTCAAGTTCAACATTCCAGGCGACCCTACCTATGTAGCGGGCCAGAAGCTGGAGGAAGAGTTTAACAAGAAGTGGTCCCAGAAGGCGCGTTATTTGGAACAGCATGAGCCACATGTTGAACATCACAGCGCAGAGTCGTCGGAGGAAGAAAGTGAGGAGGAAGGGGACGAAAGCGATTACGATGCGGAGAAGCTCAGTCTGTTGCAGAAGCAGATGGAAGAAATGTCTCGCCAGATCGAAGCCATCACACAGAAGAAAAAGAAGACTCCTCCCGGCACTAAGAAGCTGGCCAAGTCCAAGCCTGGGAAGAAGGAGATCAAGAAGCCTTCATCGTTGGGTCTCGGCAAGAAGGACAAGAAGAGCAGCAGCAGCAGCAGCAAGCCCTTGGCGAAGCCTGAGAAACAGCATTGGGTTACCTATCACGAGAAGCAGATCATTTCGAACGGAATCAGTAGTCTTCCGGATAAGAAGATGCAGGAAGCGCTCAGGATCATCCAAGCCAATGTCCCGTCTCTCAAGGTATGTTATTTGTCCCAGCCTCCTCCGGCAATGTCTAATAAGATCACCAGGGTACCCAAGAGGCCGAGATCGAACTGGACATCGATGAGCTTCCCAACGATGTTCTGCTTATGCTCCTTCGATTCGTGAAGAAGAACGCGCCGCATGTTGTAGAAGAGGATCCGGCGGCCGTTGCTGCGGCAAACGCGGCCGCCCCGAAGCCCAAGAAGAACAAGCCGATGAGCAAGTACGAGCAGGAAGCCCAGATCAACATGCTGGAGAGCAACCTGTCTCGGTTCCAGGGCGGCGGTGGCGGTCGTTCTCCTGACCCTGTTCAATCCGTCGAAGCCATTGAGAGTAGCGATGATTCCGAAGATGATTCGGAGGAGAGTGAGGAGGAGTGAATGATCGCTGCTGAGGACTTGTGTTGATCTTCTATCTGAAGCCTATGCACCATAGGTCAGATTAGTTAATCCTACCGAAGGGCGACGCATATCTGTCTGCAACCCACTAATGAGCTGTTGTCTGTTTTCATCACTCTACTTCTGTTCCTAGCGACCTTTTCATGTTGGAGGGCGGACCGATGTGCATCGGGCGTTCCACTTGTACATATGGTGATATTTGGGGAGATCTTGAAGCTGATTGAACTTTTTGACGGCCGCAGCGCAACAGGATATCCGCATCCGACGTGATTTCGTTGAGTTGGGATGGATCTCCGTTGAGCTGAGTCGCGTTCGAAGCAGCGATAATGGGGCTCGAATGGGCGTTGTTGAGGCCAGGTACATGTATGATTACGAAGGATATGTGAAAACGGAAGCGAGATATCAAGCTGTATTATACGGAATCTTGGGTTGGTTTTGTCTCTGTAGACCGGATGTTCTCCAGTTGTAGATCGGCCAAGTCACGGGATGGGCGGTGGCGCCCGACCGTCGCCGGCTGGTGATCCTCGACTGGACCACCTGCTGGCTTCAGCATCGCCATGAACCATGATCCCGCCCTGCGACCCCGCCATTCTCGACAACAATCCCCAGTTCAAGAAGCTCTACCAACACCTGACCACTACTTTACTTAACCCCGATGGCTCCACGCGCGCCCACGATGCGCAGCCCGCTCGGCAGGCGGTTCTGGAAGTACGCTACCTCGACCTGCCGTCATCCAACCATCCATCTGACCCGCGTTCTCTAGGAAGTGAAAGCGTGCCGAATCCGCGATGCGAAGAAGCAGATTAAGCAGCAAGCCCTCCGCCGACTAGCCTTTGACCCGGATAGCAGCCTCCCTGACGATGTCAGCCAGACTCCAACCCAACCGAGCCCGAGACACCCCAAACTAACAAACAATACCAGGCCCGAGACTCCCTCGCCATCACCACCCTCTACCTCGAATCCTCCCCCCACCTACTCGACCTCGACAACGACACCCCCGATGCAGCAGACATCCAATTCCTCCTCGCCCCGGACATCGACCAATTCTACTCCACCCTCCCGCTCCTCGTCGCGCCTCTCACCACCATCCTCACAACCACCATCACCGACCTCCGCACCATCGCCAACACCGGCGGAAATGATCCTCCAGCAGACAACCTTCCCCGAACCCGCGCCCGGAACCGCCAAGCCATGCGCTCTATCGCGCAGACCCCGCTTTCCTCGCAGCTAGCGGAGCGGCTCCGCGCTCTCCGCCAGATGCAGTTGACGGAGCTTCCGACAGCACGGACCCGGATGGCGGGGACGGCAGCGGAGGTGCTTGCGACGCGGGCGGCGGTGTTGGAGCGCACGGTGATGCTTCTGGAGCGGGCGAAACATGGGGCTGTGGCGAGGGCGACGAAGGCCAAGGCGGAACATTTGGCTATGGTGGCGATGGGGATTGAGGGGAAACTTAGGTATGTGTTGTGTTGTGTTGCTGCAGGGTGGTGTAGATTGGGTAAGGCTAATGCGATGGGTAGTGTTACGGAATTGGATGTGCTGGCTACGATTCATACGCCTGAGGTGGTGGATGCGCTGGGTCGGTATTATCGGCATTTGAAAGATACGAGGGAGCGATTGGAGGAGAGGCGTGTGTTGGCGTTGGGGGAGTTGAAGGGGTATGAAGATGTGGGTGGTGGTGGTGGTGGAGGGAGAGATGGAGGTACGGGCAGAGGGAGAGCAGACTCTGGGGCGATGAAGGAGATTGCGCGCCGGTATGGGGGATTGATTCGGGAGGTGGAGGACGTGAGAATGGAGATTGAGCGGTTGAGTGTGTGATTATGATACCCTTATTGATACTAATTTAATACTATATGAACATGAACATGAACATGAATACTAAGCATCCCGTACCGACCCTTCCTTATCCTTAGAATATACAAAGTACTATGGAACTAATCAAACCCCCCACAATCACCTGACCGCTCGCCCCTCCAAACTTTTTCCCTTCCATCGATAAGTAAAAGTAAAACCCACTTTCCGATAGCCATCTACCATACAAGTTTATCTACCCAGGCACACATCCCCCTCTTCCTACCCCCCACAACATAACCCAACAACAAACACACAAACACACAAACCAAGAAAGAAACAAGAAACCAAAATGGCCGACGAATCCCTCTCCATCTACGACGAGATCGAAATCGAAGACATGACCTACGACCCCGCCCTCCAGATCTACCACTACCCGTGTCCATGTGGCGACCGATTCGAAATCGCCATTGATGATCTGCGCGACGGCGAGGATATTGCCGTTTGTCCGAGTTGTAGTTTGATGATTCGGGTGATTTTTGATGAGGTATGCTTGCCCCCACCCTTCCCTGTCTTTACTGTGTGTGGGGTTTGGATTTGGGGAGTGGTTTGGAATGATGGCTAATGGGATTTTTGTTAGGGCGATCTTGCCAAGGATGGGGATGATAAGTCGGCGTCTGGGGCTGTTGCGGTGCAGGCTTAGGGGTTTGGTAGAGTGAGGGTTGGTTTATATGAATGATTGGATAGGGAGATTGGATCTTGCTATGCGATAGGCAGACAGGGTTGCGACAGACTTGCTGCTGGATGCAATGATGCGCCGGGGTAGCAGGGCTGTGTCGATGAGCGTCGAGGGAGGTGTATCGGATATACGAGCTGCTATGCATGCTCACCCCGCTAAGCTACGGCGCCATGAGGCGCACGATGCAGAGCCGATGCCGCGCCCAGAAGGCGCATTTGATCGTCGGTGCGCTAGATGCTTCGCTTGGTTGGAAGCTTCACAAGAACTTGTCATGTCTTATCTGCGCAAAGTACTCCTACGAGTACTACTGCCGAAGTGTATTATCTACCAGACTGAATAGCACACAATCATATCCTACAAATCCTTCCTCAACAAGTATGCACCATATCTCGTATCTCAGCACAGGAGTTACTCAACCTCACTGTACACATCCTTCGGCAAGTTCAACGTCAACTCATGATTCAACAGATCCGTCAAGTTCGACCCATCCCGGAGATACACCCACTGTCCGTGCACAAACGGCCGCGACTCCTGCTTCTCGTACATGCGATCCCCCTCCACGACCCAGTCGTACCGCTTGGGGCCGGAAATCGGCGAACTCAGCCAGATCTGCTTGTTGGGGGGCTGCTTGTTGAGCACGTAGGTGCCTACTCCGGGGACGATGATGTTCATGACGCCGGCCTATTCAACCTTATTAGCCCGTTGTCTCTTTTTCTTGCTTTGTTGGTATGCGATGAGAAGGAAATGGAGGGGACGCACACTATACTCAGCCTCCATATCCGATCCCGTCTCCTGGAGATTCTCAATCTCGGTCTGCACCACGTTCAGATAATGTTCCGCGTACTCGTGGTACTGGCCGTCCGTCAACGGGGACGGTTCGGTGACGTGGGCGGCTGCGCCGGCGACATTGTTGGACTGGGGGTTTGGGGCCGGGGGATCCGCGGAGTCGGGGAAGATGCCTTTGCGAGGGACTGGGGTGGAGTGGAAGTTTTGACGGGGGTGCTGCTGCTGCTGCTGCTGCTGCTGCTGCAGGAAACGGGGTGCTGCTGCGAAGCGGGCGGCGACGCGGAGAGAAGGTCGGGCGACGGCGGGGGAGAGGATTGCTCGAGGGAGACGGGACATGGTTGATGGGATGGGATTCATATTGAGGTTGTGGTGGATGCGATTAAGGGTGGTGGAGATGATGGAAAATCGAGGAGGAAGAGGAAGAAAGAAGTGATGGCATCACATCATTCATGCGGAGCTGAGCGGCCTGTCATTGGCTGAGCGGAGCTATAGCTCGGTCGTCTCCGCTTACTCGTGAGTCTGACAGCTGCTTTCTTTTCTTTCTTACATCTATCGACAGCTATTGGCAATTACCTTGCAGATAGCTACGCAGTCCTCACTGAAAGTGACCCTTTTTAGACGTTCGCTGCGCTGACCGCCTCCGTTTGACGACGACCACCACCATCACTGCATCAATATCAATCGCATCACCCCTCGATGCTCCTCTGCAGGCCCCTCCGGCCCTGCATCTCAATTCATTCACCAATACCAATTCCAATCTCAATAACAACATCAATTTACCCCATCCGATCCTACCACCACCATCACAATAACCACCAAACCATGTCCGCCCCCAAGAAAGAAAAGCGCCCTCCCCTCACCCACTTCCTCTGCCTCCCCCTCATCAACACCACCTCCCTCCCCCAACTCGAATCCTCCCTCGCCGCATTCAAAGCCTCCATCCCATCACTCCCACCTCCAGACCCCTCCCACCACCACCCCCTCAAACCCCTCCCTCCCCCCCAACCCTTGATCCCCCCCTCCGCCCACCGCCCCGTGGGTACCCTCCACCTCACCCTAGGTGTCATGAGCCTGCCCACTCCCGAGCGCTTAACAGAAGCCCTCGACTTCCTACAAACCCTAGATTTGATATCTATGCTACGAGATTCAAGCCCCTCCACAATCTCAACCACGACCCCGAACGAGACCCCAGACCCAACCCCAGAGCCATTGCTCATTTCGCTGAAATCGCTACACGCCCTTCCGCGCGGTAAAGCCGCTACCGTCCTGCACGCTAGTCCCGTCGATCCTACTTCACGATTATATCCCTTCTGCGTGAAACTTCGAGATGCGTTCCTCGAAGCGGGGTTCTTGGTGCCCGAGGCAAAGAAGAGGAAGTTGTTGTTGCATGCGACGGTTGTGAATACGATTTATGTCAAGGGGAGGCCGGGACGGGGTGGTGGTGGTGGCCATGGGCGGGGACGAGGGGGAAAGGTACCAGCTGGAGGGGGCGGGGGGAAGAGGAAAGAGCAGTATTCATTTGATGCGAGGGGGTTACTTGCGCAGTATAGGGGGTATTCTTCTGGGGTGGAGGGGGAGATTGGGGGGAGTGATACTGTTGGGGAGGGGGAGACGGGGAGTGAGGATGGGGAGGGGAGTCAATTGGGTGAAGGGGAGAATGAAGAGAAGGCATTCGTCTGGGCGAGGGATTTCCCTATCGAGGCGGTGACTATTTGTGAGATGGGGGCGAAGAAATTGGAGCCGGATTTGGGAGGAGAAGATGGGGGAATGAATGCACGGTTGGGGGAGAAGTATCGTGTTGTGGGGGAGAAGAGCTTGCTCTTCTAGGGTATATCATGATGTTCAATAATATAATATGATGAACTGCATGAATTGCGATGAGAAGAGTAGATAACATGTAGCACGGACACCAGGATCCAAAAGTAGATAGAATCAACTAATCTAACGAACATACCCTAGGCTATAACACCAAACGCCTCGCTGAAAGACACCCACCACCCCATGCCCATGCACCTCTCTATCTTCGCAACTCCACTTCCGCAGCTACCGCACCTTACTCATAAGCGTCTCCATCCCCCTCTCGACCGACAACTCCGCCGCCTTCACCTTCACAGCACTAAGCATGCTACGTTCGAAATCATCCCGCGTACGCAACACCGCCTCCACCCACGAGAGCTGCAGATCCCAATACTCCGTCTTGAAGCTCTCGTACACCGAGACCAGCGTCGGGCCCTTCTCCGATTCCAGCAGACGGACCAACCAGTCAACCAGACGCCATTTCTGCTTGATCGTGCCGGCGAATGAATCGGGGTAGTTCTGGAAGAAGGCGAAGACGGTGAGGACGTCGTCCTTGAATTTGTCGGTGTAGGGGTCGGTCTGGTGGCGGAATTTGACGCTGCGGTTGCGCACGGAGGAGAGGTAGCGGACCAGGAGTTCGTCGGAGAGTTCTTCGACCAGGATGTCGGTGAGGGAGGGGTGCAGGACGGGCGAGTAATCCGCCATGTAGTCTTCGAAGGTGGAGGTGATTCGTTTGATGGCGAAATCACCGTACCATTTCTGGGTGAAGAAGTCCGGGATGGTGCTGCGGAAGTCGACGGCGAAGATGACTTCGACGAATTGCGTGAGACAGTAGGTGCTGAGATCGACGTAGCCGTCGCGGAGGGCGTCCAGTTCCGGGATGGCTTGTGAAGCCATGTATTTCGGGTCGACGATGGTTTCGAAGTCGCGCTTGAAGCGTGTGAGGTAGCCGAGCTGGCCGGTTTCTTCGTTGTCGTCGATGCAGGCGATTTGGTCGTTTGCCACGGCGACGAGCCAGTCTTGGAGGAGTTGGAGGCCGTCGAGTTGGTCGCCGCCGGGGGCTTTGTATTTCGCGCATTCTTCGTCGATGAGGGTCTGCCAGGCAGTCTGGCGGCCCTTGAGGACCCGGAACATGGCGTCGATGATGCCCTCCACGACATCCGTTCGGGAGGAGGCCCCCGAGGCCATGATCTGCTCGTGAAGCATGCGCCACATGTCGGGGAGGGTCTTGGTGCGGAAGCAGCCCTCCGGGTTGGTGTCCAGGGAGTCGGGGATGCGTTCGACGAATCCCTTGCGGTCGGTTTCGGCGATGCGGTTCGTCCAGTCTTCCACCGCGCGGATGATGATGTTCTGCCATTGCCGGATGAGCTCGGGCTCGCGGTCGTCCAGGATGTTGGGCTTGAGGTCGGACTGTTTCCAGCCGAGCTTGTTCATCTTCTTGTAGTATTTCTCGGTCCAGTGAATGATGGCCAGCAGGTTATCGGCGGGAAGCTCCGGGTCATTGATCAGTCCGATGAAGAAGTCGTGCATCATCCGATGGTAAATATCCGTGTAGGTCTTGTAGATCTTCCACTTCTTCGGCATCAGCGATTGCATGCCCTGCTGAACGGTGTAGAGGTCGTTGAAGAACCATCGGAAGCTCTTATCCAGCTGGTCCGGCTCGGCCAGGAAGTCTTCCTTGGTGGCTTCGAACTGATTCTGCGCGTAAAACTCGATCGCCTGCAAGAACTTCTCCTTATATCCCCTCACTGTCTTGGGTCCCACATTCATCGACTTGAACCGGTCCGCCAGATCCTGATGGTCTTTCTGCGCCTCCTGCAGCGCCCGCACCGTGTCATCATTCTTCTCCTCATTCATGACCACGACGGCCAGCCGAACCACCATCCCGGGGTTATCCGACTGCACCAGCGGGATCAAGTTCATGCACGCCGTTCCAAGATGGTCATCAAACCAATCAATCACGGAATCCAATCCCTGGAAGTAATCCGCCAATGTCTCCTCACTACTCGGATCCTGCGCCTTGCGGATCTGATCCATCGCCTCATCTCTGAAATCCCGCAGCTTCGAAATATGCATATGAGCCCGCAGCAGATTCGGCTGATTCTCCAAATCCTCATCATCCTCCCGCAAAAGATCCTCCACCACCGCCAAATCCTCACTGAAATTCTCCAGCCCCTTCTTCATCATCAACGTCGCCTCAAAGTTCCTCTGCACCTTGGCCAGCCGGTCAATCTGCGAGAAATCCTCCACGCTGGTCTGTGACTCCGCGCATAGCTTGTCGATGCCTTGCAACTCGTCCTTGGTCTTGGAAACCTGCCGCTGACCTTCGGTGAGAGCGTTGATGCTGCGCTGGACGGTTTCTAGCTGGTCGCGGAGACCTTCTCGGAGCTGGGCGTCGACGGCGGCTTTCTTGCGCGAGTATTCGGCTTTCAGGCCGGTGATCTTGTCCAGGTCTTCGGGGTGTCGGAGGATATCCTCGAGACGGGGCATGGCCACCGTTCCGTTGTTATCTTCGCCGCGCGCCATGCTGTATTGCTTCTAGCACGATGAAAATAACAGTTCCGTACTCGGTCGAATCATCCACAGTCGAGTTAACAGGTAGCCAAGCTCCGAGGGGTATAGTCGGTCGACGAGGTGCCTTAGAACCGTGGATTTCAATAGCCAGACAATAACAATTCCAAGGCTACCGTAGCAACCACAAGTCGAGTATCAGAATCCGCAGAGATCCAAAAGCCACCAGTGGTATAGTACAAGTAGATCGTAAGCTCCCCTCCAACGCGCAGCGCTTGAACGAAGGGTATCTGCAAATACCACCAAACATTAGCCAAGACCACTCACACAGCTGCACAAGCAAAACACAAATCTCACCAATGGCTCACTGAGCCTCTCTAGCTCTGAACACAATCGACGTCTCCACGTGGAAGTTGCACCAGACATACATACTGTATCCAGAAGGCTGGAAATAGATGCCACCCGCTCCTCCGCCCGCCGGCAGAACCACCACGCACGTGACTCCCCGCCCTCTCAACCGCTCGGGAATTTTGCGGATGTCCATCAAACTATCAGCCAGCTCGATACCTACTATCTACCTCGAGAACCCACACGAGCCTCCACAAGACAATACCAAACCGGAATCCCTCCCCAGATCCCAATATCTCACCCAACAAAACCCATCCACCCACAATCCACAGACCATCCCACCAAACCCACCACCAAAATGAGCAGCTACTTCCGGATCACCCTCATGCGCTCAGCAATCGGACTTCCGCGGCGCACGCACGACGTCCTCAAAGCCCTTGGCCTGAAGAAGCGCATGGCAACCGTCTTCCACCCCGTGTCGCCGTCCGTCGCCGGTAACATTATGAAAGTCAAGGAGTTGGTGGAGGTGCAGGAGGTGGATCGTCGGTTGACGAAGCAGGAGGTGCATTTGGAGCGCAAGCCGGATCCGGGATATTATGTTGAGAAGAGGGCGGGGACTGAGTTGAGGGAGTGTAGACGGGCTTAAGCTGAGGTGAATGCTTGTCGGATTTCGTCTGGGGATGATGGGTGCTGGGATGGCTGTGCTGTGCCTGGTTTTTGACCATGCTTGGTTTATTGCTTGCTGCTGGTTTTTGTTTCGATTTATTTGCGATTGGAGTCGGGGTTTATGTTGATTTGGTCGATTATCGGGCACGGCTTGGCACGCAGGGAATTGTTGAGTGGTGGTTGCATATACCGGTCGATTTATGCTGGTATGGGCCTTCTTCATATGAATAAGGGCAGGGTTGGAAGTGATTCGAGCTTCTTTGCATCCAGCGGTTTTTCGTTTGTCACTAACCAGCCCGACATTGTGCGGCTTCGGGCTGGTTCGGCTTTGCATTGTACTATACTATACATACACTGTCATATTATGAATGGGATCAAACCTGGAATGTCTTGTCTTGTCTTGTCTTGTCTTGTTTTATAAGAATATCTACTCCATGATGGAGTTGGAATGCAACGCCAGCCTATACACCATAACACCGATGACCCGCTATTGCAGGGCTTTTTCTTTCAATATGTATTGACAGTGGAGGTCTTCAATCAACATCTAAGCTTTATACAGGGTGTCAAGGAAGCCCTCGGCCAGGCGGCTGACAATACTCTTGTCCGGCATGCTGCCAGCCACACCATACAGCGCAGCCGTATCGCCCCGCTTGACGACATACGCCTTACCTTGCTGCTTTCTCTCTTCCGCCTTCGCCAGTTCCTTCTCCACGACCACGACCAGGTCAGTGGTGAGCGCATCAACGGCAGCGGACGTGGGCACAGTGAATGCGACGTGGATCGCCGGGGGCGACTGCAGGGCATTGAGGTGCCAGCCCTTGGCAGAGAGACTGTCCGCAATGTCGTAGACATCAATGGCCTCGTTCGTGCTAGCGAACGCGACAACACTGACCATGGGCTTCCCGACAATGCCCAAGTTCTTCGACAGGACCGGGTGCTCCTTGATCGCTGCTTCAAACTTCTTGGCCGCACCCATGATCTCCAGGCAGCTCTTGATGTAGCCAGACTCTCCGACACTCATCAAACTAGCCCAGCATCCGGCGATCAGAGCACCGGGCCGAGATCCCGCCACAGACGGGGATGCGTAAACACCACCGGACCAGTCAGGGTAGATGAAGTATTGGTAGCTGCGGTAGACCTTGTTACGGTACAGGAGCACCGAGTTGCCCTTGGGGGCAAATCCATACTTGTGCGTGTCGACACTGATGCTGGTCACACCGGGTTGGCGGAAGTCAAAGCCGCCCTCCTCTTCGTACGGCGACGGAAAGCCGGCCTTCTTGAGGAAGGCAATAACAAAGGAACCAAGGCAGCAGTCGACATGCAGAGGGATCTTGTAGGCAACGGCCAAGCGCGATAGAGCCGGGATATCATCAACGATTCCGTGAGGGAAGTTGGGGGCAGAGCCGACAATCAAGATGGTGTTCGAGTTAATCAACCGACGGACGGAGGGGATGTCCACCTTGTAGTCGGGAGCCGGGCAGGGAACGCGATGGAGCTTGATCTTGAAGTAGTTGCAGGCCTTGTAGAAAGCAGCATGAGCAGTATCGGGAATGATCCTATGTTTGTGTCAGAAACGAAATATGTATGATAGGTCTTACACTCACATCTCTGGCTCCGTCACACCTCGTTCGAGGAAAGCCTTCTGGCGCGCACCCAAGCAAGCCATGATGATCGACTCCGTACCGCCACTGGTAGTAACACCTGCGCCATCAGACGGGGCATTGAACAACGCCATGACCTGCGTCCAAGTGAGCCCATATCCATCTCAAGCCCGGGGCATACTAACCATAGCCACGACCTCGGCTTCCATCTTCCGAACACCAGGGAAAACATCGGGGTGGATGGGGTTCGCAACACCGAATTGTCCAAAGGCCTCTGCCTGAAGCTTCAGGAGATCCTGTCCACCGTGATACACAGCACCGCTAACACGACCATCTTCCCAGCGCGTGTGTTCCATACCCGCCAGCTTATCCAGCTCAGCGCGAACCTGCTCGGCCGTCCATCCTTCCTTAGGAAGGTTCAGATATCGTGTAACACCAGGTCCACTGGCGATGAGCTTCGACTCAAGGCCCTCGATTGCCGTGGAGACCTGCTTATCGACCTGGCCGCGGACACCGGGGAATCGCAAAAATACCGAATAGAAGAAGAGACGAACGGATGCGTAGACATTGCGGATGCTGCCAAAGATGCCATAACCCCGCAAAGAATAGAATGTCTTGCGGACGTAACGAAGGATAAACAGGATAAACACAATATTCCGAAGACTGTTTCCAGGTGATCGACAAGTTAGCGTAGAGTTCGAAAGAAATGCCCGACCAGAGGGTCTCCGCTGGGGCGCGGGGCGATGGAATGCTGCTCGAGCACTTACAGGTCCAAGGGTAAAGTCACCAGCTGGGTGCCGGGAGCCCGGCTGTAGCCCAGTAGTTTATTCTGCAGGGCGGCAGGGAGTAAAGACGATGCCATAATAACAGTATGAATGTACAAGAAGTCGCGGGGTCGGGGAAGGGCGCGACGACCTCCAGGAATGGGGGAACTGGGGAAGTGAAGGTCGCCGGTCGGATGATGCAGGAAACCGAGCCGGCGCGATAAGAGCCAACCGCGGCCGGCTGCCTCGGTTCCCACATGCGCACCTGCTCAAATCCTACGGGATTATCCCATGACCTACTACTGTCTGGCCCCACGATAATTTGTATCCTGTATATTGTAGGAAATATAGCTGCGTATGTACAGGGTCCACCAAGCGGACCAAGGGCTTCCTAACACCGACCTCCCTCTTTTTTTCCATCAGAGACAATGAAAAACTTTTGAAAACCCCGTGGAAACCGAACAAACCATCCTGAGACACATAAACATCCATTCATAAAACAAACACGCAAACACGAACGTCTTCCACCAAGGGAGCCGCTAAAAGGTATGATCAAAGCTCTAAAAACGATATAGACGGTCTATCCCAATCGGAATATATGCAAATTAGAAAGAAACCAAGGCGACAGCAGGCTGAAGCTTGCTTAGAGAGCACCCTGGGCAGCCAGCTCCTTCTCCTTGGCAGCGAACTGAGCCTGCTCGTCGGCCGTGAGGTCAAGGAGGGGCTTGTTCTCACCCAGCTTGAGGTTGCGGTAGTAGGCACGGATGATGCTGTCAGCATCATCAACGGCGATGGGGCGGATGTCAGCAAGAGCCTTGATCTTGGCAGTGCACTCCTTGTACTGGTCATCCGTCATGGTGATGTTGAGCTGCTGGGCACGCGACTTGATCGCGTTCCAGCCGGTCAGACGAGAGGCGAAGTGGACGTATCTCGACATGCCGAAGTCGGCAGGGTTGATGATCTCGTAGGTGCTGGGGTTGTTGAGGATGGCCTTGGCGTGGATACCGGCCTTGTGGGTGAAGGCGCAGAAACCGGTGATGTAGTTGTTGAAGGGAATGTTAACCTCAACGGCCTCGGCAACGAGGTCCTCGATGTCCTTGAGCTTCTCGAGCTTGTACTTGCTCTTGACGTATTCGGGGTCGGCAACCATCATGCGGGCCATGAGACCACCCAGGGGAGTGATACCGTTACGCTCACCGATACCCAGGACGGAGGTATCGACGTGGGTGGCACCGGCCTCCAGGGCACAGTAGGCGTTGGCAATGGCACAACCAGTGTCGTTGTGGAAGTGAGTCTCAATGTCACATCCGACGACACCCCTCAGGACACGGACGAGCTCGTAAACCTGGCGGGGAGAAGCGCAGCCGACGGTATCGGCGATACCGACACGGTTGACACCAACCTTGTCGACGGCGGAGTAGATGGACAGGAGATCGACGAGGTCAGAGCGGAAGGAATCCTCGCTGGAGAAACGGATCTCAATGCCCTTGGACTTGACGAATTCGATGACTTCGATGGCGGTGTTCTTGATGTAGGTCATGTCCTTACCGTGGGAGTGCTCACGGAGGTAAGAAGAGGTTCCAATGACGACATCACTTGCACGGCGTTAGCGGTCGAATGAGTTATACAGGGTAATATATCACTTACACTCCATCGACACCGGTCTCGACGGCGATTCTGGCATCGTCCATGTGGCAACGGATGTGGGTGAGGATCTAATTCAACAGTCAGGATCTAGTATAGGCGACTCGCTGCAGCGATTTCAACATACCTTAGCCTTGAGGCCAAGCTTGCAGATAGCCTCGCAGTCCTTTCTCGACTGCTCCGAGGCGCAAGGGCTGGTAAGCTCGATCTAAGCTGGTGGTCAGTGCACGCTCTTTTCGATCGCCCGACATCATCCCCGGGCATGACTCACGTAGTCAACACCGAAGTCGTCCAGAGCCTTGGCGATTTCGATCTTCTTCTCGGTGTCGAAGAAAGCGTTGGCGAACTGCTCACCCTCACGCAGGGTACTCTCGATGATCTGGAAGCGGGAGACATTGCTCAGGAAGTCGGTAACACCGACGTTGTGGCCGTAGGGGTTGCGGGAGGCGGAAGGGTGGGGGTTCTGGCGAGTCTCAACGGCAGTGAAGCCGGGGTGTTCACCTTGAGGGATCAGTCAGTACGGGCACTGGCGCTTCATCCGGTTGCAAGATGCAGTCATACCGTTGGCATTGGCGCCATTGGCGGCCTGCCCATTGGGCTCGTGGTCGGCACCGGGGCACATTGTAATGGAATTGATGGTGGGGTAGTAAGTAGATAGATCGGTATAGTAGAAGGCTGCTGCGAGTGACGGTTAGAGCAGGGAAGGAAGCAGGAAAAATCAGGAAAAGAGCAGATATATGAGGAAGACTAACAGCAATGACCAGGACTGAGTCACGTTCGATTTATATGGAAAGATGTCGTCGAGGAAATGCAGGGAGGAGTCATAGGTAGGTCCAAGGAGAAAGAAAAGTGGGTGGGGATGAAAAGGCGGGCGGTCTAGTCCTGATTCGCCGATGATGACTCTGACTCTTACTCTTTCTCCGTCGGCCGGTCCCTCGCTGCGGCAACGAACGAAATTTTCACTCGGCCACCGCCGGGCTCGTCTTCTTTTTTGGTCGGCTCTGTGGGGAACCTGGACCGTTCACTGCGCATCCGGCAAGCCCCAATTGCTCAGCGTGAGGATCTTTCCCCAGTCCCCGATGGGCTCAGCCAATGCGCTGTACGGAGTAGACCGTTCCCTTATCGAAGTCCGTCACAGTCCCTAACTGGGCTACGGGGAGTCTGGAGGCTGCTACGGCGGCTACGTGGATTTGCCACTGGAGGGCAGGCCAGCAGCCCGACAGTATCATTATTGGTACAGGTGGTCGATCTTCGTTTAAGCGTCCTATCACTGTTCCGCAGGGCTTTTCCTTTCAAGTAGTGAGGGTTTGCCTCTAGGGTTGGCCTCTGCTAGACAAGACTGGGTTAGCTGGACCCGACATCGGCAGGGGGCTTCCCCGAGATAGCGTCTCCATCGCCGCGTCGAGATGGCAACGATTGATAATCGCCCTTCCACCAAAGTCCTGGGAACCCTTACGATTGGTGAATTCCAGCTACTGGTCTCCAAGCAACCTGGCAACCATATCTAGACGACTTCGTAACCTGAATTATAGCCATGACTAAAGTAGGCCCCTCTTGGGGTAGGGGAGGGGGTCCTGTTTGCCTCAGGTGGTTCCTGTGACTTGAGTCACATCAGGTACGTCACAGGCCGCCGATACCGCCCTTGATTTTTATTTCCTGGCCTTTCGTTGGCCGGCCTGATTACCTCATGCACTATCGCCCAATTAGGAAACTTACTGCAGATCGGCCCTGCACCGGCGCTGTTTGCATTAGTCCACTTTTGGTATGGTCTAGACCACCCATTCCTTATCCGGGTTGCCAGATGTATCGGGCTGATGCCATCTCTATCTAGTACTCGGCAGTTGTACCTGGCCCAGTCAGCGATAATCATCGTTTACTAGACCGGGCGGCATATGATCTTCAGTTAATCAAATGTGGAGTTAGAGCCAATAATATAGTACGCTTTGGAACAGAACGATCCCAGGCCTTGCTGTTGCAATATCCGGCATTGGTTTATAGAGTGCTGACAAGTAATATATATGCATGACTAGTCCATATTGCATGACGAACTAAATTCTGGAATAAAAGGGCTTTAGGCATGGCTCCTGACTATTCACTCTTTTGAAAGGTAACATCCCTATCTCGGTCCAATGACATGGGTACCCCGGAACTTTTAGATCGCGGAAATCAAAGTCTAGTGATGTGCAAACCAATGACACCAACAATAGGAAGAAAGTATAGTATTAAATGAAGAAAGTAAACTCACATAGCAAAGATAAATATGAGTAGTGTCCTATCACTACCTTACTCACTATTATACTTTACTGTGGGAAATCATATAGGTGTCTAGTGCTGTCTGTTAATTGTAGTTTCTAGGAAAATAACAAGCCGAACTCTTTCTAACAAATCCCATAATGTGAAAGCGTGAGGGTAAGGTCCATAACGACAGGCAGGAAAGACAGAAGTCTAAAGAGACCTCTACTTGAATAGGCAGAGGGCTGGCAGTACGCTACGGACGGGATGAGACGGCATTGCAGAGTTGCCTAGCAGGCGGTATCCTAGCTATAGTGCATAACAGGGTTCTGCAATTCCAAGTCATGAATACCAAGCCCTGGCCTACTAACAGATATGGCGATATAGGTAACTATAGGTATTGTTTGGAATTGTATATGAGGACATCCGCATGTTCGTGACGGATGCCTAGACTCGAGGTCGTAGTCGCAGGGGTCAGCTGGTCATTGTGCTGCTTGAGACCTTGATGGGTAGGTAAAGTCCCAGTAATAACGGCCTGCCCACTATTGCTTCCATGAGCTCGGCTAACCTGGGGATTAACAGAGGGACCAGGCAGATGGGAAAGCAACGTTTATTAGTCGAAATTAGGGGGCTATAGATGCTTGGTGAGATGTTGAAACAACAACGAAACATGTAGTCACGATAGAAGGGTCAAGACCCTGGACACCTACACATTGGGGATGTTAGATGCGTTTTGGACAGAGTCCTGGCTTGAACACACAAAATTGAGGGCGGGGTCCTTAATCGCAATATAGAGACCATGGGATCATGAAAGCATTTAACTAGTGTGTCAAAAGCTAGTGTCTGCAAACGAAGGTTTCGAAGTGTGAATGTCTCGGGTGACTATGGAACAATCAGCATATTGCACCGTCGAGAGGAACCAACAAACCCGAATTAAGACATTTATCTCTGCCATTTCAGTTCAGTGGGCCAACTAGGCACCATATATCAGCTTGAAGGGGGAGCTTTTGAAATCCTAGGTAATGTTTGATTTCATTGACATGTGCAAGATTTAGACCTAGCCTATTGAAAACGGTGATCTGAAAATAACTGCTTCTTTAGCTATAGGAGATTGAGAATGGACCCGGCATGTTTGGTGCGACGTCTATATCATGGACTGGCGGACCAATCCATTCCTCTTTCCATGTCGACCGAAGTATCCTTCGTGCATTCAACAGAGCAAGCCTTGATGACGAGCTCATTCGTACGAAGCTTGCAATCCACTTTAATTTGCGTTCGAGCCCATTGGAGCTTCGATAGTCTTCTCAAAGTACTGACTGTACCCGGAAGTGCCTGAACTCAAAATGGATTGTCGTGGCCTTGGATTGGTGCAAGAGAGCAATCTAGTTCTGAGACAGCACTAGGGCCGCGGCACCCACTGCCCAAAGCGGCTTTCTTCACATTGATTCTGTGACCCACTCCACTTCCATTGCCTCTGGTATTGGAAATTGCATTCCTCAATTCAGATCAGATAACAACACTGACATGTCCACCCACTCGGTCGGCAACTCTTCGATGACCGGTGCGGGTGAAAAGGATTCCTTCGGTTGTTCGGGACGGTGCCTAGTCAGGCCAGCATCCTAGCTATGCATCTGCAATAATAAATGATTCAGACGAGAGGTTATGCTCATCTCCCTCGAGCATGACCGCAGTATCGTTCCGACTCTTCGGGACGAATTGAGGTTCGAACAAAGCCAACCGTCAAACCCCTCGCCCTACACTCCTGCAGGATTGAGTGTCTTTGAACCGTAGAGAAAGGAAGTGATTACTCCGGTTGACCCCGGTAATTTTGTTAGTATGGTGGAGCGGTGCAGGGGGTTAAATCCTTCTAATTTTACTGTTTATAAACATGATTATTAATATTTTGTATGGCCACCTTCCGTATCAACCACTACCTAACATCTTGCAGGCATACTATCAATTAAATTATCCAAGAATACCTTTAGTAAAGTATCCCACGCAGCCCGTACAACCTTATATAGTTGATTATATAACAACTACTTATCCTGGAGGAAATAATACTCAATCTAGTCTTTGATCCAGTTCCAAACGGCCTCAATTAGGTTGAGATCTGGTGAGAATGCTGGCCAAAGTATTGGAAAAATTCCACACTTATTAAATTCTTGAATAGTAGCTCTACTTACATAACTAGGAGCATTATCTTACATTAACTGAAGTTATTAATGTTCGTTGCGTTCAACCAAGCGTATGTAACTATCAATAATAGAAACAATACAGTTGATATAACCTTTAATATTAATAGTATCCTATTCTTTCTTCTAAAAGAGGCACGGCCCTTTAGAATTACTATAGAAAGATGCCCAAAACATCCAACCATATTTACGTGGTGGATTTGTACAGAGACAAATCTTATTAAACTCCTCACTAGCCTTGTGAATCATGTATATCCGTTTATAAAAGCCTGAAATTACCCAGGTCTCATCAGTCTAAAGTATTCAATTCCACTAATCTCAGATCCAGTATAGGTGTTTAAAAGTCCAGGCTAACCTTGCTTATTTATTTACTAGAGTAAGAAGTAACTTTCAAAATACTTTACAGCGTATATAACCTCTCTTTTTTAAAAAATATATTAAAGCTGTTACTCCAACAGGAAGTTCAAGTTCTTTAATAACACGATAATATGGCAGCTAACGCGTACGCTTTAAACTTGATATCTATTATATAATATGATTAACTTCTTTATCCAAGAACTTCGATGCATTGCCTTTTACTTTACGAGGTATAATTTATTGATTTTAACACGTATATTAAACTTAGTAATAACTAATCTGTAACTAATTAACTATTTATTAATAGGTAAATCTAGTATTACAAAGAATAAGAATATAGATACAATCATCACGTATTAGGCGTTTTGAATTCATTTTCAAAGAGGTAGATTCAGGAGAGGTAGGGTCAGGAGTAGAAGGCATCTTTAAAATACTAAAAATCAGTAAAATACATTATTATTTTCGTGATTCATGAGTTTCAACTTCAACGCGGTGGCTAGCTATATTAGGCAGGCGGTGTTAGCTAGGAGACTCACCACTAGAAGGATTCAACCCCCTGCACCACTCCACCATACTAACAAAATTACCGGGGTCAACCGGAGTAAGCGGGTAGGCCCGGGACCCCGGACCCTCCCGCCTCTCCGCGGTAACCCACCACGCCTCCCACTCACTGCTTACTGTTAGATGACACCATCTGATAAGTAAGGATTACTTATTCTTCCACCTGGCTGAATAACAAATTCTAGATGCTCCGGATGCCCTGCGTAAGCCGTTTACTGATCGACCGGAGGCTCCCACTGCTCAGTGGCCAGAGGATCGGCCGGAGACTCCCACCGTGACGCTGACTTCAGGTGAAACGCCCAGACGGACGGTCCCACCAAGTACGAATTTATTACAAAGTACTACCGTGTTAGGAGACTGGTCTTGCTGTCAAGCTGACCTCAGATCGAAAACTCCCACCCAGTCCGTATTCGACTGAAGAAGACGCCGCTTGGACCCGACGCCGGACGGCTATGCTGACAGCAAATCAACTGATGGGATGGCATTTGACCCAAGTCTCCGGGCGCTCCCACGCCTCCTAAGAGGCCTTGGCCTACCAGCGCCGTTCCAGGTCCCGGTGGTGAGGATTTCGTCCCTCTCGGTATGATCCCATCGCTTGGTTGGCCTCGTGGCCTCTCGGGTATTTGCTGCTTTGCCTGCACGCTTGGATCTTCGAACCTCAGAGGATTTCTGAAGCATACGAGGAAAAGCTTCGCGAATATTCCCTGAAACAAGTTGCCTATGTACCCCGTTATCTATCATCCAACCGCTGGGGTCTCCTGCACCAGATCCCATGCATGAAGAAAAAGAGGTCTGCAATGCGGGACTAAGCCCTTAAGGTTGCTTGCATGTTACTCGGAGGATTGCACCGCATGGCTGCAACTACTAAGATCCGTAAGCCGCAATGTTTTCTTTCCCAGCCCTCAGCCCCAGCCCCCATCCCCCGTCCTCTCAACTGACTCTAATGCCTGCTCTTCAGCTGCACGAAGCCTCAATGGCTGCTGGACATGCCGTGTTCGTCGGAAGAAATGCGATGAGAACCGCCCCGCATGCACCAGGTGCATCTCCCTGGACCTGGAGTGTCATGGATACGGCCCGAGGCCGTTCTGGATGGACAATGGGGCCATGCAAAACGAACAGGCTTCGAAATTCCGGCATATGGTCAGTCAAGCCCGGTCAAGAAAGAGAAGGCAGAAGTTGCTCCTGTCGACACTCTCGCCGTCTCACAATCCTGGTAAGGACCCAAGTATGTGGACGTCTTGAGCGCCCGCACTAAGATGATTGCATACAGCCTATCCCGTCGTGCATGTCGCTCAAGGACGAGTGCCACGATCTCCCTCGAGACAGCGATCTAGCTACTTTGAATTCCCTGGCATGCAGTGCTCCGTCCCCACTCCAACCTCAATCCATCCCCACCACCGCAGGCCTCTCAATCTTTCTGGAGGAGGACTATGCCACGTCATCGCTGTTCTCTAAGAGCATGGAATGGGTGCCGAGTTCATTCTCACCCGCATCGTCTGTAGAAGGGCTGCTGTTAACCCCGAGCCTGCCTGAGCTGCACGAGCCCGGGATTGTATGGGGCATGGCGTCGGAGGATTTGGGGCTGACGAGTAAAAGCGCCCTGCCGGACCTGGATGATCTGATGTGGAGCGCATCTCTGGATGGTCCCCACTACCAGAAAGAGGCTCCTTGGACTACCGATTTGATCAACCGTAAACCAACGTCCGACACGCATTTGCTAGCGACTGTTGCCACCTGCGGACCAGCCACATGGTCAACGAGCCCCTCCGACCCAACCATGGGAGGAAGGACTGAGGATGAGTTGCTGATGCACTACCTGGATCGGGCTTTCTATGTCCAGTATCCCTTTTATCACACCCGGGATCGACAGAGACGAGGTTGGCTCTTGTCGCTTCTCCGGCGAGTCAAACCCGCGTACTATGCCAGCCTGGCGCTCAGCGAGCGCGACCTTCTCTCGACCTCGCTCTCCAGAGGTGAACTTCGGATGCGCTTGACTGAGCTGCGCGCCAAAGATGGCTATTACGATCTAGCCCTCCAAGGAATGCAGCGCATCATAGCCGGGTCATTTAGTTGGCATGCGCAGACGCAGCTAGCCAATATCTCTACTGCCTGTATATAGCTTCACTCCACCCCTTCAGCAGTCGTTCTTCTCGCTGCTACTTTGCGGGATTTCGTTGTCGCGTGCTTAACAATCACTACCCCAAAGCGAGCGACTCTATGCATTCTAGCGACTGGAACATTCGAGTGATGAGGTGAGCATCCCACCAGTCTTCCTTCCCTTGGCAATGATCGTGTCGGGTGGGCGCCGGCGGTAGAGCTAACCCGCCCCAGGATGATCGGGGCGCCAGCGACCGGAAGTATTCTTCAGCGGGTGACAAACCACCGCTTACGAGGGAATTCCTGGGAGAGAGTGGGAGCGTGGGAGAGGGAGAGTGGGAGAGCCCGCCAGCCCTAGTCGAGGGGCCGCAGTGGGATCCTCCGGCCCTAATGGATGACATCCTCGGTGGGAGACTCCGGTGTTTGCTCATCCAGGCCCGTTCTTACTTCTTATATGCCCGAGGCTGCTGTTTTTCATGATGTCTGAGAGAAGAGATAAGTCGGGTTCATCTTCACTTTTCGCCGTCGTTCGTGGGCGATCGTCTTGCCTATTCCTCCCTCCCCCCCTCACTATGACTTCCACCGATAGCAGAGAGGCTACCCTGATGAACTCAACCTACGACAAGGAAGAGGGCCAGCTCTCAGAAAAGTCCGCTGCCTCCAACCTGGATTCCGAGGACCAGCCCAGCCCCAAGGCGGAGGAAGGCGCTCCGCGCGAGATTGCGGGCTGGAAATGGGTCATTGTCGTCGTGGCCATCTACAGTTCCCAGTTTCTTTTTGCGCTGGATAACACCATTGTCGCCAATATTCAACCGACCATTGTGGAGGACTTTGATTCCGTGTCCAAGTTGTCCTGGATCAGTGTGGCCTTTCTCATTGGGGCGGCGTCGACGAATCTGGTCTGGGGACAGATCTTTGCCAATTTTAACGCCAAATGGACCTATATTCTGTGTATTTTGATCTTTGAAGTGGGCTCCGCTGTCTGTGGCTCGGCACCTACTATGAATGCTTTCATCGTCGGCCGTGCCATCTGTGGCTTTTCGGGAGCCGGCATGTATGTTGGATTGATGACCATGCTGGCCGTCACCACTACGATTCAGGAGCGTCCGACGTACATCGGCGGCGCTGGCTTCACCTGGGGTGTCGGCACGGTCTTGGGGCCCATCATTGGGGGTGCTTTCACCGACTCGTCGGCCGGCTGGCGGTGGTCGTTCTACATCAACCTGTGCATCGGTGCGGTCTGCGCCCCGGTCTACATCTTCATGCTTCCCAACAAGGATCCTCGTCCGGGCGTCCGTATCGGTGATCGCGCGCGTGAGATCGACTACCTGGGGGCGGTGCTGACCATTGGCGCCTTCATCTCGGGAGTCATGGCCATCTCCTTTGGCGGTGCCACTTACCCCTGGAACTCGGGCCAGATCATCGGTCTCTTCTGCTGTTCAGGCGTGCTCTTCACCCTGCTAGGCATCCAGCAGGGCATTCCATTCCTCACCACCAAGGAACGCCGTCTCTTCCCCGTGGAGTTCCTGCGTAGTCGCACCATCCTGATCCTGTTCGCCATGACCGCCGCGGGTGGCACCCTCATCTTCCTCCCCGTCTACATGTGCCCGCTCTACTTCCAGTTCACTCGGGGCGACTCAGCCCTGGAATCCGGCGTGCGTCTCCTCCCATTCATCATCCTGATGATCGTGGCTGTGATTGGTAACGGCGCCATTCTCTCGGCCCACGGTCTGTACATGCCGTGGTTCCTGGCGGGCGGTATTCTGTGTCTCATCGGCAGCGCCCTAATGTACACCGTCACGGCGACGAGCTCCATTGCCAGCATCTACGGTTACACGGTGCTGATTGGCTTTGGCGTTGGTCTCTTCTCACAGGCATCCTTCTCGATCGCGCAGGCAGTCGCCGAACCTCGCATGGCGCCGTCGGCCGTGGGATTCATCACCTGTGCCCAGATCTCGGGCTGCACGATTGCCCTGGCCATCGCTAATGCTGTCTTTCTCAACCAGAGTATCGAGGGCGTCCAGGCCATTCTGCCGGATATTTCATCTGCAGAGGTGGAGCAGACCATCACGGGAACCGGCTCGCAGCTTTTTGAGAATCTCACCCCGGCGGTCAAGCAGGAGGTGTTGGAGGCGATTGTGACGGCGCTGAACAATTCGTATATTTTGGCCATGGTGGCGGGTGCGTTGGTGGTGGGGTTGAGTCTCTTTCTGAAGCGCGAGAAGCTGTTCATTGCTGGTGGTGCGGGTGGGGTTTAGATACGTCGGTTGTTGGCAGTAGATGCATTTGGCTACAATGTACTTAGACGGGTGCATCTCGTGCAAAACGGATGCTTGGGTTAGAGATATGCATGGAATTCATGTGACGAATCTTGATGATCACTCTGCAGCCGCTGTACCCTCAGCTTGTCTCCTAGAACTACATCCATCATATCCCGGTCAGGGTCACCAACTACTAGATGAGACCATCAATCCATCCCCCAACGCAACTCCCATCTCCATCGCCCCGCCCACATACCAAGCCCTCAAAAGCCCCGAGCATCCACCGTCGCGGGCCGAGATCGGTCGTTTTTTCGGAGCTGATGGGATGGGGAAGGGTCTGGAGGGTGCGAATTTTCCTCTTGTGTGTGTTGTCTGTGTCGGAGGAGATTACCTCCTCCGCGGAAAACGGCAATTATTGCATGAATCCGGCAAGGCTGCGGTCCGGGCACGCACCGGACTGGTGCGGCGTATGTGATTTTGGATCCGGAGGCACCGGTGACTCGGAAGGAGTTTGTTGTTGAGGATGTGCAGGCGGAGTTTGTGGGAGTATAAGGTGAGGGATCTGCTGAGTGAATACACAGTGCTGACGCCGTCAAGCATGCATTGCGGTCGTTGATGAAATCCGAGATATTCCTCCGCTCGACCTTTGTCCCGGATGGAATCTCCTTCCTGCAGGTCGTTCCAAAGTCTGCCGACATCCCCTGGGAGACCTCCCAGAAGATCTCACGTCTCTTCTACGAGGCACGTCGCCCGTCCCGCGGCCCGTGTTCAGTCGCTACGCGGAGTACCTGCAGCAGCACGACGAGGGCGCCATGCAGACGTTCTGGAAGGGATACCTCGATGGTGGCTGCTACCTTGAATATTGATTTGAAAGGCACGGCATCCACCCTCAAGGTCACCCCAAGCATGCTCCTATATGCTTCCTGGTCCGTGGTCCTCTCTCTTACCACCACCTCCTCCGACGTCGTCAGGGGCGTGACGCTCTCTGGCCGTGAGGCCCCTATCCCCGGCATTCTACAAATGAGCGGCCCAACACTGATGATCGCTCCTCTGCGAGTCACGGTCGACAAGACCCGCTCATTCGAGGCGCACTGGGCAACCGTCCAGTCCAGGGTGTGGGATGTGGCCCGACATGCACCGTATGGTCTCCGCAAGATCCTCAAAGTCAGCCGTCAGCCAAAAGATCTGTTTGATACGACGGTCAACTTTCTGATCAAGGTGCCGATGGCGACTCCGGCGGGAGGATGGAGGGTATTGCCCGAGAAGAACTACGGCACGCATGATTATATCAAGCTGGAGCTGAGTCATGATCGTTTGGATCGGATTACGCTGTCGTCGACGCTGGAGCTGGCGTATGCGCAGATGCTGGTTGATTCTGTTGCAGATGTTTTGCAGAAGGCTTCCGAGGAGCCGCTGACCCAGGTTGGGCAGTTGAGCTTGGTGCCGTCGACCGGGAGGGTTAGTGGATTGTGGAATAAGGTTGTTGATGGACCGGTGGAAGAGGTGGACCCGGTCGAGTCGACTGCTGCAGACGAACTTGGACATTCCGCGGTCCATCGAATCGCCTGCTCCTATCCCTCGAGAACGGCCGTGGAAGATGCCTCCGGCAACAGTATCACCTATGCCGGCATGGCCATCACGGTCAACCAGCTCGCCGGTCTCTTGCGCGCCAAAAGCGTGGTCCTGGAGCAGGTGGTCCCTCTCCTGCTGGAGAAATCCATCAACACCATTGTGGCTATGTTAGGGGTCATGGTCTCCGTGGTGAGTACATAATAGATGGTTCGTTGGTCTGGCATTAGTCGGTAGGTTATTCATTGTTTTAGGTTTCGATGTAGATTATGTTTCAATACATTATTTGATTTACTCTATTAAGCTGAGATTGTCTACTGAGAATACTACGGTAGCCATCCTTTTTTATCTTATATGATACTCTTCTCAATGAGGTCCTTCGTCTTCTTCTAATAATTCGGTTATTTTTTCTGATCAATTCCAGGGTTGCAGAAATATCAACCTCTCAAATGAACTCACAGGTAGTAGTACTTCACAACGAGCATTACTTGACTGTTCAGGGACACGCGAGAGGACATCCATCTCTCCAGAAGAGTGCAGATATACTCGCCGTTAAAGTTCCCAGTCCCTAGTAGTAATAAGTACTGAAGTAAATCACCAGACTACCTTCTCCTCAAACCAAAAGTGCATGTATGGAATCTCACATCTTCATTCATTCATTCTCTCAACTATACCCCTCCACCCCCCTCCCATAAACCCCCCCCCAACCCCCACCTCATAATAAAATAAAATAAGACAAGGTAAGGAGGTATGGTATCACTTCCTCCCCACAACCACAAACCTCCTCACCCGCCACGCCACGCTCCCCCACCGCCCTCCCCAACAACTCCCGTAACACCGCATTCTCCTCCCCAGATACCTTACTAATCCGTTCGCCGAACAAGCCGAGGTAATTCCCCTGGTCGAGAATCAATACGTACGCGTCGGGGGTGGATTCGTCTTTTAGGACGTGCTGGAGGCCTTCTTCGGTGAGGGTGCTTGTTAGATGCACGGACCAGCTATCTCATTATGAGTATGAGTATATTGGTAGTGATGGGTACTAGGGGGGAAGGAAAGGGTTGGTTACACAGGTGTATTCGCTCGAAAGCGGGTATCAATCCGCTTCATTAATTCCTCCGACGTATTTTTCGGGGATCTCGTGGAGGATGTTCAGATGGTGTAGGGTTACTGGTGATGTCGAAGCCGTGTAGGGTTGCGGTGGGGTAGAGGCGGTGGAGGTCGAGGAGCCATATTCTGTTCATATATTTGGGTTAGTTTGGTTGGGGGTGGGGGGGTTTAATACCCAGTGCCGGTGCCGACGTCGGCGATGGAAATGTTCTTGGTGGTGTCGAGAGTGATGGACGGATGCAGTAGATGTAGTGTTGCAGGTTTAGTCGGGTGGAGGCGATCACGTCGCGGTTGAGGCGGTAGGGGTCGGTCATGATGCTGATAGAGTGGAGTATGAGATGATGATGATGAGATAGGGGAGTGGAATATGTCTATCTTATACATTTTATAGTCAAGATCTACCGTATGAAAGAGGGTATGCCAATCACAATACATACCGCTGAGCTCTCCCGCCGGTAGCTGCATTAGCGTTGCCGCAATGATAGACCGCGCGTGAACATCCTTTGACACCTGCAGAATACGAGCGCATGGCATGACGGGCCTCATCAACGCAACCTACCTCTTCAGCATCAACGAGCCTATCTCCCGAATCAACGGACTCGGCGAGGAAAAGATTGAAGCGTTGCGCAAAGGGCTCCCGTCGAAGGAGTTGATTGCCATGGACGTATGATAATGAGGAGGAGACGATACGGTGGGCCAAACGGGTCATGACGGATGATGAGGTCGTGGAGTGTTTTATTGTCCTCGGGATTTATACCACGATTGCGAGGATGACGAAGGGGTTGAGGGTGCAGATGGATCTCGAGATTCCGCATTTGGGGTGGGAGATAAGGGAGACGGTTACGAGGGGGGAGGGGGAGGGTTGTGGTTCTGTTATTGCCAGTGCAATGTGATATGTATGGAAGTAGAATCGTTTTTACGGTGTAAGGCTATCTAAAGGATGTACGTAGCCTGCCCCTGTGGACAGTAGCAGACCGTAGCAGGACTATATCTCACCAATCTATTCTTGAGAGACTGAACCAGTGGTATTCTGCAGCGATCAAGTGACAACTCTAAGAATGCTATTCTTATATTACCAATCAGGTATCTTCGATAGTAGGGTATAGACGCTAACACACGGACATCTCAAACTGATCCCAGAGTTTAAACCGCACATAATCATCAATCCGGCTGGATCCGTTCGCGTCCACCGGTCCGGCTTCCATTTCTTCCATGTCCCGAAGGAATCGGTCGATGTACTCCCCCGCACCGCTCAGATGAAGAATCCGGGCGATGGCATGATGGATCTGCAGCAGCTCCACGGAGGGCGGTTCGATCGTCCGGTTGGGCGTGAGATACAGCGTGCGAATGACCGGCAGCTTGGCAATCCGGAGCAACCGGTCTGGTTTGATGTAGTCGATCTTGTACGTGTGTGGGCCGATATGCTCGAAGCCAATTTCAAATTTACCAAATAACATGTGCAGCGTCTGTGTCAAGGTGAGTGCGTTCTTGGGTCGGTCAATGTCACTCCCACTGATGAGGGGAATGGCCTCGGGATTGAACATGGTGAGGATCTTATGGGCTATCAGCTTGGGCTCGGCCTGGAGAGCAAAGAGGGTAAGTGAGTGAACGGAACGATGGGCTTCGGGTCAGCGTCCGCACCAGCTGGGGTTCCCCGTCAATGCTGGTGAGTGACATCAGGGAATGCGGGATGATATGGGCTACTTCTAGAAAGGTCATCTCATCGCTCTCGGGCAACAGAGACGCGCCATCGTCATCTTTGAAGTCGGTTCCATCTCGGGATAGCCGACGATCCGCTTCCTGGATATCGAATTTCCGGGTGACCACACATCGGTGGCGGTCACGCACGAGACAGTCCCGCCGCAAAGTGGAGAGGCGTTGCGGAGTGCCAATCCCGCTGTTCGACAGTGGGGCCCGAGAAAGGGATGCCGGCGTCGGCTGGGGAGTCTTTGCAGCCAAGGCTTTCACTGAGATCGACAATTAGTGCATGCCCAGTCAGATATAGACCTGCACGGCTGGACGCATACACGGCAAGAAGAAATTATCCACCAGATACTCGGTGAAGCGGACCAGGCTTTCGCCGAGGGTATTCTGATCGTCGCGGGTCCATGAGGCAAACCCGTCCAAGTAGGATAGGATTGAAGCCAAGTCGGATGCGGCATCGTTCGAATCCCCATCTAAATGGCTTACGATGAATGAGAAAAACAGCTCGAGAAAGCTATCCGTTTCGGAGACCGCCTCCTACATCAATCGAATGAGAGTGACCGGCTTCAAGCCTTTGTGGGCCTTCTGCGCAGGCTCAAACTGCTGGATGATACGGTCGAACAGCCTCCGGGCTTTGTTCATGGTCTTCTCGCGGGAAAGGTTGCAATTCTGGAACGATGACCCCTTCCAATGATGTCCGGTGTCGATCATGTGGGGCAGCCATGGTTTCTCGCCCTCTAGAATCTTTACTCGGGAAAGCGAGGCATTTTGTCGGGACTGACTTTGAATATTACAAGGGGAGGAGAAGACCGAGCGGCTTGCTACAAAGAATCCCTCGGGTCGGCTTAACTATTCTCCCCCGGCCACACAACAGCCTCCCCTAGAGGTAGTAGTACTAGTGACTTCATAACGAACAATGTATTGATATTCAGGGACTGGGTCTAAATAGTAAGGCCATCCGTATCATCGGTGTCCACGACGACTTCCATCATTCAGGAGAAGAAGTATCCTCAGAATCATCCTCATTATCATCCTTATCATCCTTCCGCAGCCAGTCATAGACTGGCCACTTCTCTCGTTGGGCGTCGGTGATTGTGTCCTCTGTGTGCTTGTACTGAGCCTCAAGCCAGGGTTGCCATGGCCAGTCAATCCATTCTGCATACTGATCCGGATAACGGTAATGGATGTTCCATCTGAGAAGAGGGCTGATCGCCACGCCCGGAAAATATTCCTTCTCCAGCTCGGGAATGGCAGGGTTTCTGGATCGTCCGAGAGTGGACTTTCCCAGATCGATGACCACAACTCGCAATCTTCCGGAGCCGCTTCGGGTGAGTACCATATTCCGTGGGTGCATGTCTTCGTGGCGAACCATGTTGTCATAGATCGCGCACTCCCCATCCACAATTTGTTGGACAATCTCCTGCCGCTCTTCGGTGGTGAAGGTCTCGGGCTGCAGTTTATCCATGGATGGACCGTCGATGTGCTCGAGCAAGATGAGTCGAACCAGACGACATTGTTCCCCAACCTGGATTCGCAGGGTGTAGGATCCGAAGAACTTGGGAAGCACGGTGCCCTGGAGGTCGGAGAGACGCAGGTATGCGGCGCACTCGTGCGTATAATCACAATCGGCTCCCGAGAAATGGTCATCATCCCTCAGGTCTTGAAACCAGGGGTCGTAGAATTTGGCGACCAGGTCCTGATCCCTGGGGGGACCCGAAGACGTGGAGCTGTCCACACATCGGACGATATAGATCTGGGATCGCTTGTGTTCGCCAACTTGGAGTGTCCCAAGCAACTTGATGGAGATGAAGTCGCTACCGTCGGAGCCTGACAGGGGTGGGTTCTGGAGACATAATTCGGTGGGAGACGGCAACTCAACATCGTATGTAGGCAGAGTGCGTCGATGGAGCTCACTTTTGGGTAGTGGGGGCGGAGGATTGTGTGACTGGACAGTCATGGTATGATTCATGCAGTATGGGAATGACTTGTAGTGATAAGGTTCCATGGTGGAAGCGTTGACGTTGATGTTGATGGATGTTGGATGTTGGATGTTGGATGTTAGGCAGACGGCACTGTCTTATAAAGTACTTCCACGTGAGTCAAGTAGTACAGCATTAGTCATTTGCCCAAGTGAATGATGCTTTTCAGCTAAGCTATTCAATTCCATACAGAGCACAGTAGGGTATTTATTGAATAGGAGATAGTGCTGGCACAATAGGTCAGTGAAGATTGGCTAGCAGCCTGGGGAAGTACCTAATATTCTAGGCAAGGTTCCTGATCTACATGTGAATTCCGAGCATCTAGTCTATATTAACTGCGTTTTCCGATTAGAAGCTTATCTGGTGACGCGGCCTGGCTGGATAAATCCGACAAGCTTTCATTGTGGCAGATGACGTGGATCAATAAGGGCTGTGTGTCTAGTCGGTTCGATCCGACCAACTAGATACTATATGTGACAGACTTCGGAAGGTAAATACAGAAGAGGCCACAGAGAAGAAGAACCAGATGATCTAGCTACATTATACCACGGATCAGTATGTTTCGCAGCACGATACCACATTGCCCTTCACCTGGTTTGTTGTACGTAGACATGGTATGGCCCTTCTTCCTGGAGACATGCGGTAAGGACCGGTAGAATTATCCAAGAGATAAGCAGAAGGCGGGTTATCTCGGAATATGCATGGCTGCGAATAGACCTTGGGCTAACCAGGGATCATAGAGATAGTGCATACGTAGCCCTATATCTCATTCTTGGTTAGGCTGATGTCTATTAATATCCAAGATAGCATATAAAGGAGATAGTTCCACCCCACGGTCAATCAATCCTTAAGTTCAAGTCCTAACAAGCTCATCGTCTATTGGTAATACATTCAATTACAAACATACATCCATTCCATCACTACCTGCAGTCACAATCCCAAGCAACCATCCAATGGACCTTCTCAGCTTCAGCGCTATCATCGTTCTTCAGATCTGTGCCATTTGCTTCCGCTACACTGAAGGAACGTGGTCTGGCAAAGCAAGATCTTGTTTCACCTCGGCGCATATCTACTTGTTTGTTCATATGTTGATCGATATCCTGGTTCAGCATACTTGATTGCTGAGGGCCCTTATTGCCATTAGGGTAGGGTGACATACGGTGGATATTGTGGATGTTAGTTATCAGTGCGGGACATTGGTACGGCCATGCTCGAGTATGACCAGAATGTCAGTGTTGATTTATCGTTGTTTTGAGATCAACTGGGGAAGTTAATGTTGGGGTTGGCAAAAGATGGTATATGCGATTTTAATTCGTTAGATAACGTGGAGGTCTTGCGCCTTGAGACTGAGGGTGGATAGCTGTGGTTGTGCATATGCTGGGACTTGAAGAGAATAGCATCGAGTAATAGGCAGAGCTCTGGAAATCAAAATAGCTGCGGCGATACTCAGCATGAAGCTAATGCTGTTAGGTTCAACAAGGCTCGTTAACCCCAAATTTCCCCCGCCCAGAAAGTCACTGCCTATTGTAAGGCGAGGCTAGCCCTGAGACATACTAGATCTGATTCCAGTCACTTGGTTGATAGGGCTTCAATATTACTAAGCGGAACCGAATCAATTGAGGCATGGCTTGGATTGTTTCTCCAATCATTGCCGTTTCTCCTGCCACCTAAATAAAACTAGGCGAGATAGAAAGTCCAAGCAAGGGTGTAAAAAGGAGACCATATATTTATATCTGCTGACATTTGTCGCGACAAGTCAGGGGTTTGTATTTGGAATTTGAAAGGGCTCTGGATTTCTCATGTCACTATCGTTACTGTAGGTAATGCCTATTTCTTCGTAGCATCATGCAACCTTGGCGGTTGAGTCAGTCTACAAAGACTGGGTGATCTGGGATTGGGCCTGCGTGTTTAGCTGATAATTGTTCCCATTGTCCGATTTTCCCAGATCCTCGTTATCTAGTTTCATTGAATCCCTGAGCCCTAAGCAAAAGATCCCTACATCTATACCAAGCTTTAAAGAAAGTCTTTACTCAATCTAATATATACATCTGATCATGTTACCTAACATCACGCTATATACTACCCACAACCTGCAACACTCGCGAATTCTTCGATATCCAATCCTCTTCCCGAATATCATCCAACCCATCCACATTCATATCCACCAGAGCCCGATCCCACGCATCTTGGGTAGCCGCCTCCCATAACGCATCATTTTCCGGGGGCGGGAACTGCAATTCATCGGCCGTCAGTAGGATACTGTTCATAGAAACGCCCTCCACGGTCTGATTCAGTGCCGTAGAGCCATATATCGCTGTGCACACCTTATACAACGCGATGTTGAATCGCTTCACCTCTTCAATACTAACCAAAATATACTGAGCAATAGCAGGTTCTTGATACTGCCTTAGAATGCGCGGATAGGAGAACATCCCCCGGTTGCGGCAGCTTTGAATCAGAGACTTGAGAAGCAGCTCGGTATCAGTACGGAGCCCGGCGGGCTTTAAATCCAGGCCGAGAGAGCCGTGGGTTTTGTATATCAAGGAGAAGATAATATGTAATAAGACAGCCTGGTAGATGGGTAGAGGCCATGACCCTGATTGGGGTATCTGTATGTCGTTGGAGGCATCCCATTTCTCCTGTAGAATGGATTAACAAGTGAGGAGAAAGTGCAGGGCATCCAACCTTTTGCTGCAGGATCGCCGAGTTGAGCTGCTCATGCAACTCGACGGCCGCACATCGCGCGCTCCTCTCCCCACTCGCCCATAAGCCAAGGACAACCATCGACTGGACGAGCATGGGGATCTCATGGCGCATTCGGAACGTGCCGCGATGGACGAACGGCCAGTGAGGGTGAAACAGATCGAAGAACAACTTGACGAATTGTTCTTCTCTAGAGACAGTAGGCCGCGGGCTTACTGACCCTCGGGGCTCGGGCGCCGGAGAGTCCTCACCCTCCCTAAGGGAGCAGCGGAGGCCCCGATGTTGACACTCCGTGCACACAGGCTTCCCTTCACATCGAGCCTTGATGGCCCGGCAATTGGCACAGGCTCGTCGGACTCGATGAACAGGCTCATTCAGTTGATGCTTCACTCGGAGATGCCGACGAAGTGTATCACTAAGGCGCGTTATTATCGACAGAACAACATGCACTTGCGCCTGCAAGATGTGCAACCGGTGTATACTTTCGTCCGAATTCCTGGCCACAGATGGAACAGGAGAATGTACGATCCTGGATGTGTTTGGCTTCATGGCGACGAAGGTGCTCTTTACGCCGGTAGCGAGCATCGCAATTCGGAAAGCGACATACGAACTCCCCCAGCGGGTCATTCCTAGGCAATTTCTTCATGGTGGGCGATTCATCACCACGGACGGGGTAGGTGGGAGGCGTGACGGGGGGGATGCCCCGGAGGTGAGGATGAAGGGTATAGACGTATTGGTAGAGGGCTGCAAGTTATGTAATGGCAGTGGGCGCGCGCCTGGGTGGGATGATCCGGGCTTACAGCTCAGCGTGGTCTAACGCTAAATACGGAACAACTCTTTTCCATCTTAACCATGATGAGGTCTTTATTTTTCATAAAAATTACATATTTTCAGTATATGTTGTGCCGGTTAGCGGGGCGCCAGAAACGGCGCCCATTGAACCGCCGCTCTGCCGCCCGCCACCACCTGTCCCATGCAGGAATCCCACTACTTCTTCCGGTTTAACATGTCTATTTTAGGTATCGCGCTTATGTCTTACTATTTTTATGCCTGTTGTCTGCTATTTGATACCCGTTGTACAATCTATATAATCCCGTCTACCCTTTCTTGAAAGATGATATTTTTTTTTCTTTTACTTTCTTCTTTATTGCCTGCTGTTCTTGTTGTATTATTTCCTTCCTAATATACCACGTTATATTGGTTATGGCAAACCAAAGTGAGAAGTCGAGAAGAAAAGTAAGAGGAAGAGGTCCAGACAAAGGTTCTTCCTCATGGATTCAATTTCACGTGAAGCAGAGTAGAGCAGTTTAAAGGTGAAATATTATTTCTAGTGCTGGGAAGACGGGAAGAAAGAAGGCAACAGCCAAGGAACTAGATAACTTGCGTGGTACTGGTATCCTATATACAATCGTTCAAGGGAAAATGAAATCCTCAATCGTTGACCCAGTCAGCCAAGTTTGCAGGTCTTTGAACGCATCAAGGTCATTTTTTTCAGTTGAGACGTCGACGTTGGGGTCATGCCAGTGTCTGGTTCTTTTTGTTTCGGTGCCGTGCAGCGACTCTCCAATGTACCGACAGCTGTCAAAGTCTATGAGAATAAGGCCTCCTTCGTCGTCAAGCATAATGTTGGCCGGATTGATGTCATTGTGGACAAGTCCAAGCGAGTGAAGATGTTTAATGGCTGCTAGAACTCCCTGGAGGCCACTCTTGATCCTTTCCGTCACAAGCTCGCGCCCACTCGAGAGGAAAGCGGCCTTGTTAAGGCATTGAGGATTGACCGCCTGAAGCAATGTGCACATATACCGCTTGAAACATAAACCAGATACTCGACCGTGACTCTGATTGCAACCATAGTACGTCGCAATATTTGGATGAGGGTTCTTCCGGAGAATCTCGCAAGTTTCAACTTCGCGAGCAATTCGCTTTTCGAGGTTCCCATCAACATATGCCAGAAGACTTGGCGTCTTGACAAACACCGGAGACCAGTTTTCCTCCATCTCCGGGCCCCTGTCCTCGGTCGGTATTTGCTTCACTTCCTGGAGTTCTTCGAGCGTAGTCGGTGAATCAAGTCGATTTGGCCACTTCCCCGAATATAATACGCCATCCCGCTGGGCGAAGACCTGGACGTAGGCAAATCTCATCTTGCCATCAATCCTTTTGAAGGCCTCATACTTTTGTACGACCTCCATGTTCGGCTGGGGAATATCTTGTTCAGATCTGTGATAATGGACGGATTGAATAAGGTCGGGATGACCTCCGCATGGTCTCCACTCGTAAGTGCTACTGTCCCGTGATACAAAGCCACAACCGATAATGACCTATTGTCCATGCATATGGCAGTCATTGTCAATCGCGCTAGTTTTGAGCACCCCACAGCCATAGATCTTTTCTGGTCACACTCTGGGCTTCCTGAATGCCAAGGCGGGCTTGAAAGTGAATTGAAGAGTTAAATTATTTATTTTTGGGCGCCGACCTACCTCGGTCAAAACTCAGCGGTCGCCCACGGGTGTTTAAATATCCTAGGATGCTGGAGCGCTTCATGCTGCTTAACCTAAAGCCCCATGATATCCTTGGCCGCCATCGACAGCTTCCATACGGCCTTGACAAACCCTCTCCCCCACTCCTCAATGATGCCCGGTGGATTCCACGCTAGACTGTTCAACTTTCTGTGCTTGGGTTCCCCCAACCCATGAACTGCTAATGTTTTCTTAACTAAGGGAGGGAGAATTCAGAAGGACAAGGGGTGGTTAATGTGGTTAGACCGTCACCGAATATCATGATCCAGCTCTCGCTCCCGGGGATCTTTTATCGGTCTCCGCCGATGAACCGGTCCTGTCCTCTAGATTATTCACGTGGGCAAATACGCGTATTGGCTGATGGAGAGGTTATTGAAAGCCCGCTGGTCATAGTCCTTCTACCGGGGATGGCATCCCATAGAGCTATGCGAGCCGGGTCCAGCAGTCGCCCGTTAGGAAAGGGCTTCTGTCTACGTCATTCCTTTCATGGGTTAGGGGCCTGGGCCTCGCTCCGCGGTCGAGACCCATAGTGAATCTGTGTCCATGATCATTGGCTCAGCTTTCTTTTTTTTCCACCTTGGAGTAACCGTCTCTGAAAGGTATCCATGGAAACCCCTGGAAGATCCCGACGCTCCATTATAAACCAGCTGTGGTGGTACCGTGGTAGGGCTGTCCTGTCAGGAACAATAGAGGACGCGATTCACACCTTGACGAGCAAAATATTCCACGAGATATTCGCGCTTTTCGGGGTTAAGAAGAGTGAACGAATAGATCCACTTATCACGGAGCTGTCGGGTATAGGTGAGTAGGTGGCTTGCAGCTACAGCCGCGGTCTCTGGTTAATATGCATTCTTGTCCATGAAACTCTAATGGAGGCTGGAATAAACGATAATGAAGCGTTCTTCTCGCGAATCATCGGCTCTCTCTCCTGAGAACTTTCTACTCCGTCCCACGGAACCCGAGGATCTTACCGGCTCCTAGATAGCGCAAAGAGGACTTTACCGGATGTGAAGGGCTTATGCGCGCCCACTCGGAAGAAAAGAAGGCACAAAGCGATCTTGAGTGATACGAACATCCACGGTTGGTGAATGAAATCTCAAAGATGCGCGGCTAGGGAGCTTGGCCAAAGTAACAACTTCATTAAATAGGCGACGGTACCAACGGTAAAGCACGGATCTCGGACGAACCGGCTAAGACAAAGGACAATCTTGGGGACCGGATACAAGAGGATGAAGAGGCTGCGGAAGCCAACGAAGGATACTGTGATCGGGCGATTGCCTCTACCGCTACGTCCGTTAACCCACCCGCGAACGAAGTTACTGTTTCAGCATCATCCCAGATCGAGGCAGAATCCCAACGGTTATTGGAAAATTCTGCAGCTGTGAGTTCTCTTCCATCGACTGGAGATTGTTCCGGTGGACCATATCGTTTACTAACTGTCATTTCATATAGACATTGGAAAACATGAAGAGCCCGGGCGATCCTTCTTCAGCGGTGATTCTCAGTAGCCCGTCTGAAAGCGTAGCGTCAGCTAGGACGAATGAAGAAAGAGCTAAATCATGCGATCTGGGTGTATTCGAATCTTTCTTAACCTTTTATAGTCTTGAAAATCTTAAGTGACCGTTGCTGAGACGGGCAATATCCGCAAGCTATCTAATAATTAGGGACGACGTATTTGAGTTCATCGACTGATAAGTCTTCTCATAGCAACTCCAGGATGTTTAGGCCCAGCTGAGTGATCATCAATGCGTTCGTGCCGGCCGATCCATGCCCAAGTTCCTCTACAAATTAGACTGGTTGGAGCTGGATGATAATAGGCACGCGAGATATATCAGACGACGGTTCATACTTATACGACTCTTCTATTACTTTAACTCCATTGTCATAGACATTCGGACAGGAAAACATGGAACATTACAGACCGGGCGAGATCGCGACTGCCGGTCCGCAGCAATAGACTTTATACTCGAATCATTCTACCCCAATTGATCAAGGGATGAATCTCAACAATCTAGTCAGCGGAAAAGGCTACAGCGGAACCTTGATTGTGGCCGGCGCTGGTACATGTTGGCACAGTATCTTGGCTGTAGTACTGAGCTGTTGTGCAGCCCAAAAATAGACTCTATCATGCACGGCATCACCTCCCTTTTAGCGAGCAAATGATGAGGAGCTAACCTTTGGTATCTAGGAACGATAAAAATATAAACAAAACGTTTATTCACGCGGTAGTCACCTTTTTTACGAACGTGTTCCCAGATGGCCTCAAGCTCTGCCAGAAATTCAACGATGTTGCCCTTGCCATTTTGAACAGAGAAAAGTTTGAGATAAAGGATATGATTTCGTACACGTACGACCTAGCTGAAATGGTGGGATTCCTCGAAAGTCGACATAAAAGGGACCGTCTCTTTCCTTTGCAATGGAAAACAATCTCAAAGCGAGATACCATTGATATGGGCAAGTTAATCCAGAATTAGATCAGGAATGTTACGGTAATACTTGGGAATAAATTGACTTCACTAACTTAATAGTCCTGGATATTCCCTATGCTGGTCTTGGAAATGTGAGCAGACACTGTTAGGGGAGCGTATGCGGAAGCGAAGCAGACTGCGTAAGTCAATGACAGGCATTGGCAAACGAAGAAGTTAGGCTCCCATAACCTAGGCTTTCTGAAGGCCTACGCTCTATGCATAGCTCCATGGCCTAGGCTTTATGCAAGCCTACGCTTTATGCATAGTTCCCATAGCCTACGCTCTCCTGAGGGCCTACGCTTTATGGATAGTTTCCAAAGCCTGGGCTCTTTGAAAACCTCCACTTTTTGCGTAGTTCCCATAGCCTACGCTCCCTGTAACCATCAAGAACAGGCCGTCAGGAAGCGTACGCCAGAGGCAAGGAGTAGATTGTATTCATATTCTCCGTGTGCCGGATACAATTTCTTGGGTTACCCCTCTTTCCAACGGCTAATCGGGATAGCTGGTTGGCAAAATCGCGTCACGGGACTGGCCACGAGGCTGGTAGGCAAGGAGCCTATGTTATTTTATTCTTCCCTGCTCTAGCAACCTCTATCAATCTATCCAAAATACCAAGGCTGATAGAGTCTGTTCCCGACACCATCAGAGTTCTTAAAGCCAACCTGCCTAGATGCGGCCATCCAGCCGGGACGAGTTTGCGATCGCGATCATCTGCACGCTGCCCCTCGAGGCGGAGGCCGTTGAAGCACTCTTCAACAAAACCTACGACCGGTTGAGTGCGTTCTACAAGAAACAATCAGGGGATAACAATGCCTACTTTAATAGGAGGATCGGGTCCCATAATATGGTTCTATGCCTTATGCCACGGATGGGCAAAGGGAATACTGCCAGCGTCACAGCAAGCCTGAAAATCAGCTATAGGAGGATACAAGTAACACTGGTCGTTGGTATTTGTGGCGGTGCCCCATATTCACCAACCAAGGAAGAGATCTTTCTGGGTGACGTGATTATCAGCAACGCAGTGATCGAGTACAACTTTGGCAGGCAATACCGAGGTGGCTTTATACGGAAGACTGGCGTGAAAGATACGCTTGGAAGACTAAATTGAGAGATACAGTCCCTACTGGCCGGCCTCCAGCCGCAACAGTCCCGCAGGGAACTTCAAGCGAAGATGCTACAGCATCTACGCGTAATCCAGGCCGCACAACCTCGTTGGCGACAGCCGAGCTCTGCGGACGATGTTCTGTATGAGGCATCCTATCAACACAAGCATTACGGTTCAGAGTCACCTCACCTGTGCAGCTATCTTGATAATACGTCCGATAAAGTCTGCCAGGAGGCTCTGGACGCAAGCTGCATCCTTCTAGGCTATACGCAGGATCAGATCTATCAACATCAATACTATCTGGAAAGCTCCAATCCAACTATACAGATCAGGACCGTTGCTTCTGCGGATACTCGTCGGGATAAATACATCGCACAATGGGGTGGACTTCTATGGTCAGATGCGGAGCAGTGTAGGTCTTCATTACGGTAGGGTTGATTCGTGAGGGGACCGACATGAAGAAGACACCTCAGATAGTAGACGCACACTGCCATCATCGATAGCAGCCCTAATCACAAGCTGCAACCCCATTGTGCACCTCCAAATCCGTAGGGTCATTGTAGCTATTCTCGGAGGCGACCATCAGTCCGTAGTCCAGGTGCACTGGGCATCCTTTCACTGAAGAAAGACTCTTCTCCTATACTCTTATTGCGGACATCATGTCCAAGAGTGCACGTGGATTGTAGGTTAGACAAGGAGCTTCCAAAATATATTGCGGGAGTTAAGCAAGTGCTGCCCATATGGTTGTTGATGGGCTGGGCTCCTACTGTCAATGATGTACTATGAAAATGAAGGACTCTGAGGAACATGTCAAGAAAGAGCTTCTCAGGTTAATTAGTAGGATGGCCTGGCACGCAAGGTCCGAGACACAGGCATCCAGTTGAGGGCTCTTAGGATGTGAGAAATACACCTACATTGATCTAATATATAAACGTTCAGTTCCCACTATAACATGAAAAAACTCCAGCGACATCTCTCCTTCCGAATCTGATTTATCTCTTCATGGGCTGGCTTGCATTACCCAAATACGGTACAGGATCGCTATACCTTAACCGCTGTCGATCTTTGGCATCTTGTCTTTTAATATTGGTGCCAGCTTACTCATACCCTATGATTATAGACTCGCGGCCGAGCCCACTTCCATGCGGCCCCTGTTAAACCAATGCCGTGCCTACCAGGAGTCGATGCATTGAGAAGCTTATCCTATGAGGTGCGGAACTGCCCCCGTCCCAGGAAATTGCTAATTGTTAGTTTCACAACGCATAGGTGCATCCGACAGCCCAGCCTGATTACCGACGTGGTTACTGACGTCGAGTTCATCTTGAAAACACGTTCGAATAAACATGGGCGGCCACGTGGGGTAATAAGGAATTGCCTCTAGGCAACCATTGATTACTCTGTCCAGCCAATTTAGCATCCCTCGCGCCTTGTAGGGCTGAGGTGATCGTCCTTACATCAGGCATGAACCGATTGGTCAGTTTTCCTCAATGTCTGGTATATCTGGATAATTCAATGGATGCTAAGAAAGGAATAGAACTTGGCAGAATGATACAAGATAAATGAGAATAGGTAGGTATCTAGGTAGGTAGGTAGTGGATAATTCTTGCCGAGCATGTCGTATGCTTGGAAGTTGTACGGAGTATATCCACCCGTCATCAACCTGACGGTGGCTGTGTTGCGGTACTTCCCGGATGCCGTTGCTTAACACGACAGAGCTTGTCCTGCACCGCCTCCGTATCCAACGGTTGGAGTAGAAGTGGACAGGCTCAGCCTCCAACTACATGGACCGATCTCTGGTACATCAGGTAAGTCTACTCCGGATATCCGACTTGGTATCTGTCTGTATCCCCCCTGAATACTGCTGCCTGCAATTGCATCATCTGGTGGTACAGTGGGGGCCCAACCACTCATCTCGTTGGCGGGGAGATTCAAAGTGGAAAAGTAGGTATCCCCATTACCAGAATTACCGCCTCACAGTTTCATCCCGAGGCCTCTTCGATGGGTCAATTTAATATCAAGCAATGGTAAGGTATATAGGTATGCAGTTCCTGTATGTCTCATTCGACAACCTCATCTCCCTACAAAACCCCTTCATCCTCATCCCGGTCCGTTGCGCATCTCCCCTTTGTCCAGCATCCATCCGACTCTACCTAGTATACTTGGTCTCCGCATCATCGCCTTCGCCAATCACCGAACAGATCTGGCCTCTCCTAGCCAGCTCTCCTGCTCTTCTGCTCTCTGATATCAATTCGATACCCCATGCTCTCCGCAACTCTCGAGCTCATGGCCCGTCGCTTCTTCCCCGGTCAGAACGCCGCCTTCGGGCTGAGTCTGTTCCTGTTTACCTTCATGTTCCTTCCAACTCTCGTTGTCCTCCTTGCCGTCATCGTCTTCTTCCTCATCTACAGTCCGCGTTTGCGCAAACCCGTCCACCACCAGTAATCCGTTTGATGCGTTGCACCCGGTATGTATGTCTCCGATATTCATCTGCCCAATCCCACTAACAAGCATTCAGTTTGTACACTACATGATGCATAGTCCACGATTGATACAATTCCCCTGTCTCTACTACTTGTTTTTCTTCTTTTTGGCCGGTGTTCTTTCTAGATGTGCTTGGGATAAGCGCTCTTACTGTTCTACTTCAACCTTCTTCCACCCCTGATCCTTAACCAGGGCCAGGAGTGACCCCAGGTCGCAAATCAACCCATCTGCTTTATGTTTTCACCTTGAGGGCATCGGTCAACCTGATCGGTCGGTAGCCGCCGGGTACTATTATAGAGCCTGTCTGGAGGAATTGAGCTCCTAATCTAAATTCCGGTTGACTATCCCGGGTTAATTGGGTCTGACAATTGAAGGGTCAAGGTTATCAAGCCCATTTCTGCCCTAGAAAACATTACTAGTCGCATTGTATAATACTTCATGAAAGAGGCTACCTCACTCGATATCTTCTCCAGGACACCTTTGCTCTTGGCGGTGACTTATACAGTACTCCTCGGAGTATATATCAACAACACTCATATGGAGATATGTCTTATAAAAGGCTCTAATACTGTAATTGAACTATCATATAATCTACATGATTGTTTCTTCTGGATCCTGCTTGCCTTTGTTTATTTTTCAGGTATATCAAAGCTCCGTCACTAGAGAAGAGAGTCTGCTTTAAATAGGTCTCCTCAGTTGCATGGAGATCATATGATTCGATGATGTCCTCCGAACGCCTTTTAAAATATACACCCAATTCTTCCTGGCTTTGAAAAGTATCGTCTACCAGACCCCAGACATTACCAGGACAAAGCACATACACTTTCCTCGTAATAATATCAGAAGCGTCCCGTCTACGCGGCGAAGTTCCAGGCAGTCGGACCCTACCACACAGCAACTTCCATACATTCTAGGTAGATGAAGTACATGTACCCACATAGCTGCCTCTGCACTTGTTCTGCATTTATCTATTCAACACCACCCGTGGCGACTTCCTACTAAACAGTCAAAACTGGGCAGGAACTACCTCCCTCGGTCGTAAGAAATGAAACCTCACTAGACAACTCCTGGCTCTTACCTATCCATACTGAGCATGTAGAGGAAGGCGCAGAGGACGCAAAGCGGCTGTATATCACCCCGATTCTCCCTCGTAGACTCTTCCTTTCTTTCTATCTTCTTCATAACTCGTCTTCTCGTTGTCTTGCCAGTCCCAGCGTCACCATGTGTCTCTTATGCCATAGAGACCTCTCCGTAGGTGTGTGACTGATGGCACAACCTGATTATCATCATCGAGGCAGTTATACAACCATCCAGTGTGGGGAGAGAATAAATAGATCATCACCAGCTTCCCTCTCTCTTTTCAGGCCTTTCAGTACTATCTGAATGGATGGTCATCATTAAGGCAAGTGATGATTCCTGTGGTAACTCGGATGGCCTTTAGTCAATGACGATACCCCTGTTTTCTGATGCTCAGCTCCGGCTGACTCCTTGGGGGACTCATAGGTTAGATTCGGACAGGGGAACCCCAGATAAAAGAGAATTATCCTTTGTTCCGGGCCTTTCAGTACCATCTGAATAGACGCTCATCATTAAGGCAAGTGATGATTCTTGTGGTAACTCAGATGGCCTTTAGTCAATGACGATACCCTTGTTTTCTGATGCTCAGCTCCGGCTGACTCCTTGGGGGACTCATATGTTAGATTCGGACAGGGGAACAATGGATAAGAGAGAATTGTTCTTTGCTCCGGGCCTTTCAGTACTATCTGAATAGACGGCTCATCATTAAGGCAAGTGATGATTCTTGTGGTAACTCGTATGGTCTTTGGTCAATGACGATACCCTTGTTTTCTGATGCTCAGCTCCGGCTGACTCCTTGGGGGACTCATAGGTTAGATTCGGACAGGGGAATAATGGATAGGAGAGAATTATCCTTTGCTCCAGGCCTTTCAGTACCATCCGAATGGACGGTCATCATCAAGGCAAGTGATGATCTCCAGATGATCTCCAGTGGTAACTCGAACACCAACCAATGCTTATGATGCTCAGATCGGGCTGACAAGGATAGGTATGATGGGACATCAATGGGGAATGGGATGCAGGGAGAACATACCTAGACATGGTGGTAGGAAGAGAAAGAGGTGAGAGTGTGGGAGGAGAAGATATTTCTGCAAAGTCTGTTCCCGCGGTGGTGTTAAGTATCATAGTGTCGTGACAATGACCTCATCCTGAAATATGGTATCAGAATCTCCCTCTTTCTTATAGTGCGCGGCTCCGCTGGCAGTAGCTGATAACTATGATATATTTGGCGTACTGCGAGGACCTAGCGAGACGATCTTCTTATAGGTCTTATAGCCTATCGTCATAGAGTTGACCTGCTATATATTCTAGGCGATACTATCAACGGTGTGCGTATCCGGGCTAGACGGTGGTAGATCTAGATAGCTAGGGGGTTTACAGGGACGGATCAGTTAGCTAGAGAATGTTACTATCGGGGCGATGAAGCCGTCTAGGCTAATGGTAATGAAGATGCAGCCTTTCCAGGATCAAGGGGGCATTTTGGGGGTCTTTCTGAATGGTATCGGATGGTATATGAGATGTTGAAGTGATGAGTAAAGCTGCTGCAAGTAAGAAAGCAAGCTTTAAGACAGAGCTATCTAGAATATATGGCGCTAAAGCGTCCTACACCCTTCAGGAGTGGAGCAACCACTCTCCAGTCTATGTCGTCTTCCAAATCCTCCGTATAGGCCCCCGTCTCCACTAACAAGTCGTGTATTCGGCTTCGCCGCGCGGTAGTAATAGCACAGATAATGCACGGTATTGTGGCCATGATGATCCTTGATCCGCACATCTGCGCCACCTTGAATCAAGAACCGCATCATCGCGTCAGGTTCAGTCTGCCGGTGAAGCACCGTCCAGCCCTTCCCCAGACTCTGTGTGTTGATATCTGCGCCGGCGGCCAGCAGAAGCTGTACTTTCAGTATACTACTAATTGAGGTGGCACAGTCTAGCGGGGTGACTTGATCTTGATCTTGACCTCTGCTTTCAGAGTCCACGTAAAAACGCTCTAGTAGTATTTTACCAGATCCGCTGGCTCCAGCTAACACCGAAACATCTCTCTGGGTGGCTGTAAAAGCTCCCAATTAATAAAGACTCATCTGCGGGGGCGGATATATCTATCGTCCCTTGCGCAAGAAGATAGCTGAGCAAAGCAGTCTCTTCCGCGATGGATACTTTAACATCCGCGCCGGAGAAATAGGCAGCTAAATGCAGTGCGGATGTGTTTTTCAGAATCCGTGTCACCGCGGAGACATTGGCACCTTATTCGACTAGGAACTTGACGGCACTTGGATGATTTCCGGTGACGGCGAAGTGGAGGGAGGTCCAGCCCATAGTCATTGGCCTCATCGACTAGTAGACCCGTATGTTGTAGGATCCACTGGATTGTATCTAGATGCCCGGCCTCTGCCGCCCGATGTAAAATCGTCGAGTTGGTTGTACTCCACGTAGTCATCTCTGCTCCCGCGTCCATCAATACCGGGAGAAGAGAAAGAGGGCCGTGATATGCTGCGAGATAGGCGACGGTTTCGTTGTACCAATTTCACAGGCTCAGACTGGCCCCTACCCGGAGCAAAACAGAGATAACATCACTATGCGACGCAATCGCCGTAAAGATAGCACTTTCTCCCTCACTAGTGACTGCGTCTGCCTAGGCCCCCGCCTCCAGAAGGAGCTCAACCATTTCCCGGGCACACGGTTTCTCCGCCGCGCAATGTAGCGGGGTCATGCCATGGTCCGTGGAGGCGTTCACATCTACGCCTTCGTGCAGTAGAAATCGAACACAGTCCAGGGATCCCGAGGCCACTGCGTAATGTAAAGAAGTCTCTCCACCAAGGTTACTACGATGCAGGTTCCCCCTCTGGCCGGAGTCGCCCTGTTGGAGCCTCGACTTGCGCTGCTGCCAGATAAACTCCAGGATCGGAAGATGGCCAAAGCTTGCGGCCATGTGGATCTCAGTGTCGCCGAGCTCACCCATAAAGCCCTGGACGTGGTACTCATACAGTAGCTGAATGATATCCAGGGCCTTGTGTTGGATGGCATGAATCAGCGGTGGGTCGTCATAAGGCTCATTTGGAGAGATCTTCTGGTCCAACAGGTGGCGGACGGTAGCCAGATCGTGGTTATGGATGGCAGTCACCAAGGGGGGATTCTTCTCGCCTGCGAAATCCCCTTGATTGATCCATGCCCGCCATGTCTGGTGGGGTGTCTTCAGCCTCTACTCGATGGGATGGATGAGAAGAGACGCAGCGTTGTGAAAGGGGGGCGGAAAAGACGAGACCCGACGGGGAAGGCCACGTGACGGAACGATGTGTACTAGTAGTAGTAGTAGCTAGACCTCGCCAAAACGCGGGTTGGGATGATCCGGCACTAGCCACCAACTCCACTAACACTGTCATTGGCACATTGCAGCTTCGCTTCCACTGTACTGTTGAAGGATAGTGAGATTTTAACTAGCTACTTCGAGAACCACTGACTAAACGAATAAAGACAATTCCCGAAGAGCAATCATAAACTGGGAAGCGCGCACTGAATCCTGGCATCACTAGTCTTACCGCACTGGTCGAGCCTCACACCTTCCAGCTCTTCAGTTTCGACGAATCGCGCTTGAACGCGAAGCTGAGGCTGCGCTCTAGACCATCCTGTCGATCAGACTGCGCCACTTCATAAATCTCCGAACCCATTCCATCCGAGTATCTCGCTGACCCGCCATCCCTACTGCGTCCTAGGCGCTGAATTTTGGGTTTTCGAATCCCATAACCCGGACCCATGATGCTCCCCAGATCAATCCGTCTACTCTCTCGCATGCCGAAGTAAAGACCGGCAACAACCAATATCACCACGCTGAGGCTCACCGGGAGACCAATGTACAGACCCAACTTGTTGAAAGGCGGGCGTGGGGGACGTATGCGATGATCCACTGGCTTAGAAGAAAGGGTGACCGTTGGACCCTGTCGGGCACTTGCCCGCTTGTCTGATACAGCGTCCAACTCGATGATATAAAGCGTCAGCAGGTTTTGCTGCTTTCCCTGTAGCCATGCCTGACGCATATTGATGTGGGTATATCCGTAGCTGTTATCTGTCTTGTCGGACGTATATGCCGAATCTCCTTCTGCCGAGTGCGGATATCTCAACTCAATAGTGATCGTGGCATTCAGGGGATAGAAGTCCGCATCCCATGTAACGTAGTATGTCCCACCCACCGTCACGTTCGCACCATCTTCCGGAAGACAGAATGGTCGGAAAGGGCCGCGAGGGTCGGTACAGATGGGGAAATCACCCGAAGGTACTGTAGGAGTATAAGATCGCAGGACTGCTGTGGATGTGTGGTCTGGAGCCTCATATTTCACAGTTGTCACTGTTGGTAGGCAAGGCCATGTCAGACAAGATTACCCGACCTGATCACTGTATATCTTCGAGCCTCACCGTGTATATCCGTATCATTCTTCCTAGAGGGGATGCCAATGTCCTCAGCCAAGGTGCTTACGGCAGTTGCCATGGGCAGGAACCAGGAGCCGAAGCTCCGCCAAACGTGCATCATCTTGAGATGGCTGCGATGAGTGTAATTGGGTGATGATATTCAACGTTATACCCTATATTCAGTAATCGACCTATATGTAGTGCACCTATCGATGACATGTGTACAAGGCTGTATGCTGCGATCATTGCGAGGACTATAGTTGGTTGCTCTAAATGCAGAAGTATAACTGAGGAAGGTGCGAGGACGTGTTACTGTTCTGGAAATACACCACAGCGGTAAATTGTTCCTTTGGAAGGGTCCGGGGATATCAGGGCCGCCTTAATCGAGATCAGCCACAGCCGATTGGTATTTGAATCCAGGCACCCAGCCATATATTCCTTTTTACCTCGCTAAATATCTGCTTTGGCAATTAATACACCCCGCTGCTTCTATGGAAATTCCTCGCTGCTGTAAATGAGGGAAGTCTGGAAATGGCTCCACCGTTCCATTGATTGTCGGCGGGACTATTGACAACAAAAGCATTGTGAGAACATCGCCCTTTTTTGTCACCACCACAGGTCATCTCATTTGCATCTCAGCACAATCCTTTGCACCACCGTGCGCAGCAGACATCTGGAGTGCAATGGGTGGTTCCAGAAGGGCGGAATCCCCGCTCCCGCGGCCGCTGGATCTCCGGCCTGCCATTTAGAGTTAGGCCACCTGTCGCGACGCTTACGCCTATCGTGGCTGTTTCACTCGACCTTCATCCAAGTGCCCGTCCTCCCTGCTGCCTGCTGTCCGTACTTTGGCTCTCAGGAATCTTTTTTCTCTCCAAAGTGCGCCTGTCCTTCAATAACAGCTCAGGTTGGTGTTTCCCTTTGTTTTCATCTGGATGGCTCGCCCGACCCCCTATACTGACCACGCGTCATCTTGCCTCTCAGCATCATGCGCTTCATCCAGGTCGTCGCCCTCCTCCCAGCGCTTGCTGTGGCTCAGGAGCAGGTTCCCCTCGCGGACCGTGTTCAGGGTTGGTTCAACAAGGCCAAGTCCTACCTGCCCACTGCCACCCCGGTCGTCCCCGCTGCCGTGGTTGAGAAGGTTGTCGAGAAGGCTGTCAAGATTCAGGAGAAGACCGTCACCCCCTTCAACGTGACAAACTGGCAGTCCTTCCTGGAACCATCATCGGAACCCCAGGACTGGTTGATCTATGTTACTGGAGGAAACAAGACCTGCTTCGGTCGCTGTGGCCGGGCGGACAAGTCGTTCAATGTAAGAAAGCTCTAGAAAAGGGGGAGACGCACCCACTACTCTAAAGGATGGTCGCTAATTTAATCCACCTTTTAGGAATCCGTGCTCCTTTTCTCCGCCGATCCCACCTCCCCTAACCTGGGTAAGCTGGACTGTGAATCGAACCAGGTTCTCTGCTCTGCGTGGGGTGCCGGTACCCCTTCGGTCTGGTACTTCCAGGTTCCTCAGGCCCAGCTTGGTGAGGAACGCGCTCCCACCGCGCTCCACACTGTCTACCTGAACACCACCACTGTGACCCCGGAAACAATCTACAAGGTGCACTCTGAGAAGGCCTACGAGACGACTCCTGCCTACGAGGGCGCTCTTCACCCCACCGATGGCTGGCTTGCTCAGAACGGACTCCTGCTCCCTCTGGGCTATGTCATCTACGGATTCAGCGCCATTCCCAGCTGGCTCTTCATGATCCTCATCAGTTTCTTCAGCCGCACCTTCATGTAAGTCCTCCTTGGCCTTCTGCTCGACCAGTTACTCATGACTTGACAGGAACCGTCGCCTCGGAAATGTCGGTGCCGCCCCGGCTCCGGCCCCTAGAAACTAGACGTCGCTGTTCATGGACGATGGCGCTCCAGTCTAGCATGATCAGGGATGTATATATAATGAATTAGCAGTACACCTTCAGGTCAAATTGGATAATCTTGGGTGATATGGTTGCAGTGCTATAATGTATTAGACCTCGTAGGTGTAAGTGTGTAAGTGAGACGACGGTATTCCAACAAACCTTACATTATAAAGTAGAGCATTGAAAACTAGTGCATCTGCATGACTGCTGTATGTAGACAAGAAAAGATCACCCCGCGTAGCTATTTACTGCAGTCTACTCCACGGCCCGCTAACGTCACCGCCGCGCCAAAGCTCCGCCGCCCATCGCAAAACCATTCCAGCACACCCAATCCACCATCTCAACCACCACCCTCAATTCCAAAATGGCCGACCTCGACCGCACACCCCCTTCCACTGCCGCCTACGTGGTCGCCACCGCCATCCTCGCCGGCATCACGGGCTACTTCATCGGCCAAGGCAGCTCGCTGGGTCTCTTCTCCACGAAAGAAAAAGAAGGCTGGCCGAACAGCTACAATGTGAAAGTGCACCGGGATTCGTCCGACGAAGAAAACGAGTCTTCTGCTGAAGAGGAAGAAGATAGCGAAGACGAAGGCGACGGCACTGAGCTCGGAAATTTCGATGAGAGCGCCGAGGAAGTCAAATTGGTGCTGGTGGTGAGGACGGATCTGGGGATGACAAAGGGTATGTTTTTTCCTTCCTCCAACACTTTTCTCAAGGATTGGATGGTATTGTACTCTGCTATGGCATTTGGCTAATCAATTCTTTCGGATGGATAGGCAAAATCGCAGCCCAATGCTCGCATGCTACGCTCGCGTGCTACAAATATCTAGTGGCGTATACGCCCAACTCGGGCATGTTGCGGAGATGGGAATCGCAGGGTCAAGCGAAGATCGCGCTGCAGATCAAGTCCGAGGAGGAGATGGAGGAGTTGCAGGCAAAGGCGATGAGTTTGGGTCTTTGCGCGAGAGTCATTACGGATGCGGGTCGGACGCAGATTGCGAGTGGCAGTCGCACGGTGTTGGGGGTTTTGGGTCCCAAGAGTGTGGTCGATAGTGTGACGGGACATTTGAAGTTGTTGTAGATTAGGGTGTTGCTTTGTATTTTGCCTCGTCGGTGGACGGTGGATAACCCCGACGTGTGGTCTGGTGTTGGCGTTTGGGTCTCAAGATGATATGATATGCAAGCTGGTACTTGAGCAGTCGGCTTGAAGAGCATTATGGTCATAGACAATAATGGGTTTGGTTTGGTATCTGATGCGGAGTGCGCATCAGATTACGGCGTACCAGCTACGAGTAATACTACAATTTAATGCTAGTAATGTTGGCAGGTCATGGTTATTCCCTAACCTCAGTGGCCGACGGCCAATTCGGTAAAGAGAGTAGGAATATGACGCCGTCAGCAACCAGGATCTCCAGCCGAGCTCACCAAGTCAAGGACAAGGGAGCTCAAGACCGGAGTGAACACCCAGCGCCAACCTTTAATCTGAGATCTGTCGACCGGAAATGTAAAGACCATCCACAAGATTGATGGCTCCTTAAGTCGTCGAACTGTCCAGCGTTCAACCGAAACACAGAGAACAGCAGAACTGCCCTCCATCAACGGGATCGCTGAACACAGATCCGTGTTTGTTCTGTTCTGGAGAAGAAAAAAAGAAGAGAAGGAAAAATTGCCGCGAAAAGGCTCTATTTATCCGGTGCGCCAAGACCGCACTAAGAAGTTTGTCGCGCTAAACCTTGCCGAGGATGGAGCGGATTACGTAACAGCCTGGTTCTCGGTCGCCGCAGCGTCCATGTCGTTCCTCATCCATCAGAGACGCCGTCGATTCAGAGCCACCACCCACGGTCTGCGTTCCCATCTCCCTTCACCGTCTGTCCATCTGTCGCCAAAATGGCCGACGCTGTTTCTATCGAACAGAACAACAAGATCCGAGCCGCGCTCGGATTGAAACCCCTCCCTGTTCCTGGCGCCGATTATGATGACGACTCCGACTCGTCCGCCTCAGAAGATGAAGACCCCGGAAGTACCCTCGAGTCGCGCGAGGCGATGGCATCGCAGAACTGGAAGAAGATGCAGGATGACGCCGAGGCGAAGCGGAAACGAGAGGAACGGAACGCTGCGATCAAGCGGGCGCGTGACCTGGCTCAGAGAGATGCGAAGTTGCAGGGATCCACACTTGGAGAATCCGGGGATGCAGACCAGGATACCAAGGCCTGGCTGATGCAGTCTAAGAAGCGACAGAAGAAGATCGAGAAGGAGCGGGCGCGCAAACTGGCCGAGGAGTTGGAAGAACGAGAGCGTGCGGCGGAATATTCGGCGGTCGATCTGGCGGGTATCAAGGTTGGACATGAGATTGGCGATCTTGAGGGTGGCGAGGATCACATTCTTACGCTGAAAGATGCGACCATCGATGAGAATGAGGAGGAGGGTGATGAGTTGGAGAATATCCATATGAAGGAGAAGGAAAGGACCTCGGAACGACTGGAGCTGAAGAAGCGGAAGCCCGCATACGACCCTACGGAAGAGAATTCGAGCATTTTGGCACAGTACGATGAGGAGATCGAGGGCAAGAAGCGGAAACGCTTCACCCTTGATGCTCAAGGGTCTTCGCTGGAAGAGCGGGAGGCCAAGCGACAGGAAGTATCGGAAAAGTTGAACAAGAATATCATCAGTTTGGACTTTGAGGCTGAGACGCCTGCGTCCGACTACATGGATGTGAGTGAGATCAAGATCAAGAAGCCAAAGAAGAAGAAGGCAAAGGCTACGAAGCAACGGGCTGTTCTGGACGACGACGAATTATTCCCTACCCCCGACTCGACGGGTACACCGAACGGCAACGCTATGGATATCGATACCAACAACGGAGAACCGACGGCACCTGCCCCCCGGAAGTGGGCAAGTGAAGACGTTTCGTTCGTGGATGATGACGACCTACAAGCCTCTCTTACGCGCCAGAGACGCGCTGCATTCAAGAAGCGGCAAAAAGTGCGTCCCGAGGATCTTGCTCGACAGCTTCGAGAGGAGGATTCTCAGACACCAATGGAAACAGGCACTCCGGACGGAAACGAAGAAGAGCCTGGTCTGGTAATCGATGAGACCTCGGAGTTCGTCTCCAACCTACAGAAACCCACCCTTCCCGACCGCCCTGAGAGGCGGACAACGACCCCCGACGACGAGTCTCGTGCCAAGAGTGAGGACCATAGCGCTCAGGGAGAGCTCGAGGACGGCGATGTGGACATGGAGCGGACATACAATGATATTGAGGATGAGGAGGATTTGAAGGAGAGGATCAAGCGCGACGAAGCTCAGGCCCAACAGCATCTCAGCACCACCGGTCTGGACGAAGAAGCCACATTGGACCAAGGTCTCGCTTCTACGTTGTCTATGCTTAAGCAGCGTGGTCTGGTTGAGAAATCCGACGCTGCCAAGAACAACTCTCTACTACGAGATCGTCATCGCTTCCTGCAGGAGAAAACTCGGCTTGAGACCGAGGCTGAGAAACGCGCTCGCCAGCAACGTGAACGCGACCGAGCTTCGGGTAAGCTGGACCGCATGTCTGCACGCGAGAGAGAGGAGTACGCTCGCTGGGAGAACAAACAGCGAGACCAGCAGGATGCGCGCCATATGGCGGAGGTGTTCAACCGCGAATACCAGCCCGACGTGCAGCTCAAGTACGTGGACGAGTATGGCCGGGCGATGAACCAGAAGGAGGCGTTCAAGCATCTCAGTCACCAGTTCCACGGCAAGGGCAGTGGCAAGATGAAGACGGAGAAGCGGTTGAAGAAGATCGAAGAGGAGAAGAAGCGCGAGGCGATGAGTGCTCTAGACAGCAGTCAGCACACAGGCATGAACAACGCCATGGGCGCCACGGCCCGCAAGAACCGGCAGGCAGGTGTGCGACTGGGCTGAGAGTTACGTTCCTCTCTCGGAATGTGTGTTCAATGACCTTAACCTCCGCCTGGAGGCCTTTAATGGATTCCGCTTACTAGGCTACGCGATGTTGTACAGATTATACCAGTAGAAATAGCTACATCTCACATCCATAGATCCGTTTCGGCTCAGAGGAAGCGACCCGGTCTTGTCCGCGTGTAGGTGTTGGTGGTTGGGTGGGTAAGATGTACTCCGTACTCCGTACTCCGAACAGATCGCTGCAAGCTGTCCTCGTTACTCCGTCGACGGGTAGGCGAGCATTTGTTGATACTTGATAGGCAGGCCGAGTTGGGGACTTGGCGTGTGGGGAAATTAACCGAGGCCGGATGGAATGGCCCGACCTCGCCGGGCTCGGAGACAGCGAGGGCATCCATGGTTCCGGGAGGGAGTCTGGACATTCAGATTCTTGTCTGGAGTGACCACAGCGGGTCATGGTACAACAAAATAATTTTATAGGAGAGGGAATCAGTGCTAATGAGATAAGGTTAGTGGTGGTTGCGGTGCCGACGCAGGATTACCCCAACTCCTCGTGAGGGGAAGGGCACCTCAGGCCATTCATTGAAGGGCGCTGACGGTGGGCCTCGATACTCGATCAGTTCACCGGGAACGGGACGGGCTCATCATTGTGGTGCGATCAATGGCGAATCCACCTTCCAGCCTCCGACTCAATGATGACATTGATGTTATTGTACTCCGTACTGTTGTATGCTTCAATCCCAGACATATCGCCTCCGCGTGGGCAATGGATGCAGCCTGTCTTCCTGCAGATGCCAAACATGCTTTGGAGACGCGGCATGCAAACCAAGCAAACCGCGTGACAAGCAACAGAAAACAGTAAAAGACGCGACGTCCGGGCAGCTCCTTCCCGAAAGAAGCAAGCCAGCTCAGATGCGGAGGACGTGGCCAATCCGAGGGCGCCCGCGTTTCTCCCCGGAAACTCCCTAGTTCCCATGAGTCAAAAATTAAAATACACTCGCCTCGTCCTTTTGGCACGTCCGTCCATCACCTCCATCATCATCATCATCCTTGGATCTTCTCGCCAGCTCCTTTGGCCCGTTCTCTTCTTCTGACCATCTCCTCTTGGGTCTTTTGGGTGTTTGCTCATTCTTCTTCTCTTCTTTGTCCTCTCTTCACCATGTTGTCCACCCTCAGAGTTGCCAGCCGTAAGGCTGCTTCGCGTGACGCTAGTGTGCGCACCGTCATTGTCGGCGCCAGACATGCTTCCGCCTGGTCCAACGTTCCTCAGGGTCCTCCGGTAAGCTTGCCAGTCTATTCGGACTGTTGTCGTGATGCCATTGCTGATCAATTGGGTGTCTAGGATGCTATCCTGGGTATTACCGAGGCCTACAAGGCCGACACTTTCGCCGAGAAGATCAACTTGGGTGTTGGCGCTTATCGTAAGCATCTATCCTTATCCAATCTTGTTGCGGTCCACGATCATGCAACAATCTTCGACATTTGCAATCTCTCTAATCGATCTCTGTGAACAGGTGATGACAAGGGCAAGCCCTACGTCCTGCCTTCCGTTCGCGCTGCCGAGGACAAGGTTGTCGCCTCCCGCTTCGACAAGGAATACGCCGGTATCACTGGTATCCCTTCCTTCACCAAGGCTGCCGCTGAGCTGGCCTACGGTTCCGATTCCGCTGTCCTCAAGGATGACCGTCTTGTCATCACCCAGACCATCTCCGGTACCGGCGCCCTGAGAATCGGTGGAGCTTTCCTGCAGCGCTTCTACCCTCACGCCAAGAAGGTCTACCTCCCCAACCCCAGCTGGGCCAACCACGGAGCTGTCTTCAAGGACTCTGGCCTGGAGGTCGACAAGTACCGTTACTACAACAAGGACACCATCGGCCTTGACTTCGAGGGTCTGATTGCCGACATCAAGGCTGCTCCCGAGAACAGCATCATCCTCCTCCACGCCTGCGCTCACAACCCCACCGGTGTCGACCCCACTGAGGAGCAATGGCGCCAGATCAGTGATGTCATGAAGGAGAAGGGCCACTTCGTTTTCTTCGACATGGCCTACCAGGGCTTTGCCAGCGGTAACGCTGACCGCGATGCGTTCGCCCCCAGACACTTTGTGAAGGAGGGCCACAACATTGCTCTGTGCCAGAGTTTCGCCAAGAACATGGTAAGACGAGAACTCGAAGGAGG